CGGCAGCCCAATGCTAGCACACACGCTAGCACTGGTTGCGGCCCGTTGCGGCGTGTCGCGGCTTATAGGCCGTGTCGCGGCTGTTGCGGCGTCGCGGCAGCCCAATGCTAGCACACGCTAGCACTGGTTGCGGCCCGTTGCGGCGTGTCGCGGCTTATAGGCCGTGTCGCGGCTGTTGCGGCGTCGCGGCAGCCCAATGCTAGCACACACGCTAGCACTGGTTGCGGCCCGTTGCGGCGTGTCGCGGCTTATAGGCCGTGTCGAGGCTGTTGCGGCGTCGCGGAGTCGCGGCAGCCCAATGCTAGCACACACGCTAGCACTGGTTGCGGCCCGTTGCGGCGTGTCGCGGCTTATAGGCCGTGTCGCGGCTGTTGCGGCGTCGCGGCAGCCCAATGCTAGCACACACGCTAGCCCTGGTTGCGGCCCGTTGCGGCATGTCGCGGCTGATAAGCCGTGTCGCGGCTGTTGCGGCGTCGCGGCAGCCCAGTGCCAGCACACACGCTAGCACTGTTGCGGCCCGTTGCGGCGTGTCGCGGCTTATAAGCCGTGTCGCGGCTGTTGCGGCGTCGCGGCAGCCCAGTGCCAGCACACACGCTAGCACTGTTGCGGCCCGTTGCGGCGTGTCGCGGCTGATAAGCCGTGTCGCGGCTGTTGCGGCGTCGCGGCAGCCCAGTGCCAGCACACACGCTAGCACTGTTGCGGCCCGTTGCGGCGTGTCGCGGCTTATAAGCCGTGTCGCGGCTGTTGCGGCGTCGCGGCAGCCCAGTGCCAGCACACACGCTAGCACTGTTGCGGCCCGTTGCGACGTGTCGCGGCTGATAAGCCGTGTCGCAGCTGTTGCGGCGTCGCGGCAGCCCAGTGCCAGCACACACGCTAGCACTGTTGCGGCCCGTTGCGACGTGTCGCGGCTGATAAGCCGTGTCGCAGCTGTTGCGGCGTCGCGGCAGCCCAGTGCCAGCACACACGCTAGCACTGTTGCGGCCCGTTGCGACGTGTCGCGGCTGATAAGCGGTGTCGCGGCTGTTGCGGCGTCGCGGCAGCCCAGTGCCAGCACACACGCTAGCACTGTTGCGGCCCGTTGCGGTGTGTCGCGGCTTATAAGCCGTCTTGCGGATTCTGGTCCGCAACGAGACAGTGACGGTTAAAGCCGAACTTGGTACAGATTGAGCCACTTCTGGGGTTGAAATCATGATTTCATGCATTTCATATTTCATGTTTCATTTCAAATCATGTCATAATCATGCGGACCCTCCCGTGAAATGTGAAAAGGAAATGAAATGAAACGTGAAATGAAAGAAATCGTGAAATTGTGAAATCACTTGAAATACCATGATACCGCATGAAATTAACGTGTTTCATAAAATTGTGTGTAAAAAGTTAAAAAACCTGGCCCAGGTTTGACTGCTTTTCGTGAAAACGCGATTTATCCACCGGTATTAGCAAGTATGTTTACAGTTTAACTGTTTCTAATCAATCTAATGCGATCGTTGGACATCCGCAGATGGCAAGTAGCAAACGCCACTAGTACTTAGTGAAATAATCTGACTTCGCTTCCTGCTTATAACAACCAGGTACCCCAAATTTTATGAACTTATGGCAAATACAAAAATAAATCTTTTTGGAGCGGTATGTTTAACACAAACAGTGCAGAATCTCTAGAGATACGATAAAACCAAAATCGACAGGTTTAAACTCTTACTATACCGGTTTTGCGGTTGAGCATAAAGTATAGACATTTTGTAATCTCGGACCGTTTTTTTGGGAGTGGCGATAACCATATCTTGATTTGCTAATGATATTTTGGAAACAAGTATTTGATACAGCATAAAAAGTTATTAAAGTGTGACAATTAATATTACTTAAATAATCAATTTTTTAAATAATTTTATTTCACGTTTCATTTCATTTCTTTTCATTTCACGTTTCATTTCATTTCCTTTCAAAACGGGGTTTGAACCTCATGAATTTCAACCCTATATTATTGGCTATTTTGGGGATTTTTCTTCTTTGTTTTTCTTCGCTCAACCTGACTTTAAACACTTCCATAAACGAGAGGCAGCTGGGATTATTTGTGAGCAACAACTCCCTGAAGTAAACGATCAAAACACTGACGTGCGGAAAAAACAGCATGATGATGCTTGAAAAATGCAGCTAACTCACTAGGACATACCCTAGATACAGTAGTGTCGAAAAAACAGCGGCACAGGCATTTGCGTTTGGTATAACCAAAGGACTCTTGCAGATGAATTTGGCATCCGTATGCATACTGTGGGATACGGAGCGGGTACAGGGCGGTCTCTAAAGTGAACGGTGGGGATACAGGAAAGTCGCTTACGGGATACAGGTCGCATACGTACGCATACTGTGGGATACGGAGCGGGTACAGCGGGGTCAATAAAGTGAACGGTGGGGAATCACTGGGGATACAGGAAAGTCGCTTACGGGATACAGGTGGCATACGTACGCATACTGTGGGATACGGAGCGGGCAAGGGGTCAATAAAGTGAACGGTGGGGATACAGGAAAGTCGCTTACGGGATACAGGTGGCATACGTACGCATACTGTGGATACAGAAGCGGCAAGGGTCAATAAAGTGAACGGTGGGGATACAGGAAAGTCGCTTACGGGATACAGGTGGCATACGTACGCATACTGTGGGATACGGAGCGGGTACAGCGGGGTCAATAAAGTGAACGGTGGGGATACAGGAAAGTCGCTTACGGGATACAGGTGGCATACGTACGCATACTGTGGGATACGGAGCGGGTACAGGTGGGTCTCTAAAGTGAACGATCGGGATACACGAAAGTCGCTTACGGGATACAGGTGGCATACGTACGCATACTGTGGGATACGGAGCGGGTACAGGTGGGTCTCTAAAGTGAACGATTGGGATACACGAAAGTCGCTTACGGGATACAGGTGGCATACGTACGCATACTGTGGGGTACGGAGCGGGTGCAGCTGGGACCTAAAGTGAACGGAAGGGATACAGAAGGTCGCTTACGGGATACAGGTGGCATGCGTACGCATACTGTGGGATACGGAGCGGGTACAGCGGGTCTCTAAAGTGAACGATCGGGATACAAGAAAGTCGCTTACGGGATACAGGTGGCATACGTACGCATACTGTGGGATACGGAGCGGGTACAGGTGGGTCTCTAAAGTGAACGATCGGGATACACGAAAGTCGCTTACGGGATACGGGTGGCATACGTACGCATACTGTGGGATACAGCGGCAATAGCAATAACAGTGAACGGTGGGGATACAGGAAAGTCGCTTACGGGATACAGGTGGCATACGTACGCATACTGTGGGATACGGAGCGGCACAGCGGGGTCAATAAAGTGAACGGTGGGGATACAGGAAAGTCGCTTACGGGATACAGGTGGCATACGTACGCATACTGTGGGATACGGAGCGGGTACAGGTGGGTCTCTAAAGTGAACGATCGGGATACAAGAAAGTCGCTTACGGGATACAGGTGGCATACGTACGCATACTGTGGGATACGGAGCGGGTACAGCGGGGTCAATAAAGTGAACGGTGGGGATACAGGAAAGTCGCTTACGGGATACAGGTGGCATACGTACGCATACTGTGGGATACGGAGCGGGTACAGCGGGTCTCTAAAGTGAACGATCGGGATACAAGAAAGTCGCTTACGGGATACAGGTGGCATACGTACGCATACTGTGGGATACGGAGCGGGTACAGCGGGGTCAATAAAGTGAACGATGGGGATACAGAAAAGTCGCTTACGGGATACAGGTGGCATACGTACGCATACTGTGGGATACGGAGCGGGTACAGGTGGGTTTCTAAAGTGAACGATCGGGATACAAGAAAGTCGCTTACGGGATACAGGTGGCATACGTACGCATACTGTGGGATACGGAGCGGGTACAGCGGGGTCAATAAAGTGAACGGTGGGGATACAGGAAAGTCGCTTACGGGATACAGGTGGCATACGTACGCATACTGTGGGGGGATACAGGCAGGTGCAGCAGGTCGTCCCCAAGTGAACGATCAGGATACAAGAAAGTCGCTTACGGGATACAGGTGGCATACGTACGCATACTGTGGGATACGGAGCACTTGCGATCGGGTACAATAAAGGTCAATACGCTGGGGATACAAGTTTACGGAGTCGCTTACGGGATACAGGTGGCATACGTACGCATACTGTGGGATACGGAGCGGTACAGCGGGTCTCTAAAGTGAACGATCGGGATACAAGAAAAGTCGCTTACGGGATACAGGTGGCATACGTGCATACTGTGGGATACGGAGCATCACAGCGGGGTCAATAAAGTGAACGGTGGGATACAGGAAAGTCGCTTACGGGGTACAGGTGGCATACGTACGCATACCACAGGGTAAAGGTCTCTAAAGTGAACGGAAGGGATACAGAAGGTCGCTTACGGGATACAGGTAGCATACGTAGGCATACTGTGGGATACTATGGATACATCCGTTAGAAAGTGTCCTTAAAAATTTACCGTGTACTAACCGTGCCATAGGTGACAAAGCGACAACGGAGGAAGTCGTCGTAAGACCATAACATCACGTGATTCTTTTTATACTTTCCAGACAGCGTCGGTTCGCAAAAGGTTCTATTTGTTTTAAGCGATTGACTCATAAAATTAACACAAAGCGAAGCCCTACAAAACAGGCGGCATATGTCTGATAAAATATTGTAATGTGTCTGTAAATTGCCCAGCACTGCCGTTGGTCATGGTATCGGACGCCTAGCGTGCGCCCATATTACGTGCTACGTAAGTACTACGTAGCGTATGCGTGGTGCCAAACTTCTGCATGTTGGTTAGAGGGCAAAGCACCGACTATGGCGGTTGCCATTCCACTGAAAGTCCATTTCACTGATGTCTGTCCTGATTGTAATAGTAAACTTGAAAATACGGCAGCTTGTCTGCTCTGCTGCATTCAAGTATGGAGAGCCAGAGTGCACGTTCTTAATTTTCCAGAATTCTAGTATAAACGGTTACAGTTGTTAGGCATTTGTTTGCACGTGGTCCCTGCTTTCTGTTGAAACCAGCTTTTTTGAAGTGTTTTGCTCCTGCTGCACACGTGTCAGGAAGTACGTACCGACTGTATGCTCTCTATGTACAGAATAGCTGACGGAAACGCTGGGATATTCTGTCCATCTTATTAGCAGGATCGATTGTGACAAGTGGTCTATTTGATTTAGGATTTGTAGCATTCGACAATGGCCCCATGGAGTCGCCCGTGGAACAGTGTGGACGTGCTGGGCGACGACGGCCTCTTTCAGTACGGACGCGTGGTGGATGTGGCGGACCATGGTCTCTTCATCGACTTTCTGTGCCCCAGTCGCCGACGTGAATTTACTCCTTTTGATCGGGTGTTTCTGAATGATGACCTACGATACCGGAACGGAAGCGACATGGGTGGTCTACATACCTGGGCTGATTTGCCCGCCGAAGTCCTGCTGCGCGATCATGAATCGGGTGCGTGGACATGGGTCCCCGCGGAACTGCTCATTTGGACCGCCGAAATGGGTCATGCAGATTACATCGTAGCTGTTGTTCATCGCGGGAAACCACAGGAGTACGCAGATGTTGTTCCCAAGGCGCGGATTCGCTGGAAGGCGTACGGTGGCGACCGTGGCGTGCAGCCGCCGGTCGGCAGCCAGTTCTACTGTGAAATTGCGGAACTGGCAAAATGCGTGAAGAAACGGACGTTCGTCAAGCGCACAATGCCGTTACCGAAAGGTTGTCCCGTGGAACTGGCTACAGCAGCGCTGAAGCAGCAGAACAAGGGAACGAAATGTCGTTCATGGTACGCTGCCAAAGCGGACTGTGTGGATGTTGTGGACGGCTGCGTGGTGTACATTCAGCGTCCATCACATACTGGGACGGAAGCCGACGTTGTCCACGCGGCAAGAGAACTGGTAAGAGGGAGTGACTGACGAGCCTAATTACCCACATGTTTAAGTGCCAGGGCAGTGTTGCTCTAACGAAAAACAAGCATGCCAAATGCTTATTCCAGGCGTTGGGTGACCCGTATTTCGTTTCATTATTTCACAGAAGTCGTCAGTTTCATTCAGTCTTTTTATACTACGACAGATGAAAAGCAGAAAAAAGTTTTATTATGGCGCATAAAAGTTTTGCAGATAAACATTTTTTGGAGGGACAAAATATTAGCGACGCGAACAGTTTGCCTTATGATTGCGTAGACGCCGTTATCGAAATCGTCGAATTGTCTTTTGTTTCAAGTCCAAACCTGATTACCTGCGCAATTTAGGTTTTCCTAGATCAAATTTCGTCTGCATTTCTGGACTGTAGTAGAAACCGATGGAATAAAATTTTAAACTTTAAAATTACGTTTCTATGAAATTATTCACTACGTTTGGGAAATCTCGACCTGCAAGGGTGGCTTAGTACGCAGCAAAGGAACACACATTAGGCATGCTTATTTTTCGGAGCAAAAAAACTGCCTTGGCCAAAAAAGAGGCATCCGGGTATGTGCTTGAAACTGAATATCGGGTAATAATGTTGCAGGAAGCACTCAAACGTTATCACAACGCGTTGATGGATTCCGTCAGCCCGATTCCCAAACCGATACTCCAGATTCCCGTAGTGGACGAAGCCGCTGTATTGCCACCCGAATTGTGGACGGAAGTCTTCTTGTATCTGGACACGGTGTCGCAGACTAAACTGCGCCCGGTCTGCCCCACATGGCACGCACTTCTGGATTCAGTTTCTATCACGGAGAACCTGGTTCTCGACAGCGCGGCCCTCGACACCGATAACTCCCGGGAATTTGGACGTCGGTATTTTATGGTCGCTGCTCTTTGGAAGCGTCTTTCCACATCCACGCAGCACCTTGCTGTGGCTGATCGAGGGCAGTGTATGAGCGAAGCGGACGTTGTGGAATTGCTCGATATGGCTAGTTTCATTACACAGCGCAATAGTATCAAACTGCAAACTGTGTACTTGTTCGGTCTGGAGTGTTCTTTGGGAAAAGTTTCGTATTGCGATCATCATACATCTCCATGCCCACGGCATGGGTTGTGTACTGATAACGCCAGCCATATACTGACGAAATCTACCCTCAAGTACCGCTACCTTTTATGCGCTAATATTCGGCTGATTAAATGTAATTTCACGGTGGAGTGTATTCTTCGCCTTCACGACCAGTTCAGTCAAGGCACCCAGTTGAAGCTATGTGCCGATATTTGCGTGCATCGACACGGTATTACTGGGGATTCGAGAGGAGCCCTGTGGGGTGCCTTGGAAACGGGAATCCTAGCGCCGAGCAACGTGGAACTAGCACATTTGTCCACGTGGTTAGCAGCACTTCAATCGCACGACCAACGGCAATGGCGTGATGCAACCATGGTCTGTAAGGTGGGTCTTTGCTGACGCCAAAATCTACACTTCTTGCAATCGCATTTTTATCTTGACAGGCGTTGTGCGGCGCGCAGGTGGCGGATCCACGTCCTTTGTTGCATTACCACGGGAAGAGGTGGTGCGTGGATGCTCTGCAAGGGCTGGAGTTAGAAGCTGTCGCGCGTTGCGCTGCACTTCCTTATTCAACTGATGAAGTTGTTGTCTGACTAGTTGTTCGCGGTCTTGCCCACCGGGACTCTTGGAGCGCCGCGTAATGGATAATGGATGGCAAAGTTTGTTGAAGTGGATACGGGATTCAGCCATATGATAAAATTAAGCGGTGACCCGTCGTTTCGTCGACTGACACCTCGTCGAACAGACGTCAAATCGAACCATCGCGAAATCGTTCAACCGTTATGCTAAACTGCCTTAGTTTTCTTAGGTTCTCAGATTTGTTGTATCTTAGGTCTCTTAAGCTTTCTTAACCGTCGCCTTTGTGACGATCGACGAAATAAAGTAAAGTATAGGCAGAGTGAGCTGAATAAAGTTTACGCTCAACTGAAAGAATTCAAAAGTCTTAGCGCGTACATGGATGGCACGTATGGTACATTTCGCGTACGCGTGCATGGATGGCAAGCGAAAGCCAAGGTCATGAAATCGTCCAACGCAGATTGCGCCAAAAGATCACGAAATGGTATTTGCCGACTCCCGGCCCATGTAATCAAGGCATAGCCGCGAAGTCAATGAAATGCAGAAAGTCTCTTATTCAAACTGACAGGGCGCGGTCGGTTTCGGCTTTGCACTGGCAAGCATGGCCACGCCGTAAGAGCGATGCCTAATCAACCGTAACGAAAGACGGTTTGCAAACTCTCACGCCGAAAGCAGAGCGGTCGCGCACCCGCTTGTTTTGTTCGACCAATGTAAATGTCGTAATACGCTGCTGCTGAGTTGCCGTGAAACTTCTCGAGAGACCATTTTACAGACAACACCGTTAGTCTCATGACACCACCAGATAGTTGCAAAAATACGAGCTGGACCTCGTTAACGGAGTTAAAGCTCATTAACGCGTTTGGATACGAGTTACTGAAGGGAAACGATTCCCAGCGAAGTTCGTTTTTCGAAAAAACGCCGTACGTTACAGCATCCTTTAAATCTAACTTTCAAAGTGCAGATGAAAGTTCAGTCATCGCCTGGCCGGTCAGCACAACGAGTGCGTCGAAAAGCTAAGCTCAGGATTACGGAAATCGGGTAGAAGACTCGAGAAGATATCGCTGTTGTCTTCCCGCGCGTAATCAACTTAAAAATATTGGCAAAAAGTGATGTTCCGAGAGTCAGAGACAGTACTGGTGTGTTGTTTGTCCGTAGTGGTGTCTCGAGATTCGTGTGATTTATGGACACCACCCGACTCGGGATTCGGGTGGTGTCGGGAGACTTTGGTGGTGAAACGTGGTCCTGGAGCCGTCCACTAATAATATTTTGTAAAGTTTGGTTTGATACAGCATGCATAAAAGTAATACAACTGACTCGACAATGAACACCAATATGAATGTGAATAAGAGTACTAAAACGTTCTGTTACTTCTGCACTTCTATAATGAAACGGAATTACGATGGATTTAGCGTTGAATTAACAAGGGTGTTGCGTTACTCTAAATACGAGCAAGTACGGGTTTCAAGAACCGGCTCGATCGTGCGTATCTTTTTAACTACGGTGCGGTAAATTCACCGTATCCCGGATGGATAAGCGCACTAAAAATCTCGATATTCAGTTGTAAACTAAAGCTGTTTGCAAATAAAATTAAAATTACTGGAAGCGGCTGCTGTGCCGCAGTGCAATCGGCAAAAAATATGTAGACTATTTTCCCGCACAATGTGTTATTAAAGCTGTTTCGGCTCTTTGCCTCAATATACTGGAATTATGTAGACTCTGGTAGTGGTGGTAGACTACAGTTGTGCCTAAAGGCACAACATCAAAGTGAACACCAAAGCCCCCTGCTGCAGTTGAAGCATTGGGTGTTATTGCAACGAGATCTGCTAACATGTAGTTAGAAATGCTACTTACCTCGAATCTGTTTATACTTTAAGGCTTACTACGGTACATTGCGATTTGTCTTCCGGCAATGTCTTGTGCAAAACATGATGTGATCATGTTGTGTAAGTGTTACATGTACACATGCAGTCTTTATACTGTATTTTTCAGGCTGAACAGCAGCTTTAGCGTTTAGATTGCCGATATAAAGCCTGCCTCTAACAGTGAACGCTTTTTTTTATTACCAATCGAGCAGTACTATAGCTTTACAGTGTTCATTATCGTGATTTTTCAAACTAACAATTAATCCGAAAGTTCGGAAAGTTCCGAAAGTTCACTTGAATATCGTGTTTGTTTAATTTTCCGGGAAAAGTTTGAGTTTTTGACAAATTGTAGGATTTTGACGTTGTTGCACTTTAAAACTGAATTCAAACAATTTTGTTCCTAGCTGTAGCAAATTAACCGAATTTTTCCTAGAAACATTCCGGATTTGTGCCATTCGACGATGGTCCCAGGAAATTTTACGTGGAACAGCGTGGACGTGCTGGGCGACGATGGACTATTGCGTTATGGACGCGTAGTGGATGTGGCGGAGGACGGTCTCATCATCGACTTCCTTTGCTTCAATCGCCGACGTGAATTCACCCCTTTCCACAAGATTTTCCATGTTAATGACGACCGTTGGAGCGCAAGCATGTCCCCGTGGGAATCCGAAAGTAGGCCTTTGCCGGGGAAATCTGTGGCAAAGCGTGGTTAAGAACTATACTAGGAAAATGCACTTTGGCGTGCATTGGCAGACCGGAGCGCAGCTTAGTCGTTTAATTAAGTGTTGCACCTGCTTTTATTATCCTTTTCAATTTTTCTTGAAAACATTCGATTTTGATGAAATTGTTCTTATAGTGAATCAGAACTTTTGTAATGTCTCTATAACTTCAGAAATGCTTCCTAGTGATCCTTCATGCCCAAATCTCAAAACTTGATTTTTAAAGGAATTTCTAAGTGGTGCGTCCTCAAGCAAAATAAAACCCTTTCATTTTGTACAAATTCTGCTCACACGTCGACATAGTCACATAGGCATGCGACCAGCAATAATGCTGGTCGCATGCCTGTGTCGATGGCGCATGTTTCTTTAGTCTTCACAAAGAAAGCAGCTGCCGACCTGACATTTTTTGCATGTCGCCTTTGTCACCATGAAACAGTAACTTTTTTACTAGTGATGACATCGTTGGAGGAAATTAAAAGAAAAGCTCATTTTTTGTTAAAGCTCAATTTTTGGGCTCTCCAAAACTCCCTGAGAATAGACTATACCGATTTGGACGACTTTCGACTATTTTCGCTGGCACAATGCGTGCGCTTGCGTTTCATCATAACTACGCAATTGAGATTGCACAATAATATTTTTACTACAAGTTTTGAAGTTTGAACTCAATGAAGGTATTTTAAAGTGTAAAGGTTGATAGTTGAAAGTCGTTCTTCTGCGGAAGTAACAACAACCGAAGCAGATTCTTGAAGAATTATATTCAAACACAACGCTGTAAGCTTGGTTAGCTCAAATAGTTAAAATTTGTGGAACTTTTTTTGACAAAACCTACCCTATCCCTAGAAAAAAACAACTTTTCGACACCGGAAGTTACCTTCATTTATATTTAGCAATTTATAAACGAACATTTTCGCAACAAACCGGCACCAATGAAAGCTGGTTTTCGCTAAAAGTGACCCAGTAAAATGCAGGTTTACCTGCTCCGTTATTCCTTTGTACGGGGTACGGGAAAAAGCTGTTAAGAGGAAGATAAGAAATAAATTACAGAGTTGGCAACAAAATCGTAAGTTTCAACGCATTTTTATACATACAAATACATTACAGCGCAATACTACAACGCATTTTGTTGCTATTGTGTGCACAAACAATCAGTGGGGCAGTACAAAAAATGCTCTCTGCCCCTTTAAAAACAATTTCTGGAAAACAATTTCTAAAATCAATAACATCTCGGAACTACTCTGTATTTCCGAAAATTTTAACTTTTGATCAGACTACAAAAAAAACATTTTCAAAAAGAACTGTAAAGAGTTTTTGTGATAAATGTTTGCACGAAAAGTAGAAACTTTCCTCTCCAACAACAATAATCATCAGGCGCTTTTGCCATGTACTATTACCACTGAGCCTAAATTTAAAACCTATGAAATCGGTGATCTGTCTGCCACAAGCGTCACTATGGCGTAATCCTGCCAAAACTATGTATTCCAAAATTTACTCAGAGAGGGGATCGAAGTTTGGGGCATTAATCATAAAATGTAGAAGCTATACAGAGGGGTTGCACTGAAAAATAAAAAGGGAAATTGTTGTCAGAGTAGCAATAAGTATTATTATTATTATCGAGAGCTAAAGACTGATTTTTGAATTCCAAAAGAAAAATATATCTGCTTGCTGTTTCACTGACTGAAACGGTTTTGAGATAAACCTTAACACAAACAAAGGGCTTCGCCAACGTCATATACCACCAAAGTAAAGTTAAACAGCACCAGCTGTGTTTGCCTTAAATTAAGTATTTCTCGGCAACTCCAGTGCCAGACCCGTGTCAAACCTTTCAGAAGGCAGATAGCGGAGCTAATAAAGAAACGTTTGCAAATCTCAAATTTTACGGTGACCTTACAACGGCTGGTGCTCCATTGAGCCTTTGAGGTGACCTTTCTCTGAAAACATTTTTTACTTCTTTATATGACGTCATTTCCGGCTCCCTTATATGACATAGTTTTCTTAACTTCCTTATACGACGACATTTACTTCCTTGTATGACGTCATTTCTTACTTCCGTAACGGACAGACAGACAGCACCTTTTTAATTTTGTCTGAATTAGAGGACCTTCGCTGCGCTCCGGTCGAAAAGTCACTGACGAAGCGGTAGTAATTAGAAAATTTAGAAAAGATGGCAACCTTTTCAGTCAAATGTGTGCATATAGGCGGTATTTGCGCAAACAGCTGTTGATTTTTCTACAAAGTCAACATCTCTTCTGCTTTGAAGCGTTACCGCAGCGTTGCATTACCAGTACGCAAGCGGTTGAGAAGGTAGGTCAAAATACGGAAGCGGTTGATATGTTGGTAGAAATGCCACTCTTTACCAAGCATTACCATAAATTTCCCCGGCGCGCGCCGTTGATCTGGATTGCAAACCTTAACCAGACGCAGACATCCTGATGCGCGACAACGCATCGGGTGCGTGGACGTGGTTTCCCGCGAAAATACTTGGCACATTCCAAGACATGATTCGGGCTGACTACTGCGTGGCGATCGTTTACGGCGGGACACTGCAGGAGTATGCGACAGTGGTTCCCAAGTTGCGGATTCGCGTAAAGACGGATCCTAATTGGCGGTCACCGATCCAGGATAATTACAAACATTACATACACGCCAAGCACTTACCTGTACCAAAATTCGTACAGACGTTTGTCAAGCGTATTATACCTTTGCCGGAAGGTTGCCCGGCAAAATTGGTTGCGGCAAGTCTGAAACAAGGTAAAAAGGGAATGCCGTACGATTATGCCCGGTATCATGCTCATGCGGTGGATATCGTGGACGGATGTGTGGTGTACCTTCAGTGTCGACCCAATAGCGCGAAAGATATCGACGATACGTACTGTATACGACATGGGAAACGGTAAGAAGGATCCCTTTTTTTATTACACTTTGGTCGACGTCTACATGTCCGACTTGTAGCGTGACGGTTTGGCAGGAACGCCTGGAATCTCTTCACCAGTTCATAATTCAGTCCGCTTTACGGATGTCAGAGCCGTTAGCCGAGATTTTACCAGCGGCGACCGAGATTTTACCAGCGGCGGAAGTCGCTGTGTTATCGATAGAATTGTGGACGGAAGTTTTCTCGCATTTGGACGTTATAACGCAGGTCAAACAGTGCCGCGTGTGCCCACTATGGAACCTCATTTGGGACTCTGCGTCCTTAAAAGCAAAAGTCATTCTGGACAGCGCGGCATTCACCAAGGAAGATCAGTGCAGTGAGCTTAAACCATTGTATTTTATGACCTCGGCTCTCTTCAAGCGAATCTCCCCATTCACGCAATACATTACTATTGCCGACTATGGCGAGAGGATGGATGGAATGGACGTTGTGAAGATTCTCGACATCCTTAACTTCATCCTACAGCGCAATGCCAACATCAGACCGAAAGGTATTTTTTTATACCGACTGGAGTGCTATCTCCTTAGCTTCAAGTACGATGGCAGTTACAAATTCGAATGCTCACTTCGTTCACCTTTTTCTGGTAATATGGTCGGTAGCACCCGGGAAACATTTACGCATTCCGTGGTAGCATGTCCCGATCTTCTGTGTCATAACATCCATTTGATAAAATGCACGATCGCTTTAAACATTTTGCTTTCATTGGAATTGTCTGAGATTGCTGAAGTACGTCATCAACGCCTCATCGGCAATTTCGGTGAGATGTTATGGAATGCCATGGAGGCGCAACTGCCAGCGCCAAGGGAAACGGAGGTTTACCTCTTGTCCACTTGGTTAAAAGCCATTCAAGCAGACGCCGAGACAACAGGGTGGGCAAAACATAATGTGGTCTGCAAGGTAAGACTACACCGACCCTTGAGATCTGCCATCAGAAAAAAACATGGTTTTCTTGTTGGCAGACTTTGTGTGCGACACAGACGACGGATCCGCGTCCATCGCTGTATTACCGCGGGAAGAGATGGTGTGTGGACGGTCTGCACGATTTGCAGCTGAAAAAACTGTCGCCTATGCCGAACTCTTTGTTCCCGGTCGCGCTGTCGGACTAATCGTTGCAGCTTATACTCCTATCGAAACCTTGTCAATTACTCAAATTAGCCAATCGCTGACGTTCTTGTTCTGTCAATCTGTCTATAATGTCTGCCAGCGTGCGGCAGACAAGCTGTCAGGATACTGACGACTTTGACGTATTCAAACTGCATCGTATTTAGCGGTTTACATAATTATTTGAAACTGTTTAGCTGATACTTGAACACTATTTGTAGTTGCCACTTTCAAAGCATCGGTAAAAAGACTGCCGGGGAGGAAGTAGCTAAAAAACGACATTTAATTAAAGAAAACCTTAAGTAAAAAGAAGGGATCGGTCGAAAACGTACAGAACCGAGAATATGAAGAAAGGATGGTTGACGCCCGTGAAAGACTTCTTAGTATTGAAATCACAGCGGATGCAATAGCGCTCAGAAAGGTCAAGAGAAAAGTTCCACAAACGTTGCACAAGCCATTCTCTGACTTTCCTTCATTCTATATCTCACCGAAACCATTGATTCTGTTTTCTCCAGATAGTTTAAATGATGGCCGATCAAACAAATATGTAATGTTGTTACTGGTGTGCTTTTTTCACATGGCCGGCCAACAAAATAAGGAAGCGTTTCTGGAATGTCTCTTGCTTTAGTAAGGACGTGCTCGTACTTAAATTGATGATTACAACCTTAAATTTAGGATAATACGAAACGTTTACAATTTAAGTTAAGGGAAGTGGGCCGGTACATAGTACCAAATTCGTGTACAGGCACGAAAACTTTCACTTTCGCGCACTCCCAAACACATTTTTGTTTCGGTTTATGACATTCTACAGCCAGAAGGTTTGTATACACTGGCGTGAAAACCGTTTGTGCGCGCAACATCCGGTTCGGGAGTTATGGCTGTTAGAAAATTCCAAAAAGTTTAAATGCGTTCAGGTGTACCAAAAGTCTCATTATGGACCGATCTCCCTAAAATTTTGCACGTAAATGCACATAACCGCGAAGATCGCTTTTACACCGATCCACTGTTCTAGCATGTTTTTCAAATTTTAAAAATGAATTACAAAAATTTTAAAATTCATTTTAAAATTTGAAAAAACTCATGGAAGTCTGGATCGGTGTAAAAACGATCTTCATAGATATGCGCATTTATATGCAAAATTTGAGGGAGATCGGTCCATAATCAGACTTTTGGTACATCTGAATGCATTTAAACTTTTTGGAATTTTCTAACAGCCATAGCTCTCGAACCGGATGTTGCGCGCACAAACGGTTTTCACGCCAGTGTATACAAACCTTCTGGCTGTAGAATGTCATAAACCGAAACAAAAATGTGTTTGGGAGTGCGCGAAAGTGAAAGTTTTCGTGCATGTATACGAATTTGGCACCATGTACCGGCCCACTTCCCTTAAGCTGGATTTTACAGTTAACAGCGAAAATGTAGCTAAGCGTAATAAAAGATAATATTTTCGTATTCGTGCCGAATTTTTTGTCTCGCGTGGTACTTCGTAATATAGCAACGCTGAAACTGCAAACGGAAAATGTGTTGCTGTGACAATTAGAATTTTGCTCTGATTGACGTAAATTAATGAAATCAATTAGCACCGCAGCCACCGCTTACTTTCTACGGTATCTACTAACTAATTTAATAAGTACCGTATCTCCTCCTAGTCAATGGCTCAAGGTTATCAGAACTGGCACACTGTACCATCATAGTAATAAATTAATAATTATGTTCCCTACTTCAATTGCTTCACAAAGTGACAAAGGCACCAGTTCCATACACTGGGAAGCGGGCCTAGCGGCTAATACAATGCGATCAAACTCATCAAAGCATGCTTCATAGTTCATAATACACGGTTCTGACAACACACAACTGATTTAAGGGTTAAGTTCTAGGATTCGATAATTTAGAATGCAGAAAGCAAACGCAACGGCAAAGAACACCATAAGGAACACAGGGTGGCACCGGACAACGGATTTCATCATTGCTATTCATCTAGATGTTTCATAAAAGTTTTGCCAACTAAATGCTACTTGTGCCAAAATGGAGCAATCATTGCAGAATGCAGTGCAGCAGTAAAGCTACAGAGTCTGAACGAATAGGGAAACATGTACATGATTAACGCCAGTTCGGCTAACAAGTAACATGCATAAGTACCCTACTACCCTGTATCCAGTTATTAGACACTGCAAACACAATGTGTATGATTCTAGTAAAGGAATGTAAAACAATGTTCCATGCGATCGGTTCATATGCACCTTGGGCTTGCCGGTTCTCACTGCAGCATTGAAATGCTTGTTATGTAGATGCTGTCGCAGAATTGTCTTCGTTTCCCCTATGCAGATAATTATCCAGAACAAACATTTTTATCGCTGAGTGATCGTAATGCCGAACGACCGAGCCTAACTGAAGTTACTGAACTACTAGGGCAAAACAGTAACAACAAGCAAACAGTGCTAGACACGTCTATTCTTTCTGCGATTGTTGGGTAACGCCACTTTTGACGTTAGTTAACTTAGTTTGAATGAAAATGAATTCTATTTTTTATCAAGATTCCCGATTACCAAAAAGTGGTACAACAGCGGAAGTGGCAAGCAACAGCGGAAGCCGACAACTGATGTCTATTACACTCGCCCGACATTCGGTCTTTTTTAAGTGTAGATTTATTGCTTAACTTCTCTAATTTTAGGTGTAGATTTATTGCTTATAGATACAAGGAAAGAATCGCGCCTTACGAAGTTCTACAGACAATCAAAAATGCACAAAACTTAAAAAGCAGCTAAAAGGGCACAATTACAAGCGCTTGACTTATGCTATCAAACAGGTTGTTGGAAACAATATATTCGCGCAAATCGGATGGTTTTGAGGCATCTGCCCCTCTATCTAAAGAGAAGATTAATAAATAAATTAAACAGAATACTAGTAAATTGATAAATATTTTTGAATATGATTTTGAACAGATTAATAAATAAAAAATATTGAAGTACACCGGTTTCGAAAATTAATAACAAAGTGGAATTCAGGCATGCTGAACAACTAGTCCAGACTCCAACTAGCCGTACTATGGTGGCACCAAATTATCAAAATAACGAACTACCGAACGCATCTACTCCCGTAACGGCCAAAAATACAAAGAAAACGAAACCGGAGTGGAAATTTTAAGCAAAATTGTAGAGATTGCATAACCAGTTACGCATAACTATCGAAACTATTCGAAACTATCGCATAACTATCGAAAACTAAGAACTATGCATAACTATGCATAACTATCGAAAACTAATAAACCTAACACAAAAAAAGAAAGCTGTCGCCCTGGCTATTACAAATCACCATAGTGTGATGAAATTACCATAGTGCGGTTAACTTCATGAAACCCCACAATCTGTGACAAATACGCGCATTAAATTCCAACGAGCAACTTGGCGACGATACTGCGGCAAAACAGCAAAAGACTGGCTTAGCAAAATAGCAAGGCTGTTTTAAAAGCTGCGGAAAAAAATCCGGTCCTCGCTTCGTTACGCGTATTAACGTATATATATATATATATATATATATATATATATATATATATATATATATATATATATATATATCACAACAAGTGCGACGAAAAGCTAAGCTCAGGACGAAATTGGGTATAAGACTCGAGAAAATATCGCTGTGCTCTTCCCGCCCGTAATCAACTCACAGTATTGGCATACAGCGATCTGTATAGCGATGTCCCGAGAGTCAGAGACGATACTGGTGTGTTGTTTGTCTGTAATGGTGTCACCGGATTTGTGTGGTTTATGGACACCACCCGACTCGGGAGACTTTGGTGGTGAAACGTGGTGGCTTCCTCTAGTATTATTTAAAATTAGTTAAGTTTGGTTTAATACACCATGCATACAAGCCTACAGCTGGCAGGACAATCAACACCAACAAGAATGTGATGATAAGAATACGAAGAAGTCACACCAGAAGTCAAATTCGTCTGGATTCGTCATCCGAATCCAAGCTACTTTAACCAAGCCGTTCGCAGCTCCCGCATTTTTGCATATTTTCTTAAGGTTTCTTTCTGGTTAGGTCAGACAATAATGCGATACTGGTGCGACCTCTTCGCGCTCATGGCGGTGCTTTTGCACGATTACTCCAACAGATCGCAGATGGAGCGTGCAGTCAAACTGCTAGCATAATTGGCGCCTGGTTTATTGTATCATCGCATATTCATCGTACAGCTGTCGAATAACTCGATTTCTAAGTAGAAAGAAACTAAAAATAGTAAACACCCACAAAAAATGCGGTAAGTATAACAACACAAAAGTATGAAAGCGCAAATGGCACCTGTAAATAAGTGCAATGGATGATAGTACAATATATGCAGTACTGTGGCGTATTGCATCACACTTCTTCGCGTAAATGAGAGAGACGGTCGATACTTACAGCCGCACGAATCGGCATGGCGAAAACCAATAAATCCGCGTACCACTTCAGTGAGCTGAAAATTAATCGAACGAAAAAAGGAGAAGGACGCGCAGGGAAATCCGAGATAGCTTCTGCACCTGCAGTTCTTTGCAACCGTCCACACACCACATCTTCCCGCGATAATGCGGTGAGGAACGCGGATAGGCGGTCTGTGTCGCACATAGCATCTGGAAAAAAAAGCCAGATAAATTCCGGTATTTTCCCACTGTGTGGCCTATATTTGCCAAATCGGAAAAGGTTTAGAGCGAAGCCATCACCGGCCACATTCATTTACCGTACATTCTGCGCCTGCATCAGAGTATCATACCTTGCCGATGGCGCTGATGTCCACGGTACCGCTGGCCAGCTTTCCAGACAGTCCCGCTAACTGTTTAGAGTTCGGCTTCGATAGCGCCGTATCTAGCGCATCCCACAATTTACAGCCGAAATTATCTCCTCTTTCCAAACGAAGGACGGGAATGGGGTTCTGGGTGCCGCTTAAGCAGTCATGACATGGTTTAATATTATAACACAGGAGAACAGAGAGATTTTTAATGTGGACGACGCCGCATGGAAGACCGCTGACGGAAGCAATGAAATCCTGAAGATGGAAGTTTTGCTCGACCCAAGGTGCAAACTTTGCGTAGTTTATAAATGGTCCCGGCGAATGCACAATACAATCAGTCGCGAGAAATGCTATACCGAGTGAGACGGTTGACGTACAAGGACATATCCAGGCCAATTAGATGAATCGATGGCGGATGGATGCCAGGTTTCCGCTGGATCGTGTAGTGCAGCACATCCAGCACCTGCAAGATGTCGTCTGAAGGTCGCTTGTCGGATATGACGACATGTTGAACATGCGCGCCCCAGCAATAGTAAACTGGCGCAGCCAAGAAGTAAGCGGGATTACATGCCCTGGTAGAAATTGTATCAGATGCAATTAAAAGGCTAATACGCAGCGCCGGCGAGACCAGCATCCCATTCCAAGCTGCGCAAACGCCACGCAGACCAGTCTGCGTCAAAGCATCCAAGTAGGAAAACACTTACCAGCCACAACTCTACCGGCAAGACACGAGTGTCGGAAATCCCGACCAAAGGCTCCGGTGGTTTGATAAACGAGCGGCTGTGCTTCATGAAAAATCTAATCACCCTCCCGTTTAGCGTGTCGATCCACTCCTACAAAAGCGCACAGTATAGTTCAGTTCATTATTCGGTTTCCGTGAAACCGCTCCACAAACAGATTAGCTGAAAAAACTTTTGCATAACCGACGCACACTCCGGTCACGGATCTCCGACATTTCGCCGACCGTCACAAGGGTGACGGTTAAAAAAACTAAGAAAATCTACGAAAACTAGAAAGGTAACGCTAAGCTTGACATCGTACCGGGTCGACATCGTGCGTGTTCTACTTGGTTTGTCGTCGAATTTTCGTCGACGAAATGGTACGTCATTATCAGTCACAGCATAATAGCGACTTATTCCACAATCCTCAGCTTTCAATAATAAAATAAAGCTGGTTAATGCGACACATTGGTCGCACTGATTCTCTCTCTCATTGCTTTGTAATAGGTACAGGATGGAAGCAAAATACTGTTTCAGGTGAGCATGAAACGAGGTGTACGCAAATCAGTTCAACTGACTCTTACCCGAAAGCGCGCAGCGTTTTTGTCGCCGATGTCCTGCAGGTAAATGTAAGACAACTGCCCATCCACGAGGTTAACAAAAGAAACAGGCGGGCCGTGGTAGACTTCAGTACAATCATAAGAGCGGTTCAGAGCCCGCATCCAGTTTTTCGCTTCTCCCGCGGACATTGGGGTTAAGTCGCGATGCAGGAGGGAATGGCAGCCTCCCGGGTCGACCCGGAGGAACCACCGTGGAGTCTCTCGACCGCCCGCCCAACGGATCCGCTCAACGGGAACCATCTCCTCTATGGCAGACATTTCCGGATGCTTTTGTATGGTACTGCGCCACTCGACAATAGCCACATGGTAGTTATGGTGCTGGATGCCACGGGACGTGTTGACCAACTGCGCCGGGAACCACGTCCACGGACCGGATGGGGATTCGCGCATGAGCACCTCGATTGGGTACGGCTGCGGCTGAGCCAGGGCCGCGCCTAAAATCCATGGTTCGAATAACTGCGGCAACGAGACGCGGTCGAACGGGATCAGCTCGCGTCGTCGGTTCGGACAGAGGAAATCCACAAAGACCGTGTTCGTCCACGTCCAGCACGTGTCCAAAACGAGAAATGCCGTCACCGTCCAACACACTCACACAGTTGGATTGACAGAATTCACACGGCATGGTTAATGGTAACTTTTTCCAGTCAGTTTAGCGAAGTATCGCAATTGCTCGGCTGCGACTGTAAGAAATGAAAAAAGCGTATTTGAAAATGAGCTTTAAACAAGTTGTACTTACTGAAAGCCACAACCGTACCTGAAAAAAATGGAGTAAGCAACCTAGCTGTGCAGTTTTGACCGCGGCTGTGCAGTTTATAGTAAGACAAGTGCAGCACTTCAAATACGCGACCAGTGCGTTCTAGCATTGTATTAAAAACATGTAAAACAGTTGGAAATGGAATGGCTTGCTTGTGAGTTTATCAATTGCTGACGGTTCATATTGGTTAAAAGGCAGCAACCCAAAAGAAATCCAATAACGAGCTTTTGCCACTCCTACTAATGCAGCGCGCTTGACCAGACCAGTATGCGCAAGTTTGAAAAAATGGCTGGCTTAAAGATAAGCAGCACTACGAGCGGAAAGCTTCTTTCTGTAAAGAAAAAGTACAGCCGATGGCGGCGCCACTGGACGGCGGATGATGGCCCAGGTAAAGTTATGATGATAATGACGACTTGACTAAACTCATGCAAAGAGTTTCACTGTTAAAATTTCTGTAAAGTTCTTAATAACTATCAGTATGGTTGCCTTTTTAATGTGCATAATGATAGCAAGAAACAAAAGCTTGACCTCGTTACAACTTCCATCATATTGTATGGTTACAGCGTGCTAGATCCGTGACATTGACCAGAGTGGCTCCATAATTATTTAGCGCAGTGAAACAGCAAACGGAAGAAACGAATACGATGGTGGGTCAAGTTAGAGAAGCGGAAGTAAGGTTGCCTAATGTGCGTAAAACCACATTGTAAATGCTTGTCTGACCAGTTCGCCATGCGCAGCGCGGGCTGAAGATTTATCGGACGTTGATCATACTCAATTTCTTTTCCTTTCGTTCTCACGCTTGAAACTCAAATTTCGTGCAAACCATCGTTTCACCCGCACATTTTATGGAACTGCTAGCCTACCACTTTGTGCAGACTGTCCAGATAGCAAAGTCAGATCGCCCGTCGATGCCCGACCTTGTGCCACCTACACACAGGTAAATATTGTTCTCAACAACAACAACTTCTGCAGTCTTCACTTGGACGGTTGAACAGCAACTGTAGCCAGCAGCCATAAAATCCTATTCCCAGTTTCTACTTGATTCCGCTGGCCAGACCCTGACCCTACGGTTGTGCATGCAGAGAAAGTCGACTATACTATGGTTACTAATTGCTTTTAATATTCCCCTTGCAAGGTCTAACGTAAATCAATCTGAACGTTTTTTATGTTGCTTGTACCGTGGCATGAGCAATATCTAAGGGCTTCTTAGACTTGCGATTACCGTCAAGGAATCCCTATCGTTTTCCCATAGGTCATTGTCTGCCTTCAAATTTCCAAATTAACGTGAAACAATGACGATCTGCAGGCCAGTAAACTGTAAATTATTTAGACCGTCAGCGACAGATTTAAATCTAAAAATGGCCAATTCAGTTGCTGTCCATGTCCGTAAACTAAGCCAATGAATCAAATCGGAAAGTTAACAGCGCCAACGGAAAGAGGCAAAGAACAGAAGGATCAGTTAGACCATTATGTAAACGAACTGAAGCAGTTCTTTATAATTCCTATGCTGCATGGCATGAGTGAGACCAGTAACAGCTGTTTTAGTGAGGCAGGGACTCCATCAGTTGGACGAGAAAATACAGTGTAACCGGCGACAGCTTCTCCAGTTCCAAACCCTGCAGGCCGTCCAGACACCACTTTTTGCCGCAGTAATGCAGCGATGGACGCGGATTCACCGTCTGTGTCGCACACAACGTCTGCAACAAAGAGAATTAGGTTTCGTTTTGCCCTGGTCGGTCTTATCTTACCCTGGACACTATGGCCACGAATACTCTCCCATAACTCGTTAAATCGGCATATGCTTGAGATGATGCCATAAATTCGGACAGGCGACGCAGTTCTGTGCTACTGGGAATGGACAATCCATTTTCTACGGCACTCCACAGGGCGCCGCCGATATCCCCGGTAAAGCGCTGCCGCTTAATGTAAACCTGGGCAGTCAGCTTCCACAGTCTTGGATAATACTGCGTCTCATACATGCACTGTATTGCGACAGTGCATTTTATTAAATGGATGGCATCAAGAAAACTGCGGCACGCTACAATCGAGTCTGTGAGAGCGTTGCTCGTGTAAGCCGAAAGCGACTGATGCAGCTGGCATTCGGATGGTTGATGGTCGCCGTAAGAGCCGCTTACCAGACACAGCCGCATTCCGAACAAATAGATGGCCTTCAGCTTAATGCCAGGTTTCCGCTGTGCAATGAATTTAAGCATGTCGAACACTTCCACGATATCCATTTCCCAATTTTCCAACACACTCCGCCACTCCTGACTGATAATCACGGCAGTGTACTGCGTAGATGTGGAGACATGCTTAAAGAGGGTTGAGATCATAAAATACGTTGGAGTCGATATACCGCACAGCTCGGCTTTGCCGAATGCTGCACTGTCGAGAACAATAACAGCTGTGCAGGAAGCTGAATTCAGGATGAGGTTCCATGTGGCGCACACCGAACGGAGTTTGGTCTGCGTGAAAGTGTCCAGATAAGAGATAACTTCCGTCCACAATTCCACCGGCAACCTATCGAATTCTTCCAGTACTGAAATCTTGAGTAGCGGTTCTGCTGCCCGTGAAACGAAGCTAATTAGCTTGGCGTGGAATTCGTCGAGTGCTTCCTGCAAAAGCGCATGTTAGCAAAACTGTTAGTTTCTACCTGGTCTTCCTTACCCGTTCTTTTGCCATAAGAATATCATCGCATTCCTCTTTAGGCTTGGACCGCCGCTGCATGTACATCACGGAGCCGTCCACATTGTCTACGTCGACAATTTTGACAGAGTACCAACGGGAGTGGTAAAGCAGTTCCCTTCCATATTGTTTTAACGCTGCTGTTACCAATTCAGCTGGACACCCATCCGGTAACTTTTTGCTCTGCTTAAAGAAGGTCCATGTCTCAATTTGTTCTGGGCCTTCTGGGAAAACCTTCTGATCTCTTACAGCTGGTCTTCGCCAATGAGTCGGTGCTTTCCAGCGGATACGACTCATGGAAACAACATCTGCCAATTCCTCTGGGTATCCGTAGTCGACGACAGCCACGTTGTAGTCGGTGTGCCTGAGGTTGCGGTTCCGAATGAGCAGTTCCGCAGGGAACCAGGTACGTGTGCCAGACGCACTGTCGCGCATTAGGACTTCTGTGGGCATTTCAAACTGGATACCTGTCTGGACCAATTCGTGCCGGTCGAGATATCGGTTATCACTGAGCAAGACCCGGTCAAACGGCGTGAATTCTCGTTGGCGAGTGGGACAGAGGAAGTCGATGAAAAGACCATGGTCCGCCACATCTACCACGCACCCATAACGAAAGAGCCCGTCGTCGCCCAACACAAGCACACTGTCCCAAGGACGGCTTCCTGGGACCAATGGGACCATTGTCGACAGTTGCAGGGCTAAGAAGCCTCGATCCTGTAAATGCTAATAAGGAAGTTATGAAAGCTGTCCAATCCAGTTTTTCTTAGCAAAACAACAGTAATACAGTACTACGGGTTGTACTGTACTTTTTCAAGCTGTGCTTTGAAGTCAGAGCGGTATCGAGCTTGCTAAAGGTTCTGTGAATCCCGCATGATGACTGTGTGCTTGGTTTTACCCTTCTCGCTTGAGACGCCCCCTGGCCTGACTAAAAAGCACATTTCGCCTCGCCAATAATGGCTGAGGAGTGAGCAAGCCTCAGCACTCACTGTGCGCCGTACGGCATACTCATTAGAGTTAGACGAGTGCAGCACATCATCATTGCGCAATCAAATTTGTGAAACTGCAGATTCTATTCGTAGCCTGGCTACGGCAGTACTTTAGCAGCAACGTACGAGTACGGTGGCCCATGCCGCACGCGGCTGACTTCCAGATCTTTAAAAATTTTTAACTTCGTTAATTTTCGTAATAAATTTCTATACATAAGCTTGAAAAATACAGAGTAATACATACTATTAGGCAGAACAAATTTTTTTTTGTTTTCTTTTAGGGTTACGCAATGTGGCTCAATGCAGTTAGCATAGCTGTCTATGGAGGACTTATTCAAGATTTCCCATAGACAGCTATGCTAACCACGTATGCTCATTTTGCCAAACCTTAAGATGAAAGCAAGAAAACAATTGCTTTGCCTAGCAGTATGTATTATTCTCTATTTTTCAAGCTGATGTGTAGAAATTTATTTCAAATAACAAATTTTAAAGATCAAGTCACACGTCTTCCACTCGTACTATCTAATAGCTACGTAAATCTGCAGTTTCTAAATTGTTCACAATATCGGCAATGTGCTGCACATAAAAACTGCTCTCGTTAGATCGCCAGATCAAAATGCACCTGCTTGATTTTCGCATTTCAGGATGTCAACAGAATGATGTTAAGCATTAACTTATAAATTCTTCTTCGTATTTCTCGTCTGTTTCTACGAAAACATGTTTTTAGAAGTATCTTTTCATTTTCGATGATTTGTACGGTAAGTAATGTCTTCCGACAAGGTGCATGATAATGTATCTGTAGTCTGTAGACATAAACCAACCTGTAACTAGCTCAGCCTAGCTGTTTACTGCAAAAAACGTTGATAATGAGATGTATTTCTTTATCTGGCGATATGAGGATCGATTGCGAGACAAAATCTTGAACATTTAACTGCCGACAATGGCGCCATGGACCCGTCCGTGGAACAGTGTGGACGTGCGTGGCGACGACGGCCTCTTTCGTTTTATGGGCGCGTGGTAGATGTGGCGGACCAGGGTCTTTTCATCGATTTCCTCTGCCCCGGACGGCGACACGAATTCACCCCCTTTGACCGGGTTTTCCTGAACGATCGCGAACGGTACCTGGATCGAGACGATCTGGCCCGTCACAGCAATTCATATTATAATAAGCCCGTAGAAGTCCTGATGCGCGACCGTGCTTCGGGTGCGTGGACGTGGTACGCGGCGGAATTGCTTCTACAGACTGATGACATCGCGCATGCAGACTACAGCGTGGCTGTCGTCCACCTCGAGAGCCCCCCAGATTATGTGGATGGTGTTCCCATTACGCGTATTCGCTGGCATATTAAGGGTTATGGCTTGCAAATCGTGGATTTGCCGAAGTGCGTGGAGAAATGGACGTTCGTCAAGCGCAATGCACAACTGCCGCAAGGTTGTTCCTTGGAGCTGGTGGCAGCAGCGCTGAAGCAGCAGAAATGTGGATTCTACAGTCGTTCCTGGTTTTCTGCCCAAGCGGTGGGCGTGGACATTGAGGACGGTTGTGTCGTGTATATTCAACGTCGATCCACGGTCGGATCAGAACCCGACGATACTGCTACGCAGAAGGAAGTGGTAAGAAGCCATGATACTTCTAGTGTCTAGCGGTGATGGACATGTAACTAAGCGGTATTGCTATTGCAGAATGCTCTCCACCGTTTTCATCGCGCGTTAATCGACTTCGTTTCCGAGATGTCGGAACCGTTAGTCCCGATTTCTGCAATGAGTGAACCTGCTGTATTGCCCTCGGAATTGTGGACGGAAGTCTTCTCGTATATGGACACTTTGACGCAGACCAAGCTGCGCACTGTGAGCCCAGCATAGAGCTTCATTCTGGATTCAGTGTCCGTCCGGGCGAGTGTTGTTCTCGACAGCGCGGCATTCGACCAGATGGAAAACTGCAAAGATTTCGGACGAATGTATTTTCTCATCTGTACTCTCTGGAAGTATCTCACCCCATCCACGCAACACGTTGCTGTGATGGATCGGGGAGGCTGTATGAGCGAAATGGACTGTCTGGAAATACTCAACATTCTCAACCTGATTGCACAGCGCATTGTGGGCATTCGACTGAAAACCATCTCTTTGTTTGGGGTGAAGCTTCATCTACAGAGAAGCTGGTATAACGATCGAGAGGAATACGGACACATGCATCGATCTCTTTTTGATATAGCCCGCAACACCATTACGAAATCCGTCCTTGCATGCCGAAACCTTCCGTGTAATAGTATTTATTTAGTCAGAAGCACTATCGGTTTTGAATGCGTAGTAGCCCGGCAAGTTCAAGGGGACAGCTTGAAGCTGTCAGCCGATATTCACGTGGATCGACCGCGTTTGATTGGCGATTTGGGTGGTGCGCTGTGGAGTGTCATGGAAGGGGGGTTGTCCGGACCAAGTGAGACGGAATTACTTCGCCTTTCCAATTGGTTAACACCATTGCTGGCTCAAGCTGTTTTAACGGATCGACAGAGAACTTACAAGACCCTGGTCTGCAAGGTGAGACTGCAGCAAAAGGAAAAAAGGGAGATCTTCGCTGTTTTAATCGTACTTTTACAGACCTTGTGCGCGACGCAGACGATGGATCCGCGCCCCTCGCTGCATTACCGCGGAAAGAATTGGTGCGTGGATGGTCTGCAGGGTTTGCAGCTGGAAAAGCTGTCGCGTGTGGCGCTGTATTTCCTGGTCCAGCTCATTTAGTTCCTGCCGCAGTACATAGTCGTACCTGGTGTGGCGTAGGCAGAGTCGTATCTGTACAGCAGCGCGTAATGCTGAATTGTTCCACGGAGATAACCGAACAGACTCCTGCCGAACGTTTTTGTCGGTTACTTGCGTAGCTTGAAACAAATTCTGCCATGGCAAATTATAATCCAAGCTAATATAGTACTGATGTTCTTTAATTGACTTACAAACAGTTACTGTACTCTTGATCATCTTCTGCTGCATTTTATTCTGTAGTGTTGGCGGAAGCTGTTAGCTTTTACGTTTCAAATGTCAGCTATTAAAACGAATAAATCCAGTACGAGTACAAGGGGATACAAGTGGAGACATAGGTCGTGAACCTCGCTTGTGGCGGAAGAAACGTATGAATTACAGGTGCAAAAAGAGAGATATTGTTGTTTCGGTCTTCTTTCCGATTGCTAGTTTGACTGTTTCGTGAGAAAAACTTTTTTTTATTTTAATACGGATATTTGAGGAGCTTCGCTGTAAACTTCTGCCCGTTAGGCAGATGAAATGAACGTCGACTGCTTTTTAATGTTTATCATAATAACAGGGAGATAAAAGTTGACCTTTTGAGAGCTTTCATCGTGTTGTACGGCTGCAGGTTGCCGGATTCGGGACATACTGATGATATTGGCTCAATAATTATTTTGCATAGTGAAATAGAAAACGAGAGAAACGAATACGATGGTTAAGTCAAGATAGGAAAGCGAGAGTAATGTTGGCTAACGTAAAGCCACGTTGTAAAATGTACTGTAAATGCTTGTCCTGACTAGCTCGCCATGAGCGTAGTACGCGCTAAGAGTTTTTGTAAGCTGACCATACCGTTTATGATTTAAATTTTTTGTTCTTACGCACGAGTTTAAATTTAGTGGAACGTATCTTACCTAAATCCGCACATTTTACGTTACTGCTAGTGCTAGCATACCACTCTGTAGATCGTCAAATAGCGAGGCCTGATCTTCCGACTTGGTGCATTTTATCACGCTAAAAGCAGGTAAGTGTTGTTCTTAAAACAATAGCTTCTGCAGTCTTCACTTTGACAGTTAAAAAGCAACTGTAGCCAGCAGCTATGAAACCTTATTTCTAGTTTGTAGCTAATTCCGCCAGGCATTAACTATGGTTGTAACTTCAGAGAAAGCCGACTGTAAGATCGTTGCTAATATTGCTTGTGGTATCCCCATGCAAAGTTCTAAGGCAATCTGAATTATTTTGTTCTTTGTTGGTATCAGGACAGAAGCGACTGGGGAGGGCTTCTCATATTTGTAAGTGATTATCGTCCATGGCCGTAACAAGCAACCACTGGAACAGCGTGGACGTGCTGGGCGACGAACCGTGGTCCCTTCACTTTCAGGGTAGTGGTTAAGCCGCCCATTTGCTTTGGTTGTTTCTGTACTGTCTGGTTCCTACGGTGGCGTCCCCTACATTTGCTTTAATCGTCTTGGAGTTCTGTTGACCTTGTCCGATATTTATGCTCGTTGATCAATTTATCGACTGATGGCAGTATGGTTAATGCTGCATTAAAGGATACCTTACATCTTTTTCTGCTGCATATCCGGGCAAAATTGTAATTTTTGTAAATTCAGGAAACATCAGCATTAACTCAGTGATATATTAAAGTACTGATATGGGCGTATTTGAATTATGTTACTGAAGAACTTGCGCGAATGGCTGTGAGATAGATGTACGCATAGTTCGTTAATATACAAAACATTGTCGGTACCCATTCAGACTGTATTATAAGTGAAGTGCACCGTAGTCTGTAGCTGTTCAAATTAGAGGACACATGCCGCATAGAAGAACGGTCGTGAATTTTACATTCTTTATTGGGCAAAAGCCATCAATACAACAAAAAGTGCATACGCAGAATACTACGCAAAATGATTTACATTTAAACATTAAAAAAACAACCAAAATCGTTAGCGCTATCAGTCATTTTAGAACGCATACTCAAAGTGCCCAAAACAGCAGCAGCATTTCCTTTTACAACAGCCAGGCTAAATCTCTGCTTTAAAAATGCGGTAGAACGGGGCTCCCCAGTGGCGTCGCGAATCTTTCTGCCAACGAAACGAATAAGCTCCGCAAATGCAGGACCAAAGGTTCCAAAGGTCTCGACCGCCAGAGGATAAAGAAGATATCCCATTTCTTCCACAAACGCGTACTTACGACGTTTCCTGTCTTCGGCCAAAAGCGCAACACTTCCGGATGCACTCGCGCTTGCCCGCACGTGCGATAAGGCTACTGTGTCCCAACATGTAGCGTCCCAAACGAGCGCTTTGCCATCACGTACAGGGACGAGAGTCATGCCGTCTGGGCGCGTATTGTTTATACCGGACAGTCCCAGTGGCTCGCTTTGACATGGATACCCAGCATGTCATGGATACCCAGCATGTTCCAAAGCCCGCTTTGTTACGGCGTTGAGTTCGACATGTCTAGACCATCTTCCTCGGCTGCTGGAACAGGATAGGCCGTGGTGACCATTTGTTTCCACATGGCTTCCGCAGTTCACACAGTCGTGCTCTTCTACAACTGGAAGTCCAAACCTAAGTGCGATGCCAATACGCACTTCTTCATCCCGCAAGAACGTGCGCAAATTAGGTGCAGGCAAAGCATTTAGCCATGCGCCCGAATCACGGTGTAGCGCAGCTAAAAGTACGGCTCTGTTCGCTTCGTCGGTGGTTGTTTGCTTCATTAACAACACTGCTTGGTCAATCAACGGTCGATCCCATGCAGACTGGAACTTTCTCTGATCGGTAGCAGGGGGTTCACAGTTAGTTTCTTCGGACCATCGCAGCACAACTGGATCGAGAAGTGTCGCCGTTGCAGGGCGGTAGATCATCGAGACTAGGGAAGTAACCGAATACGCCGATGCCAGAAAGGCAGGGAAAACTAGCGATGTCGTACTCCGTAGCCCCATTCCCCCATCCCTGATAGGGAGCGACATCTGGGTCCACTGTGAGTCGTTCAGACGGACGTTAAGAATGGACTGCAAACCGGCACGGACGATGTCATCCAGCGATGCAATCAACGCCACGTGCTCATAACATCTGCTTGTGCGGAATCCATAGAGCAGTTTCGGTATCAGTAATCAATTTCGCAAAAGGTACAAGCTGTAATGTGCAGGTATCAGTTTGAGTCGCGATATGAAATACTCCAGCTGCACGGATTTACTGCGGAGGAAAGTCTCGCACGCCGCTGTCGTTAAAGGAGCTCCAAGGAGTGTGCATTCTTCTTCCTTAGAAACGGCCATTTCGGGAAATGCATTGAGCACCATTTGAACAGCATGTAACCGATCCGCAGTGAATTGTCCCACGCTGAAAACTTCGCATTTGCTGAGATTGAGCTCCAGTCCCATTCTTAAACCGCGTGCAATGATCAGTCGAATGGCTGCAATAACTTTTTCCGCGAAACCAGCTAGGGTGACGTCATCAAGGTATCCAGCTGCTCTGTCGCACTATAAGTCTTCAAAGAGTGGAAGTGTTGCAAGGCCATATCCAAACGGACCAGCGGGATCGCCTTGCTGTACACCAGTTTCTGAAGACAACATGAACTTGCCGCAACTCAGGTGTGACGCGTGCCGGTAGGACTGCCAGAAGTATCGGAAATATGCAGGGAATTTGTCACGTACAGCAGTCAACAAAACGTCCCGACGCAATGTATTGAAGGCGTTTCTGAAATCGAGCTTTACATTAACGCGCGCGTCCGCATGTGTCGTTTCAACGTGTAGCAAAATGGATAAGCCTTCGGGTTTTGAAAGATAGCCTACATCGAGCGCGGTTTGGACTTAGATGGGTGACCACTGAGTTCAGGCTGCGAGTGCACGGTCCGTCAGGCCTGTGTGCGAAGTGGTTAGTCAGCACCAGCGCTGACCGTACGGAGTGGCGTGTACGTTTCTTCGATGCCTGTGGTTAATACGGATTCTACTTGGATCAACTCACCACTTCGAATCGGAATTGTACGCCAACGGTGTGTTGGACCCGGTGGACGTACGAAGGGCCCTCTCTGACTGAACTTTGATACGGATGCGATTTAGAGTGATACTGATCTTGTTGTTCCGTGGCTCTGTGCCTTGTGCATGGTGCGCTTTATGCCCGTTTAAGCTACGGCAATTCTGTGACGTGTTACATCTGTAGTGTACGTATTACTGTTCTTTAACGGAGTGTGGTGACTTGACTAGCCATAGCGTATTTGATGTTCTTCGTGAATAAGGATATGTGATAATGCCGAAATGTACCCGGCTTGGCTACTCAATAAACAATCAATCAATCAATCAATCAATCAAAAACGTAACTCCGAACACGGTCGTGAATGAACAGATAATATTATGTCTGTAACAACACTGAATCACGATAATACTGTACATTGCATTGTACACTGTATCGTAAAAAAATGGTATTTGTCGGCAACTTCCAAGGTTTTACATTACCTCTTCAATAACAGTTTAACGGGTATTAGTACGTATTATTGTTAATACCTGCGCCCACGATACCGGCCGCTCGATGTACCACTGCCGATATTATGAGCGTACGTAATTGAATAATTGAATTGCCGGTTGTTGAATTTCTGCACAAATTATTTAGCAACGCTCTTATATGAGCAAACCGGCTGCAAACGTCATCAAAGCAAGTGGGCCAGGCAAGCAGCACGATGATCTTGAAACGTGGCGCATTTATTGATTATTCAACGATAATGTATTTCCTCCGACAACATGAATATGCGTTGCTGTCGGAACACCGTACGTACATTCTCTGTGTCAACGTGAGCCAGCAGTACCTGTTATGTGGGTATTCGATCGGATTGTTCGCTTACTGAGTAGCAGATTTCATTTTTACTTCGTTCTCTTCCCTGGTGCCATGATAACGCATAGTAGCATACCGCAAAATGCTTAAAGCCGTTTGCACTTCTTTGACATTGTGGCGAGAATGACGACACATCACGGCAATAATATTAGATTTTAGCGGATGTGCGATAACGCAACCGTCGGTACTCGTTGATCTCAGCCTTGGGCAATATCCTTATGAGAGCCTGTTTTTCATTTTTAGTGTAAAAGTTTGCAACTGTATATCAACAATAAAAGCTAACGTGAGCGTCGCAAAAACACCGTCTGCCATGGCAGATTCTTCTTCCGTGCTTGCGGTGACGACAATTGCAAAGGTAAATAATGTACCGCTCAGATCTACAACGTTGAAGCGAAATGTATCAGTGCGAATACTATCGGCAGAACTTTTTGCGAGCTCGCTGATCTTCGTTGATTTCACAACTGAGCGATTTGATGTTGATTTCACAACTGAGCGAGTATACCTTGTACATAAAATTTTGTTTTGCTCTTGCTTTTGGCTTCCGCAACAGATTCCCGAACTAATTCCGTGGAAATGGAGCACCGGGAAAAGCATGGCCTTGACATCCGAGCACCTCATTACAGTGTGCGACCAGGGTGATCTCTGGTCCAACCCCAGTCTGTCCTTCATCAATATGGCCGGTTCACAGCCACATGTAACCCGCACAGACTTTAAACGGCACCGTGTGCAGGACCGTATCGTCAATGCCGCCCGTAGTCCAAACGGGGAATTCTGCCTCGTTCAGGGTGAGCGGAAAACGAAACACATGCTAAATCTATCAACGGCGCCTTACTGTATTAGATGTAATTGTTTACGCTTAACTGCTGTTATGTTAAATCGTATCAACCCGTTAATGTAATTATGTAGAAAAATTGGCAAAATTATGGCATTATACCGGAGAAATTGAATAATTAAAGATTGGTTAACTACCACTCGACTTTATCCTGTAGATGCTGCCAAGTTACTACGGGTGCTCAGCCTGGAGGACGAGATGTTTACCGTGGCATCGGTAGATTTCGCTGCATGGATAGATGACACGTGCTTTGCCGTTCTTACGGAGAAAGATATAAACCATATGGATACGAGGACCTGGAAAGTCGGTTGGATGTGTTCTCGTACAGAGGTGACAGCCAGGAGCTACACCGTCACCGATTACCAAATGAGTCGCTCAAGACAATGGTCATTTCTGGCAGCGGTTAAGCTTGATGTACGCATGCAAACTGATGCAGTCCCCTTTTCTATGAGCGGCGGAATAATTGTGTTCGACGCAACCATAACTTAAACAACGACGAATTTGACAAGCGTTAAGGGTTACCAGTTTACCACTGAGTGACCTTCCCTAGGTGGATCAAGCAACAGGTCTTGTGGAGGTGTGGCACACGGAGGCCAAATTTTGCCGAACCATTGCCGGATTTGCGGCTGTTTTCGTGCCCCCACTATCGACTAACAACCGAGACGCTATCTTGGTCGCCGACACCGCCATCACCAACAACATGCACCGTGTGCTCATTAAGTATCGCCCGCTTGCGTATTCTCAGCTTTCTGTTGATGCGGGAGCCACCAAAACCTTTACTCTGGAGATAGATTACTCCGAGGGCGGAAACGGACTGACTAGGGATGTTCCAATTGCCATAACGGTACGTAAAGGCTATTACGACATAAAATTACGTGCCTGACAGCCGTAATCGGCGCATTGTCTAATGATTTTTCTATAGCCACATCCCATGGACGATCTTCCTCTGGCATTTGTCACCACAAAAATGGGATATGTTCATTTGGTTGATTATCGGAATATGTGCCATTTGGGGTCCAAAAAGTTAACTGATGAGCAGAACACCTTGTGTGCTGCGCGCAGCGCGTGCTCTTTTGGAGGCTCGGTGATCCTTACCAGTGAAGGAACAGTAAGTCTGTAAATTTTATTGCGAGTTTTTACGATGAGTACGAAGGGGACTGTGGTTGCGTCCGAAGCGCATCAGTTGCTTCGTGTTACGCCGAACACCGCAGCCATCAACGGTTGAACGTCTGGCTCCGGCGTGCCTCGGCTGAGGATCAGTTGTGCCGTAAAGCGTGGGCAAAATGCTGAAGCGCAGTGGGCACGCCCATCATGAATGCAGCAGCACAGAGCTTACTTACTAATGCTGACAACGGCTGCGCTGACTATTTAGCGATATGTGAGCGGCCCGTGTGGCGTAGCTACCTGCGTGCGGGCGACAAAGCAAGCCACAGAGGGGTCAAGTAGAGCTAAATAAACAGATGTTTCCTGAACCCGTTAAAACACAAACTCGGGAAAAAAATGGTTGGGGGGAAATTATTGAAAATAGGCTCTTTCATTCATTCATTAATGCATCAGGAGTAGACAACCAGGTAAGGAGGACTTCAGTGTCAAACTGCAGGTCGGTAAAAAATCAAACAAAAATTACCCGAGTTTACGGATATACGTACAGAGTACATACTATATTGCATTATTTTTGTTGTGGTATTCAAACGATTTTTTATAATCAACTTTGGTAAGCAAAACTCAAAAGCCGTTTTTTACCTTTCAAGATATTTGGAGTTAATGTTTCCTTTGACCATTTGATAACGACTCTGCTAAACAACAATCTGTCAATGGAAGCCGGGAAGTACGCAATACGGTTAAATGTTCCCATGGAGAACGAAACGTTTATGCGCGTAGTCCCCGCTGTAGGCGGCATGACGCTGGACTTTGCGACCTTTTGCGGCTTCCTCAGGCTAAACGCGGTTCATTTGTCGGCCGATCAGGCCGTCCAGGTGTTTAAATGGGCGGTTGATGTGGCTCCATCCATTCCCCATCACTTCATGCTACTCGGTCATCTCGCGATGGAGCTGTGCGACAAAATCGGTTTGGACAGTTTGATCCCTCTGTTCGAGCACGGGGCTAGCAATGAATGTAAGCCAAAATCAGCTGCCATGTTGGTTTTTTTAAATATCATCAGGAACTTACTAATTTACTATAGCTAGAAGGACTGGTAACTGCTGTGCAACGGTCGACAACGTCATCACTGTCGCATACAGAAAGCACTGCTGTGCTACTGCGTACCATAGTCCCACAGCCTTTGTTGTCCCTTTTAATAGATATTCTGAAGTTTCTTTCTCATCAAAAGCTTACTGATATTTTTAAAAGACCATAATGAATATAGAAACTTTTATTTCGAGGGCTAAAAATAGAAGAGAACAGAAATCGGCTGAGAAAACTGACAAAAACCGTGAAAAACGCGCATCTGTCACCATGGCAGCCGCCCTCACGTGTATGCGAGAGTGATGACGTCAAACGGTTGGTTACCAGTCCTCCTCACACTATAGTAAGTACTTGCTATCGTTAAACTCGATCTGTCAGTGTTAAAGTTGGTGTACAACATGAGTACGTCGCGCGGACGCAGGCATCTAAAATGTCCTGATTGCAGAATCAGTCAAAGCAACTGGTTTTTTTATTTAGCGGTCAAAACGGTGCAGTAGTCACTAAACCTGTGTTTTCTGTCGACGAGCAGTGCGTTGCGCCATATAAGTCGGCCATACTAATACGTTTAGCTTTGCATGCAGGCTTCGAACGAACCGCTCAATGTGAGTTGTGTTATGGGACAAGGCATCATACCATCTTTTTGTAGTGATTTGGCTGCACGCAGAAATACTACCGGCATAAATAGCGAGTATTGCAAAACAAATGAAATATAATTATATTACATAACAGCGTTATTGTGTTTAGGCCTGTTTGTCTTTCTCAAGTCCCTGTCAACGAAGAATATGCCGGAAATCCCTTTATTAAAACTTGTCAAAGTAAGCCTCGTACTCTGCCAGCGCTCGATATTTATGTGAAGTACCGTACCTAAGATTTCTAATTTAACCGCCCCGATTGCGCTGGTTTGCGGCAGGTGGCTTTTAAACATGGCATCATACAAATTCTGGAGCTCCATTTTATTGCAAACCAGAGCAAGTTGCACCCGGATGCCGTACTAGATTGCTTGCTGTCTGAAATTGTGGAACCCGGTGTACAGTCTGTCGTGGATGAATTTGTGGAGAAGTTCTGCATTAAGTACTGCCTTATCGTGAAACTCGTTACATACAAAATAAGCAATGGACGACCCGTGCGACTGGACGCTATACTTGAAAAGTTGCCGAAAAAGGTACAGTTTTTATGAGTATCTCATAAAACGTGCGACAAATATTGAAAACAGTCTTATTTCCGCGAATGGTATTTCTCGGAAATGTATTTTCTTAAGGCAGCGGTGAAGCAACATTTTGTAATACAGTGTAGCTACTGTAGTTTCCATATAGCCATGCGCTGAAAAATTTACTTCAACTGACGTAAAACTGACGCAAAACAGTGATAAAAAAATGTAGGCATAGTCGAAGCATCGCTTTTTTGCGAATAAAAAATCTACATCAAACTTACCGCGTTCGTGTTTCACAGGAATCTAAGAAGCAATTGTGTCTTGTCATCGACGTTCTTCTAAATACTGTTGACGCTAATCTGGCTTCGCTGGAGGTTAAGCACGATCTTAGACTTACTGTAGACATGTTGCAAGCCGCCTATCCCGACGTCCTTCGGTCGCTGGATGAGGATGCAAAGTGGTGAGGGCTGGAATTACTGGTTTGGCCTATCATTTCCAAAAGAGCTGGTTTTCTCGACTTGTAACTCCATTTTCCAAATAAAGTTTTCCTCTGCAGGGCAGCAAAGATCGGCTTCCTGGAATATCTCACGGGAAAGGGCATTCCCGATGAAACCATTCATTCTCAGCTAGTGAAGCTGTACATTGAAACCATGGAAGAAGGCGAAGATTTGGATCGCATTCTTAGGTGAATGCATAGTGCGGCAACGAACCACGAGCATATACGCTTCGCCACTTATAAATATGTTTATTTACTTGAATGTTTAATCGCCATTAGTTTTTAAAGGGTCGGATTTTTAGATGTGGAGACAATTTTCAATCGTCTGCATTTTCAGGAGCAATAAACTGTACGATGCCGCGGCTGTTGGACAGTGGTGTGAACAAAACAGGTGGCTAACTAAAGCGCTGATGGTCTACGAGCAACGACAGCTTAGTGATGATTTTATCCGGGTATGCAATTTATTTTGTCGAAATAGATTACTCACGCTGACTTCGATAATTTACGAATTAATATTATTGGCATTGGCGGTTACCTTACGCTTAGCATACTTACATTTTTACTGAAAGTACAAGTACCTTATGCGTATTTACGTTATTTACATTCCCCTTTACACGCAACCTATTCTTTCGTTAACGAAATGCTCCTAACTGGTAAGTGGAAGATTTCCTCATCAGAACGTCACCATCCTGGTGTGACGCTTTAGGTTTAACAGAGACAACGCTGGATTTTCCCTTGTAGACGTATAGTGTATTCTGCTTTTAACAGTAGTAACCTCTCATACGCTTATACACTTCTTTAATGGTAATGAGTTTGACCTTTCAATAAATGGATTTCTACCTACAGATAAGCGACTACCTGGAGGAATTTCGGCGTCAGTTTGACTACTTGTTAAAGCTACGCAGTAAAGTCCTCTGGGAACGGGTCTTGACTCCGTTTAACGAACGACGCTGGCACTTGGTTAACATAATGATGGACCGATTTGAAGACGGTTACAAGGCATCTGCTGACGATTTTGAACAACTTGCCGTGCTCATTGAAGCTCTTTCCGAAACTGATTTGATATCGGAAGCCCAGGCATTTATTCACAAACTACTGATCGAAGCTGTCAGTACGGAACACATCAGGTGGGTACAGTTTGTGATCAGTGGAACGTGTTTGGTGGCAGTGTAAAGGTCGCTCCTGCTTTCAGGTTCCTACAACAGCATGCCGTTCGCTGTTTATTGAAGAGTGGATACCCAGCAGAGGAATTTCGACAACGGTTCGATGAGAGTCTAGACACGTATGATCCATGCACAGTAGCAGAAGTGCTCGTTCAAGGCGGAATGTTGCGGTTGGCCAAAGACATACTGGTCAAGGGAAAATGCTGGAAAGAAGCAGCACAGGTCTGTTGCATACTAATCTGTCGGCACCCACGTTTCTGCTTGAACTCTTTTGGCCATTGCTTCCGCGATTCGTAAATTTTCCAAGTAATACTGGTGGAGGTCAATTACATTTGGGTAAGCGTTGCGCGTCGGGTAACGGGAAAACGCGTAAAAAATGTGACGTAACAGCGCGTAACCAAGCAAACATTCTGATTCGCAGTCACAAAATCTGGGATGGGTTTTCAGCTTACTTGTCCGCGTAAGCGTTGCGCTTCGACGTCGAAGCGCAACCATTACCCAAACTACGAGTAACTCGTAACTCTCCTGCACAGATTAACAAAATTTGTCTGTGTTTGGACCAAAAGTAAATCTAACGACCCAGAGTCACAATCCAAAACTCATAATTAACTTTTTTGACGTGATACCACATTTACCACATTACAGCATTAAAAAGGAGTTTTTCAGTTCCACTACGGTGTTCAATTTCTTTCTTGGCACGGAAGCGTACTCGACTCACGATTGGACGATTGTTTTTCTGCTGAGTCATGGCAAATTTTTTACGCGGCTCTCCATTACCCGACGCGCAACAGTTACCCAAATGTAATTGACCTCCACCACTATTTCGATCGAGTCGTTTACGCGTCGTCAAGACAAGCTGGATACCATGTCCATCGATGATTATCTTAACGGGCTTAACCGGCAATCGTCGATGGTTTCTGTAATTATACGTATCGCCATATCCCTGATTCCCATCCTGTACAAGTCGGTCCGAATGATGAGCACGAAAAATGTAAATTCATGGGTCACGCCAAACAACATACTACGCCGCGCCACGCCACACTGATTAAACACGTAACATGCGTTTCGCTGGCTGGTGGCTTGGTGCACGCCTTATATTTTTAGTATAATCGTAGCTGCCTGGCGGAAGGTGGTACAGTAGGGGCCAATCTTACTGCGCAGCACCTTTATGCATTGTGGCAAACATAGTGTAGTGGCCATCGTGCTAAGCGCTATCATAGCGCTTATAATGTAATAGCTGTACGTTTGCGTGCTCATCATCCGGATCGGCGCGCCGCGCGTACATAAGTATTTTGGCACATCCCGATCCATCTACAGCTGACTACTAATTTCGACCGTTTACGGACTTGGTAGCCAGCTTGCCTTGACGAAGTGAATTCGTTCCCGGCTCGTATGAACGCCTTGCACTTACATGCTTTCTCCCATATATTCGTTTAGTTGGTTGTGGCTCACAAGGATGAAGACCTCGGTGATATCAAAGAACTGGCATTCCAAAGTCGCGATCCGGATCTCATGTCGACTGTTGGCGAAAGTTATCTGGCATCAGGCAAACTGGCTCCAGCATTGCAATATCTTGTGGAAGCTGGACGATTTACGAAGTATAAGCTCGTCTGCTCGATGGTACCGCTGGACAACAATTTTGGTCAGCCTTTTTTGGATTTTCTAATATTTTCTGGGAATTGCATAAGAACTTCTTGAACCCCGAATAACATAAGATTGTTTGCTGTGAATGATGGCAGCTTGTATGTAGACGAATGGGAACTGCTCATACGTTTCTTGGAGGGTGCACTTACCATCACCAAAGACCCCTCGCTCTCGGTGACCCTAGCTCTGGCATATGGGAAAACCAACCGCATGCACGATCTGCAGAAGCTCAGTAAAAAGCAATATGAACTCTCCACCGTCACTTGTTTACGGCCAGAATGTGTGCTCTGTTATTATATAGTGACTAGTGAAGGCGGATCGAGGGGAGCGCAAGACGTCAACTGCTGTCGTATCTGTGAGGATCATCCAAAGGATGTGACATTCGCTCCGTGCGGCCATATGGTGGCGTGTATGGGTTGTGCCCAAGAACTGAGCGTGTGCCCCATATGTCGCCGACCAATCGACTTAAAAATCAAAACATTTAGTTCCTAATGCCATCATTTCCACCGTATGTATCACATACAACATACTTAGTGGGCGTAATCCGACTACCCGATTAATATCTGAACAGTGATCGTAAGTTCTGCTTGTGCCATTGCTTATACCACCGATACCGGACGCAAAGGTCATTAGCATGCTGATGTTACAGCAAAACTGTGGAAATGTTACAATCGCTGCTTGTTTCAACGATGTAAGCTTTCATGCGTTAGAACAATGCAGTACACTGGTTTTACTGGTCTACAATGTTTAGTAGATTTCTTGGCCGCCGACTCGTCAGGTGATGTCAGCCATGATTAGTTTACAATAATACTCTATTAAAAAAATATCGAGCAAACACCGAGACAATTTATAAGTGTGTCCTTGTGGGAGCCTTTTTTAAATTCACCAGAATACGTAATGTTACAAAATTTTTAGTGCACGTACGTACGACCAATGCAACATTCTGTTGATCGTTTACTGCCAATAATTATTTCATTGCAGAATAAAATACGGTTTTAGCAGCAAAACTACGGTATGCTGGTGCCAGGTATATACAATATACAAGGAGCGTATATACAAGCGTATATATACATACATTCGTATGTACAAGAAGCGTGAAGAGCATGAGTTTGTGAATGTGTGGCGTGCGTGTTTTTATTTGGCGGTCGTTACAAAATTGGCTTTCCTTGGAAGGAGTACCATGATGGTAGCTGAAGTACATACTTATAAGTGCCGTGGTAAACCTGCCATGGTTTTCAGCCAGGGTATTGTACCTAGTACTCATGCATTGTTCACGACCGGCATTCTGAATTTTGAGTACGTTTCTACCTAATGGATTGGCGGTATGATAGCGTACATTGCGAAATACATAATGCAATTTTAACTTGTCTGTGATAACTTATCAGTTATCACGGCAGTAATGATTACATGATGTACGTTATCGTGAGCATCCTAAACTTCCGCTGGTTTTGCTATCGTTGTTCATTACACTAACGCATGCGCAAGGCGAGCGCCTTTATTGCGAAACTTGCTAATTGTGGTTTTCGAGGTCGAGACCCGTTAGTCATGGCAGATTTTGGTTCCGGGCTTTCCGTGGCGGCAGTTGCGAAGGTAAAGCGATGACATGCTGCATTATCGTTTCTTTATAAAATTTTCAGATATCTGCAAAGGTAATGAGGATTTTTTACCGGAAATACTAATATCGATAGGACTGTTATTTCGAAATCTCGACTTCGACTGATGTACGAGAATGAACAATAACCCGAAACTGAGTAATGAGTGGTTTGTGAGGATATTGTAGCAAAAGCACAGTGTTATAAAAATGATTGCAATGTATGCACTGATCTACTTCCACAGATTTCCGATTTGATTCGGTCATGGAACAGCGGAAAAAGCATGACGATGACATCCGAGCACTGCATTACGGTGTGCAGCCAGGGTGATCTTTGGTCCGCCTCAAGTCTGTTTTTCATTCAACTAGCAGGTTCACAGACTAACGTGACCCGAACTGAATTCGAACGCGGCCGTATGCGAGACCGCATTATCAGTGCCGCCCGCAGTCCGAACGGGAAAGTGTGCCTCGTTCTAAGTGAGTATCTGCACACAATGTAAAGCCATACAAATCTTCCAGGCTCTGCTATCTGACAGTATCTGTATTGCCTAGTACGGCTGCGAACAGTATTAGCATGCTGTAGAGTTATATATAGTAACATATTGTGCATCAAATTATTTTAGATATGGACGACTTCGTACCCGTTAAATTTTTCCAAGCTCGTTGCTTTAATGTATGTCCAGCCATACCACCATCCCACCGTATCATACGGTATCCTCTATGTATTCCTCATGCATCCTCACAATTTCCTGACTTCGTTTTGTTCATTGCCGTATACAAACGTATACATGTATCCCACAAAAACCCTAATAAAACATAAGAAACCCGAAGAACCTAAGAACATTAACGGGATGCATTGAGCATACACGAGGGATACTGTAGAATACGCTACTCGTAGTTAAAAAGAATGTCCACTTTAACAATATTTTATATTACCCATGCGTAATTGATACTTGCAAGCGTATCACCTTCGAGGGCATAAAATCCTCTACGTATCCTTCATGTATGCTACTGAATACAGCTTTAGCGCTCATCGGTAACTGCTGTATCCCAGTGTATCTTACCAGATCCTTGATTTATCCGTCGAGTATCTTCAGGTATCTCTTTTCTTTCCTAGTGGAATCCATTCAGAATACACAAAGGATACTGAAGCGATACGTTGGGATACGGCAGAAATTTAAAAAAAGTACGAGTAGTAATTTTAAAGGATAGTAGAAGATACTGTCGGATACGGTAGTCTAACAGGGGATGAGTGGCTAGGTCAACCCTAGACGAAAAGAAACGGGAACTTAACGCCAACACACTGCACGTTTATATCACCTCTCACACAAAGCACAGAGGCATCCGCACATTCTGCGGGGCAACCGATAAGCAAACAGCTTAGACGACGGAGCCAAGCTACTGAAATAATACAAGGCTGGTCGCGCTAGCGCGCCCTCAATTGAGTTTAAGGTATGGGGTTTCGGTTTAAAAATTAGGAATGTGGAAATATATCGCCTGTTTTGTGGAAATGTTTCGTAAATATTATTTGACTGTAATTACTGCAGCTGCGTTACTGTAATTAAAATCCTTGTTCAAATATTAATAATTTAAAGTTTTTTTAAACGCAAAAATGCTAAAATATGGAGGTATTGGCCACGCCGCACGGGGCCAGCATTTGAAAATATCATAAAATATTTTCTGAAAAATTAAAGTAACTTTAAAAGTTTAATCTGGAATTAGGAGTTAATTTTCTTGGAATAAAGACGTAGCGATTTATAAATCTATAGATAATGTAAGAGGAGAATCCTCTTTACACACAGCAGCCGCCCATCCGCCGCCTACCTGGTTGGCTCAAGCTCAAGCACAAATATCTTGATCTTCGCCAACAGCGGCGATGGCACAGTGGCTAGCATACGTGGATCTCACTCGGTAGCCAGCGGTTCGATTCCGCTCCATCGCCATTTTTCGGAATTTCCTCAACAGACAGGATCTTCATCTGACCGCCCTCCCTCGCTGAGATCATCACGGACTGCCGACTTATGGCTGCCTCTGTTATAATAAGTACATGTACCAGTACATAAAATATTCGTATAAGTAATAAAGTATATTATTATATAAAATAAAAGTATATGTACCAGATTTGAAAGTCTGGTAGATGGAGAAAATCAGCAGAAGATAGGCAAAACAACCTAACAGCCACCCCAGCGCGGGTGTGCAGAGAGGCCGCTCCTCCTCATAGTAGGATACTGTGGAAACAAGTCAAAAAAATTTAACGTGTACTAACCGTGCCATAGGTGAAACATTTGACTACAGTAGTTTGGCATGCTATGCTCAAATTGAACTGCGAGTCGGCGCCCAACCATTCACCGTCGGTAGCAGGATAGTGCTTCAGACAGACACCGTGAGTGACACTTGTCACGTCAATTTCTGCTGAATGCAAGCATTCAGACGCGGTCAAGAACCTACCTATAAATCTACTGCTCAGTCATACCGACTCTCATTAGTCCAGGGCAGTTTGGCAGAGGGCATATGTACATATACAGGACATCAAATTTTATGTAAATGCCTGCCATAGCATAGGTAGAAAGCCTAAGAAAACCTACGAAAGGTAGATGGTTCGGTTTTACAAAGGTAGATGGTTCGGTTTTCTTCCCCGTTCGAAGCCAGTGCTGGCCATTATGCGCTTTTGATCCTGTTGCGCACTGCACTGAACCGTCTTCCGACTGGCCAAACCTACTTCCTTAAATCTAAATAATACTAATAGCGTAATGCATATTTTGTACTGCCCTAAATTTATGATGTAGATGCTGGCAGTGTTCTGCGAGTGAGCACAGTAGAAAAGGAAATAATTGCCGAATGGCCCGAAAATACCGTACCATCGGTGGACTTCGCTGGATGGATTGATAACACTAACGCAGTGATTCTAACGGAACAAGAAATTATCCACATGGAAGCGTTAAGCGGGAAAGTCGGTTGGAGTATTTCTCGCAACGAGGTTGTGGCGAAATGCTACACTGCCACCGATTATCAGCTAAGCCATTCGAGAAAGTGGTCGTTTCTGGCACTAATTAAGCTTGATGTACGCCCGCTGGTCTTACGTATGCGGAAATAATTTTTCTTGGAAATAAACACGCGGCAAGGGATGCAACGATGAGGAAAGTTCTGATGTTAACAACCTCTTTCCTCGTAGGAAGACCAAGCAAGAGGCCTCGTGAATGTATTCCAGTTGAAATCAGGAACTTCGAAAACCTTCTATGGCTTTGCGGCTGCTTTTGCGCCGACACTAGCGGCGAATGACGACGTTGTATTGGTCGCCAGCACCGTTCCCAACAGCAAGAACCGCATCCTTGTCACGTCTCTCACATTAGCGGACGCTCAGTTTCCAGGGTATGACAGTTTAAGCAAAGATGCTTCCCTTGCGATCGAGAACCCATTGGATACAAACAGAGCGGTTAATGACTTCCCGATTGCCGTTACGGTACTTAAGCGACCGTGAATTATGTGTGCCTTTCGAGTGCATTGTTTGAAGCGGTCTCTACAGGTTCATTCCACAAATGGACTGCCGTTTGCATTTATCACCACCAAAATGAATTATGTACATCTGATTGATTATCGGAAGATGTGCCACTTGGCGTCCACGAAGTTGACCGAAGATGAGAGCACCAATTGTGTTGTGCACAGCGCGCGGTCTTCTGGGGGTGTGATGGTAATTAACAGTGACGGGATGGTGAGTTCAAAAATTTCACTAAGAATCAACGTTCTGTGTACATTGTATTGTACCTACCGGTACGAGTATGCATGCACAGAGGGTGATTTCGCAATATGCTTCCAGCACGGACACAAAGTTGCAGTAATTCTCTTCCTTGTTCTTTCCTTTACTTCTTGTCACTTAAAAATACTTCAATATGTGCTTGATATGATAATTCATGATTAGACTTCATCATTAGACTGCATTCGTTGAATTCGAAGAACGAAGTTAGTGGCACTCCAAAGTGATTTTAAAGCAGAATGCCCAGTTTTCCAAACTGGAACAAATTTTCTACGAGGAATTCTATTTGCCTGTTTCCTTATTATCTGAAGTTTGACATAGACCGTCGCAATCGCCTATCGGTGAGGCGCAGATGTAGCTTCTTTATTTGGGCGGGAGACACGAATGCCGTGTTGCCATATTTAAGTATCGTAAAAACAAAACTCAAAATTAGTTAAAAATCAAAACGAATGATGTTTGTCTTTCGAAATTATTTACCGGAATATTAAGGCAGTGCATTTGGTTCCTCCCAGTGTTAAAACCACCGCGGATGTCTATACTAAAAGGTCGCTTAAATAACTTCTCGAAAAGCAATTTGCATTTGTAGCCCGAGGAGAACGCAAGGGGAGCAATCAAAATGGCTCTCTTCCATTTCACCCGGGCTGACAAAACGTGCCAGTGCCTCGAATCTCACGAAGCTAGATGTTGTTAGAGTTCACTAAACCTGGCATCCATAGATTAAGGATTAATAGCGATTTTTTGGCAAATGTTTAATGGAAAGCACCGGACAACCTTTTGCGAATTGTTTGGTGTCGCGCACAGACCCTTTTAAAATCCCATCGTATTCTAAATTGTTTTCTGTTCTTAAAATCAGTTTGTAATAATCGCTAAGAAAAAGGGCTTTCAGACATAAAGGCTTCAAGAGTAAAACATGCACGGAGATAATGGCTATCAATTCATAAAGAAACTGGAAGCACATTGCAAAATCACCCTCTGTACATGTTTTACCTAGCTTGAGACGATAATTCTGTATGTCACTAACCGAAGACCACCGAGTTAGAGTTGTAACCACTCCTTTCGCTCCAGGTATTCGGGGTCAGCGTGTCCCTTGATAATTTGGTAGCGACTCTGTTAAGTAAAAATCTTCCGCTGGAAGCCTTAAAGTATGCAGTTCGGCTGAACATTCCAATGGGGAACGACATATTTATGCGGATGGTCCATGTTGTACGCGGCGCGACGGTGGACTTTGAAACCATCTGCGCCCTGCTCAGGGTGAATGTGGTTCATTTATCGGGCGATCAAGCCAAGGAGATGTTTAAATGGATAGTTGATATGGCTTCACACACTCCTCATCATTCTATGCTCATCGGTCATCTCGCCATGAAGCTTAGCGACAGAATTGGTTTGGACGTTTTAATAAGCATGTTCGAGCGCAGTGCTAACACAGAACGTAAACACAACTTTCTTGTCATAACAGCGAGAACAACGTCAGTACTCCCGGCTAGTAGATAATAGGTTGTTATTGTACCTAGGTCTGTTTATGTTTCTGAAGTCTCTGGCGCCGAAGAAGATGACAGAGAGTGCTTTATTGCAACTTGTCAAAGTATGTTTTGTATTTGCAAGAATCCCGAATTATACGTCAAGGTACCACCCACGAATCTACAATGGTCTGCGGTCTGTACAGGTGGCCTTGAAGCATGGTCTTATACAAATCCTGGAGCTTCATTTTATCACCGTCAACAGCAAGATTTTGTTTGCGGATTCGGTAATAGATTGTTTGATGTCCGAAAATGCTGCACCAGGTTCGAAGCATGCCGTGGATGAACTCGTGGAAAAGCTGTGCATTAAGTACAGTCTCATCATACATCTCGTAACGCTCAGAGTGCGCAACGAACAGCCGGTGCGACTAGACGAATTGCTTGGAAACATGCCAAAAGAGGTATGTCGTGTAGATTCTTTGTGCATTTCGAACGATAGCACGGCATCAGCCTACAACAGTAAGTAAGCAAAGTCCGTTCGACAAAGTTGATGTATTTGTATGATTATGGTAATTTCCTCTTCTCTTATGGTAATCTCCAATTAATGGTTTAATTGGAGATTATGGTAATCTCCAATTAAACGCATTCACATTAAATCTTCCAGGCGTATGTTTGCAGGAATTCAAGGAACAATTGTGCATGATCATTGAAATTCTTCTACAATATAGCCCTGATCTGGGTGCACTGGAGGTGAAGTACAATTTGGGACTGACCGCTGACATGTTGCAAACCGTCTATCCTGACGTTCTTCAATCCCTAAAGAAAAATGAAACGCGGTGCGGAAAGCGGATGGAAAACAGTTTCCGCCGATCAGTGCCAAAGGGGTCCGTTAACATGCAATCATTCCGTGGTACTTATTGTATTACGTTTTAGGAACACAACGACCAGCTTTCTGGAATATATTGTGGGAAAGGGCATACCCGATGAAACCGTGCATTCTCAGCTGGTGAAGCTGTACATTGAAACCATGGAAGACGATAAGCTGAACCAAATTTTGAGGTATTGCGGCAACGAATCGTACGAGTAGCATTACGCTTTACTTGTCAAAGATTTCCTTTGCCATGCAATAAGCTAAAATATTTTTTGGATTCTACAGAAATTTCTGTCATCTTTGTCTTTCAGGAACGACAAATTTTATGATGCGGTAGCCGTTGGCCAATGGTGTGAAAAGAACAATTGGCTGACTAAGGCTTTGATGGTATACGAAGAGCGACGCCTTAGTGCAGATTTTATCCGAGTGAGCAGTAACGTTTAAGCAGTTAAAAATTGTTAAATAGAACATGTGACCTGCCAAACGCTTTCACTGCAGGCACATCTGCGTCATTCTTTTCAGATTAGAGTAGTATCTTCGTTGCTGTTTTGCGTGTACTGCTTTTTGGAGGCGTTCTGGTTTTCTGACCATAAAAATTTTTTGTTTGCAGCTGAGCGGCGACCTCGGTGTATACAAGCGTCAGTTTAACTACCTCCTAAAGTTAAGCAGTAAAGACCATTGGGAAAGCGTTCTGAGTCCGATCAATGGAAAACGCGCGTACCTGGTTAACATTATGTTACATCAACCAGAAGCGGGCTACAACACAGTTTCTGGCGACTTTGAACAGGTGGCCGTACTCGTCGCGACTATTGCCGAGACTGATTTGGTATCCGAAACCCAGACCTTCATCCGCCGACTGTTATCCACAACTGTCGGCAAAGACCAGATCTTGTAAGGCCAGTTTCAGTAATAAAGCGTGTCTTCATAAGTACAAGCTGATTATTCCCTTCGTAGGTTTCTGCAAAAGCATGCCGTTCGATCTTTATTAGGAAGTGGATATCCCCCAGAGAAAATTCAGCAGGTGTTCGGCGAGCAGTTATACACATATGATCCGTGCATAGTTGCCGAGGCACTCGTTCAAGGAGGAATGCTGCGGTTTGCCAAAGACATACTTGTCAAGGGAAAATGCTGGAAAGAAGCCGCGCAGGTCCGCAACACATGGATATGCTTGTTTTCCGACTCTTCATGATTAACATAGATTCTATTCTTATCAGCGGTTCCTTACGAAGTAAATTCTTGAAACTGCTTCTTTTGTTTAATTATTCAGTTGGTTGCGGCTCACCGAACCGAAGGACTCGGCGATATCAAGGAACTGGCTTTTCTTAGCCGTGATCCGGAGTTACTGGCGACAGTCGCCGAGAATTACTTGAAATCGGGCGAACTTGTTTTGGCACTGCGGTATTTTCTGGAAGCGGGTCGATTTAAAAAATATAAACTCATCTGCTCGATGGTGCCGTTGGACAGCAGTTTCGGTAAGTGTTCTAAGAATCTTTGGGCTTTTATTTGTTGAGGTAACTGTTTATGGGATACATTTAGCCGAATGGGAACTGTTAATTCGCTTTCTGGAGGGTGCGCTATCCACCACTAAAGACCCATCGGTTTGTGTGACGCTGGCACTGGCTTATGGGAAAACCAACCGGACGCACGATCTGAAGAAATTGAGTAAGATGCGGTTCAGATTCTGACTGTTCTGATTCATATCATGACCGTATTACGTACATCATCAAGTGGCCAACGAAAGCGGGTCAAGCGGAATGCTGGATGTCAATTGTTGCCGCATATGTGAAGATCTGCCAAAGAATGTGACATTCGTCCCATGCGGCCATATGGTAGTCTGTATGGACTGCGCAAAAGAACTCAGCATCTGCCCCATATGTCGCAAGCCGATCGACCTGAAGGTGAAAACGTTTAGTGTATAGCGCAATCGATGCGCTTGTATGCTTCACGTAGGCGCATTTAAGTGATCAACGCAGTCCAAATCCATTCACTGGATCGACTATTGCTGAAATCGCATGGCTTGATTTCTGCGTTTTCACTGCCGTTTGATCGCGGAGGTGACGGTTACGCTAATGTTGGAATAAAGTGCATAAATATTGCCGCCATCAATATTCGGTCGCAAAGATACTTTTACGTACATATTACTGATGTGTGCTTTTATTCTTTGGTCACCTCTTAATTTGATTCTTTGCTGCTATAAAAATGTCAGAAAGTCAGAAACCATAATAAATAAGGATTAATTGCTAGCGTATCTCGTTTGAAGGTACTTGTAATTCAGTAACGCTGAGTAAGCTCCTTCCTTTACCGCTCAAGCGCTGGCTAATTTCAAACTTTCGTATACCGTGTTTCAGTTAATTATCGATGGCTACTTTTGGACCTAAAGAAACCACCACAAGCTTCCTCTCCCAAGAGTAATACCGAAAAGTCGGCATTTAGCAAACTGCAGACAAGTGAGATTTAACGGTTGTAAGTTGAACGCTAATGGATTATGACAATCTCACCGCCGCCGCACCACGCTAAGTGCGCTCTGCACGCTCACACATACTGTAGCCTAAATACGCCTACAGTCTTGTAGGTGTCCTGCAAACTTTATTATCCAGATTTAAAAGTTTTTTGATCCTGAAATTTAACTTATTTTGTGGATCACTGCTTGATCATCATCAGTTACTGTACTTACTGGATCATTGAAGCGCTGACTATAAATTATTTCGCCTGATCATTCCGCAGCTGAAATTATGCTAGTGATAACAGCATAATGGTTAACATTGTTACTGCGTCGTGCTACGTACGAGAGTTGATAGCCACATTCTGTAATGGCTCGGTATTTGCGAGCTTGCATCACTACACATCTACGCATGCAGTAGTTTTGTGTTTTGATAATCAGAAGGCACGTTTCGATGATCCGGCCGGTTGTTTTCATACTTCACATGCAACGAGGAAGATGTTTCAGCGCCGCTATCTAGCAACCATATAGATAAAAAAAGTTATCAATTACCTAAATTACAAAACATTACCGTTGTAGTACATCGACTCAAAGAACAGTTTAGAAAAATAAAAACTGCTTTATAAACAACTAGCATTCCTAAGAAAAAGGGTATTAATTTGGAGACTGCGGTCACAGGGGTTTGGATCAACGAATTACTGAATTATCACTACTATTTAGTGAACAAATTGAGTGGTCAAATTACTAGTTTGATAGATGGATGAGTAACCGCACTGCCGCTACTCTCCAGTGCACAGAGCTCGCTAGATGAGTGAGTAACCAAACGAGTGGTAACGAACGAGTAACTGAGCTACCACTACTGGAACAGTCTGGAAGTGCACATAGCGAGTGGCCGAAGTACCACTATTCTCGTGTGCAGAGGCCGGTATGCGAGTGGGTGACCGACTTGCTGAAAACAACCATTGCGCATCGTTCCCTAGATAGGTACGTGACGAAATAAGTGGTGATGAGTAACTGTAGTACCACTGCTGCTCACTGCACATAGTGAGCGACCAATTTCCCTTACTGTCCAATGCGCACAGCCGACTGACAATAAGAGTTTGAGTAAGTAACCAAGTTACCGTTATTTTTTGACCGCAAATCGTGATAGGTGGTGAAGAACTGAAGTAACACCACTGTTTAGTGCATATAGTGTTCGCAAATAGTGTACGAAGACTGCGACGCAGTAATACTAAACTAACCAAAATCATTCGAGAAACCGACCGCAGACCACAAGAAGCCGAGGCCGTTTCTTGTACCATAATATTACCAAACAGTCTAAACTAAATATTTAGACAGTATTTAGTAATATTATGGTTATACAAATACGTGAGCATACTTCAAAACAAGTGGGTTAGGTAATCAGCGCGATGAACGTTTGTTGTTTATGCGGCGGTGCTATCTGTCAAATATATTATATTGGAAAATGCCATACAGTCACGTTAATTGTGATTTAGCTCTCTTTAATGAATTCAAAAATTAGCAATCACATACGCTTGCAGCCAAACAAATCCAAAAAAAACACAAATACGCGGCCCGCGCTGAACCTTGGATTCGGATTCGGAGTTGGATTACTCAAACTTGGATTCGGATTACTCAAATTTGGACTTGGATCTCTTAACTTGGATTACATAAGTTGGATTACTTGACTTGGATAAGTTGGATTACTAAATTTGGATCACTTAACTTTGGTTACTAAACTTGGATTACGTTTTTTTGTGTTTATTCTTTTCCTTTTCTCATGGTATTCTTAGGTTTCTTAGGTTATTCTTAGGTTTCTTAGGTTTTCAGGTTACCTAAGAAACCTAAGAAGCCTAAGAGAATACCCTGAGAAAAGAAAAAGAATAAACACGAGAAAACGGTATGAAAAAACGTAATTCACGCCCAAAAATATGTAGATATGTATGTAGTCCAAGTTTAGTGATCCAAGTTAAGTAAACCAAATTAAGTAATCCAACTTATCCAGGTCAGGTAATCCAACTTTTGTAATCTAAGTTAAGAGACCGAAGTCAAAGTTTGAGTAATCCGAATCCAAGTTTCAGTAATCCAATACGAATCCGAATCCAAGTTTGAGTAATCCAACTCCGAATCCGAATCCAAGGTTCAGCGCGGGCCCAAATACGCTGTGCGTAGAAAGCGTGTGCCTTCCGTACTCGTATAGCATGTCAACACTTTTACGTAGTGGTAAGTTGGTCATTCGCTCACCCAGCGGTTCTGTTCTCTGTCAGAATGCCGAGTTTCAGTTACAAATTTCACCGTTGTAACAGTTTTTTTGTAAGCCCCTGGCCCCTGCATTGTTTAAGTTTGGCTTCTGCCAGCTGTTTTTGTTAGGTGTTTGGGATAACGGATTGCTGTCATAATTTTCCCAGAATAGATAAAATTTAATAGAAAACTAGTTACATATAATAATTTTTGCGCACTATTTGCTTAATTTGTTGACTTTGTTGCGTTAATAAAAGAATGCCCATAAGCATGCACACTGCACTGGCCTTCTTTATTAATTTGTTTACAAGTGTAGCATGGGTGCCATAATGCTGGTGTACGTATGACTCGTTTGTAACGTGCTGTGGTTGATTGTGTTGCCGAAGGTGATACAAGTACAATACAACTATAAGTACAGCATCACAAGAACGAATACGCATGTGACAAGCTCAAGACATGCTGAGCCATGTACTGCAGCGAGCTAGGTACAGAGTACGAAACGTGCCTTGTTTTACTTGTTGATTACTGCGTAATATTTATAACAGAAATACCGGTTTTCCGAGCGAGCAGTGTGCGTTTCTGTTGAAATACTTACAGCACCTACGAGCTGCAACAGTGGTAAACTTTTAGAATCTGTGGTGCGGGTATTTTGTCAGACGACTGCATTGCGCGTGCTGAATTTCTACTTCATCTGTAATATCTTTTATCTGTCAAGACAGTCGAGATGATACTATCATGATAGCTTAAGCTCGGAAGATAACCAATGCGTCTTTGCGTTTACTTATCACGGCATTGGCAGTAATGAGTAACAACTGATGTTGTGTGCTATCAGATGCGGCACGAATACGCAGAGATACCTAAGGCTCCCGATATCGTGATTTATTATAGCTGTCAACAGATGATCGCTAACGCGAAACCCTCGCACAATTTCTGTTAGGCGTGGTCGTTCCGTACCTTACGGAAATATTATTATGTAATGGCAGATTCTTGTCCTGTGCTTTCGGTGACGACACTTGCTAAGGTAAATGCTGAAGCGGGCTGCATTACTGTTGCTTTGTACAATGCGCCGAAAGTATCTACAGAGTACAGAAATCTACAGAAATAAGTACAAAACCTACCTAGTTGCTACGATTTAGCTATTGTGCTGATACTGAATGGACAAATATTTTAAAGCACAGAAAAGCTGTAGTACTCTAGTAATGTGATCATATAATTAATAGCACTATTGAACGATAGCTACTTAGATACTGAACGATTCATCAGAAAAATATCGCAGAGAGCCCATGTAATTCAACCTGTCACCCGTGATGGCAAGTGCTTGTCGCAACAGATTTCCGAACTGATTAATTCGAAATGGAACAGCGGGAAAAGCATTACAATGGCGTCAGAGCACAGTATTACGGTTGCCAGCCAGGGAGATCTGTGGTCTAACCCGAGCCTGTTCTTTCTCGATCTGGCCGCTTCTCCCCCTCAAGTGACCCGCAAAGACTTCAAACGACATCGCATGCGGGACCGTATTGTTAGTGCCACTCACAGTCCAAATGGCGAGTTTTGCTTCATTCAAGGTGGGTCAGGTCAGATACTATGAGTAGTTATTTTTTACGACTGCTTTTTTTCCGTGGCAGCCCAAGTGGTCGCGGGGCATTTTGTCGTGGGATATTTCGCTACACGTTCTTCGTCACAGCCGCTAATTTGTTTTGGGACAACTCGTTTTGCAGCCGTTTTGTTGTGTGACATTTGGTCGCCCGACTTTTTGGGAGTCCAAAAGTTATCGAACGGTTTATGGCAACGAAAAATCATATAACTATTTGCCACAAAAACGAGTTGTCCTTAGAGGAAATGTCCGTAAAACGAAATGTCCCGAGACCACCTGTCGCGTAGCTCTTTTTTTCATCCCTTTATTAGTGTTTTGGCTGTAATTCGGATGCAATTTCTGAATGAATGACCTTTGGCCGAAACAATTATGCCTGTACCGAAATGATCGGGCCGTTTGTTAGCTGTTGACAAACACAATGGCTGAAACAAAGCTCCGATCTGCAGATGAACCAATACTAGTTTCATGCAGCTTGACTGCTTGAGCCAGTTAATTGGTCAAATTCCTAAACTAATATTGCTGTAAAAGCCGCCTATCTGGCTGGCTGTTCTAGTGGAATTCAATTTTTACCACGATTATGCGGCTGTACTGTAAGTAATGTAGACTTGGTACAACCCGTCAGCCGGGCGGCCTGAAGGCTGAAAACGTTGTATATCACGTATTGACCTGCGCTGATCTTTAATCGAATGACAACTAAGTCAGCAACACAACACAGCAACAACCAAACACAGATATTTACTGGCAGCGTTGCCAGGACACTGGTCAGGTCCCAGGACGCTAGTTCTACCCAAGCGGTGAAAAGCAACAGCACATTCAGTTTATAACTACCCTAGGTTTCTTATTGAAAGGTTTTGACGAAGAGATTGGGCAAGAAGAGTACAAAGAGAATCATGAATTTCAAGATTAAGATGGGATTTCTAGACATTAGGAGAAAGGCGACAACAACGTACAACGTACAACAATGTACGTACGTACGTACAATCATATCAGCAGCATTATAATTTATAATCCAGTAAATCAACAGAATTCACTACCACTAGTGATAGCTAACGATTTAATTTGACGATTCTAAACTGCTGTTCTTAAAGATTTTGATGCCACAATATTATGTATCTCGGAAAGTTGCTCTGCATTAAAACAGGAGCAGCTAATTAGAAATTCGTTTATGTCAAAGTGTTTACGTCGTCGATCGGGCTCTGGTTCATGGTATGCAAAATCGAAATAACACGGATAAAGAAGCGTATCTAATGCGAAATGAATTTAACTCTGGTAAATACTACAGTAAATAGCAATATTATGCTGTAGATGCTGCGAACGTGCTGCGAGTAATCATCCTCGAAAAGGAGACAGTTATTGCATCATTCGTGGATTTCGCTAAATGGATAGACCTCAACTGCATTGCAGTTATAACAAATAGAGAAGTTACTCATATGAATGTTAAGAGCTGGAACGTCAGCTGGAGTTGCCTTCGCGAGGACGATGGTGCGGGAACTTACAGCGTCACCGATTATCAAATAAACCGCTCGGAGGGGTGGTCGTTCCTGACAGCGGTCAAGCTTGACGTATGCATGCTGTTCTTACGTGTGACGATGAAATTTATTTTCGTTGAGAAAACAAAAACTGAAGCGAAGTTACTGCAGTCAGACACTGCTCTGATACTAACTATTACATTAAGTACTTCCTAGGTGGATCAAGCAAGGGGTCTCGTGGAAGTATTCCACATGAAAAAGAAAACTTCCGCAACCTTTCCAGGATTCGCAGCTGCTTTTTTGCCGCCCCAACCGATGGACGACATCGCTGTTTTAATCGCCCACACTGTCACAAGCAATAACAACCACCGCATACTTGTACTGTATCGTCATTTTCGTCTAGGGTACGGGGAGGTGTTTTTTTCGAACACCAAAACCTCTACTCTTGAAATCAAGTGCCCCATGGACGCCAAGGGAACGGAAAATGATATTCCAATCGCCGTAACGGTAGCTATGTTAACGGATGCGCATGTCAATTGTATGAAGCCTTCAATAAGAGATTTCCTATAGTTACACCCCATGGACGATCATTCCTTGGCATTTATCACCACCAAAATGGGATATGTCCATTTGGTTGACTATCGGAGCATGCGCCACTTAGCCTCCAGGAAATTAGCCGAAGGCGAGAGCACCAACTGCGTTGCACGTGGCGCGGATTCTTCTGGAGGTCTGACTGTTATTAGCAGTGACGGATTAGTAAGTCCAACACTGCCGTTGAAATTGACACGATGTATAGAACGTGCCATTTCCCTTAAAGGAAGGGAAATAGCACGATACATGGTTTATGGTACTAGTATCATATTATGCAATCACGGAAACTTGCTTCGCGCATCCGAATTCCGTTTCGTATTACAACTTGTAAGCGTGTAGCCTCAAGTGTCTTATTCTAACCAGGGTCCCGTCATTAGCTCTAAATACCAGAACATTACATATTTTGCAGGAAGAGACAGAAACATTTGAAGAAGCAAAAATATTTATTTTATCTGCTACTAAATGGACGCGACCAAAACAAAATTTAAGAGCAAATTTAACTCTGCGCTGTAGCCTCTAGACAATGCGCCGCATCCCGTTATAACCAATCTGTACAAGGCCAGCTTGCTCGTTCAAATTTTGTTTCCATGCTGATTGCTATCGTAATCGTAGTTCACCGTTTTTGGAAATAGCACGTCATACACTTACTTTTTTCAGTACAAATCAATCGGGCCCGCGCTGAACCTTGGATTCGGATTCGGAGTTTGATTACTCTAACTTGGATTCCATTCGTATTGGATTACTGAAACTTGGATTCGGATTACTCAAACTTTGACTTCGGTCTCTTAACTTAGATTACAAAAGTTGGATTACCTGACCTGGATAAGTTGGATTACTTAATTTGGTTTATTAACTTGGATCACTAAACTTGGACTACATACATATCTACATATTTTGGGCGTGAATTATTTTTTTACCGCTCGTGTTTATTCTTTTCTTTTCTCAGGGTATAGGCTTCTTAGGTTTCTTAGGTAACCTGAAACCTAAGAAACCTAAGAATAACCTAAGAAACCTAAGAATACCATGAGAAAAGAGAATAAACACAAAAAAACGTAATCCAAGTTTAGTAACCAAAGTTAAGTGATCCAAATTTAGTAATCCAACTTATCCAAGTCAAGTAATCCAACTTATGTAATCCAAGTTAAGAGATCCAAGTCCAAGTTTGAGTAATCCGAATCCAAGTTTGAGTAATCCAACTCCGAATCCGAATCCAAGGTTCAGCGCGGGCCAATCAATCGGTACCATCTTCAGAAACGTTGAGCAGCGGTGTTATCGACCAGGTTTTTGGATCGGAATCTTTATAGGTGGCTATGGCCTATGGGCCTATTACCAGTACAGCCAAGTTTCCAAAAGATCGGATATTAGCCTGACTTTTGATGCTCAAAAATGCTTCGAAATCTGATTTACAGTAATTTGCCAACTACCTCAGTTACCGGATTTCGCGCACCTTAAACGGTTTCTTGTCCAGTGTATACAAAGAATTCGGTTTCGGAATGAGATATAACCATTAAAACATGATTCAGACTGCGCGAAAGCAAAGTTTCGGTTATCATGTATCAGTGGCACCATGTATCGTGTCCTTTCCCTTAAGACACTGAACTGCGCTCCGCCAACGAACAACAAGCAGAAACGCTTGCGAACAAAAACGCTTTTTTCTGCCTTTAAGGTATTAAGGGTCAGTCTATCGTTCGACCATTTGATTGCGACTTTGTTGGACAAGAATCTTCCAATGGAAGCCGGAAAATATGCATTGCGGTTAAGTGCTCCCATGGAGAACAGCACCTTTATGCGAGTGATCAGTGTCGTGCTCGACATGGAGTCGGTCGACTTCGCGACCTTTCTAAGGCTGAATGCGGTGCACTTGTCGGCCGAACAGGCGATAGATGTGTTTGGATGGGCTGTGGATATAGTTCCACCCACACCTCACCAGCTTATGCTTACCGGCCATCTCGCCATGAAGCTTAGCGAGAAAGCTGGTTTGGATGTTTTGATCGCCATGTTTGAGCGCAAAACGCGCAACGCTAAAAAAGAATGTAAGCACAATTCTAACGGCATATTAATTGTGTATTTCTTACCGCTGCAAGCGTACGCAGTATACTGTGGGCGATTGGTACGGGAGTACTCACGAAAATTTAGAATTGCTGTTAACCGCATTAATAAAATTAAATTTTAAACTTATTTCTTAAATAGCTGGGTTATTGTTCCTAGGTCTTCCCACGTTTCTAAAGTCTCTATCGCCGAAAAAGATGTCGGAAAGTGCTTTGTTGGAACTCGTCAAAGTAAGGCTTGCAAGCGCCCGTGTATCTAGTTTCTCTAGGTATTTCTACGGCGGGCGATATTTTGTGCAGGTGGCTCTGCAACATGGTCTCATACAGATCCTGGAGTTTCACTTTATTGCCAACCAGAGTAAGATATTACACCCGGAGAGCGTAGTAGATAGCCTGCTGTCGGAAACTGTGACAACTGGCGTGCAACGTGCCGTGGATGAACTGGTGGAAAAAATGTGCATTAAATATGGCCTTATCGTCAAACTCGTTACGCACAAAATACGCAATGGACGGCCGGTGCGACTGAACCTTTTATTAGAGAAACTGCCGATTGAGGTACCTTTTGTAATACACGTACAAACAAGCCCGCGACCAAGCATCGTCTTTTAAACTGTCTGAAATAATTTTTCACAGGAAGCCAGGGAGCAGCTGCGCCTGATAATCGAAATTCTTCTAAACGATAACGCCGATCTAGCTGCACTTGAGATGAATTTGAACCTTGGATTGACGGTCAACATGTTACGAGGCGTCTATCCTGACATTCTGCAATCGATAGAGCAGAAAGGAAATCGGTACGGAAAACGAGCGTAGAAACCTTTTCCGCTACTCAGTGTCAAGAGAGCCGGCTTGGATATGAGCCGTCGTTTGATCCTGTTTTACTTTTCCCTAGGAAAACAACGATGAGCTTTCTGGAATATCTCGCAGGAAAAGGCGTTCCAGATGAAAGTGTACATTCTCAGTTGGTGAAGATGTACATTGAAAACATGGGAGGCGAAAAGCTGGATCAAATTCTGAAGTAATTGCGGCAACGAATCACACGAGCAGATATCGCACATTAACCATTATTTGTCGACGGTTGCCATTTTTTACTGTGCAGTAGTACATCTTGATATAATTTTTGCCGGTAAGAAAAATTCCTTCGTCCGTGAAACTCACTTTATTTACAGGAACAATAAATTTTATGATGCCGTTGCCGTTGGCCAATGGTGCGAAGAGAAGAAGTGGCCTATGACAGCGTTGTCGGTGTATGAAGAACGACACCTTAGTGAAGATTTCATCCGGGTGAGCAATAATTTTTTTCCGGTTAGAGATTTTAGCTTTTATTACTGCCAATGATGGCGCTGCTACTCGATGATATGGAATGCCTAAAAATGATTTAGGGCACCAGAAACATATTCCCGCCTTTTGCACAATACGCGTAGTTATTGAATGCTTTTTATCATACGTTTTTAATATTTCCATGTCACTGCCTTTTTGTTTGCAGTTGAGCGGCAATCTCGGTGTATTCAAACGTCAGTTTAACTACCTGTTAAACTTACGTAGTAAAGCCCTTTGGGAAAGCGTTTTGAGTCCGGTTAACGGGAAACGCTCTAACTTGGTTAACGTTATGGTGGGCCAACCGGAAGCCGGTTATGAGGCAGCTTCTGGTGATTTTGAACAAGTGGCGGTGCTCATTGAAACTATGGCCGAAACAGATTTGGTATCTGAGACCCAGACGCTTATCCGCCGACTACTTCCCAAAATTGTCGATCAAGACCAGATCCGGTATGGCCAGTTACAGTTTGAAGAAGCATATCCGCTCGATTACTGGCTAAAAAGTCAGCTTTACAGATATTTGCAGAAGCAAGCTGTTCGATCTTTACTACGAAGTGGATATCCTGCAGCGAAATTTCAAAAGCTATTCAGCGACCAATTATACACGTATGATCCGTGTACGGTTGCCGACGTGCTCGTCCAAGTAGGAATGCTACGGCTTGCCAAAGATATATTGGTCAGAGGGAAGTTCTGGAAAGAAGCCGCCCAGGTCTGGCGCATAGAAATCCATCTTTTCCCCGTAGTTACTTAAGCCAAACTCTCCAAGTTTTTCATAAAATACTGTTGTTATTACCATTAAAAATGTTAAAGTGCACTTTTGTTTTGGTTATGCAGCTGGTTGCGGCTAACAAAACCGAAGACCTCGGCGATATCAAACAGTTGGCGTTCCTTAGTCGCGATCCAGATTTACTAGCGACAGTTGGCGAAGATTATCTGGCATCGGGTGACCTGGTTCTGGCACTGCAATATTTTGTAGAAGCGGGTCGATTTACGAAATATAAACTGGTCTGCTCGATGATTCCGTTGGACAAAAACTTTGGTTAGTTTTCTTGATTTCTGTGCTTTCTGCTTGTCGAGTTGAGGTAGCATAAGATTATCCATGTAAGTAATGCTAACTTGTGTAGCCGAATGGGAGCTGCTTGTTCGCTTCCTGGAGGGGTGCGCTCACCACCACCAAAGACCCAGCGGTTTCTATGGCGCTGGCAATGGCATATGGGAAAACCAACCGAACGCATGATCTGGGGAAACTGAGTAATAGCAGTGCAAATTCTGTCTGCACTAAGTCCGTTCTGTGACCAGGTTATTTTATAAATTACCTAGTGGACAATGAGGGCGGGGCCAGCGGATCGCAGGATGTCAATTGTTGTCGTATATGTGAGGATCGACCGAAGAATACAACATTCGTCCCGTGCGGCCATATGGTAGCCTGTATGGACTGCGCGCAAGAACTGAGCCTGTGCCCCATTTGTCGCAAGCCCATCGACTTAAAAGTCAAAACATTTACTGCATAGCGCAATTTTTGCGCTGGTATGCGTTAAGTTGGCGCATTTTAGTGATCAATGCAGCCCAAATCCATTCACCGGATCGACTATTGCTGAAGTCGCTTGACTTGATTTCTGCGTTTTCACTGCCGTTTGTCGCGGAGGTGACGGTTATGTTGGTGTTGGATTACGGGAATAAACGGCATTAATATTGCTGCCATCAATATTAGGTCGCAAAGAAACTTTCTACTAATGTGTGCTGTTAATCGTTGGTCATCTGTTACTTTGATTCTTTGCTGCTATGAAAATGTCAAAAACCAAAATTAATAAATAAGAATTTTATTAAAAGGTATCTCGTTTGGAGGTACTGTAGTTCACTAAGCTCCACTAAGCTTACATTTCAAGCGCTGGTTATTTTGAAACTTTCGTATACAGTATTTCAGTCAATTATCGATGGTGGCCTTTGAAACTAAAGAAACCACCACAAGCTTCCCTCCCAGGAGTAGTCGGCATTTAGCACAAGGAAGACAAGTGAGATTTAACGTTTGTAAATTGAACGCTGATGAGTGATGAGAGTCTCACGTAACCGCCGAACCACGCTAAGTTCACGCTAACACATACACATACTGTAGCCTACCGTACACATACGGTTTGTAGGGGTATTGCAAACTTTAGTTTAGCTTATAAATTATTAATTTTTTATCCTGATTTAAAATTCATTTGATCCTGAAATTTAACTTATTTTATGGATCACTGCTTGATCATCTTCGGTTATTGATTACCTGAAGCGCTGACTATAATTACTCGTATTTTGCCTGATTATTCCGCAGCTGAAATTATGCTAGTGATTCAGTGGAAAAAGCGTAATGGTTAAGATTGTTGATGGGTCGTGCTGCGTACGGGGAGTTGAGAGCCACAGTCTGTAACATCAGCGCAGCAGTAGTTATGGTTTGATAATTAGGAGGCACGTGTTTCGATGGTCCGGCCGGTTGTTTTCATACGCCACATTTCAGCTAGAAAGATTTTCATCCCTGCTATCTAGTAAATCTTGCCGTGATTCTCAGAAGTGATGCAGCTAAGAGCAACTAAGAAACCTGAGTAGTGTGCGTACGCAAGTAGTTTGCAGTTATTCTTGCTAGGAAGAATGCTCAAGACTTTTTTGTTGCTAAGGAACCCACATTTTTTAAGATGACCTCTTCGGATGTACTACACGGGGCGATTTGGTTGATATTGGCATTCCAGCGCTTCGAAACATGCCCGGTTCAGCCAGGATCAAGCCGAGAGACCAGTAAGTTACATGTATGTATAACAGGCGCGAACGTTGTGACTGTCCAGCCATTAAAAAGCAAGGAAAATCTGTATTATGTACAGCAGTTTGCGATTTGTGAGCTCAATAACCGGATTTCACAACCGCATCGCCGGTTGGCTACACATGATTAATGTAAATACTAGTAATAATAGTAATAGTACCATTATAGTTTCTCATGCGAATGACTTTCTCAGCCATAGTCTTGTCAGAATGCTCTACCTGGGGCTGGATCTCTTAATTTGCTATCGTTCGCTTGTTTCGTATCTTCGCGCTACTGCCTCTTCTGGAATTTAATCCCACTAAAATGGAGATCGGTGAATTTTTACAAATCGTTGTACACGACTCTGTATGCAAACAACTGATGGGCGTTTCAAAATTCCTTTTGCTCCGGACCATAGCATTTTATGCCATGACCTTTCTGACATAGTTAATTGTCCCTATGACACCATGTATATGATTACAGATTACCGTTTACCTGGTTTCGACACCAATAATATGTTAATAACTCATTGTATATGTTGTTTGATAGTCAATGAACTCTTGGACGCAGCATTCCAAAATGCCCGTAATGGTGTTACTCATTTAAAGGAGCCATTGATGGCCGCCCGCCAATCAGCGGCGACACGGTCAACTGATAACATCATTAGACCACCTGAAGGAGGAACAGTACGACTGCGCTGCAGAGGAGACATTGCGATGGCTTTTGCCGGCATGCCCGACAATACAACACGGCTATCGGTCAATGGAAACTTGGTTTTGAGCTCAGTCAAGGAAACGCAGTCACCGGCACCGAAACCCCTTGTAGATCTATGCAGTTGTCTCTTGAGCTCCATTGATGAACCCTATTACCATAATGTTACATACGTCGAAAGCAATCCGATTACGGGATCACTGACGTTCGATTTACCGGAGTTTTCGCATCTGCACACCGGCAAGTACGAATGCCTGCAGTACAACGGCAGCCGCTATGTGGTCACCCAAACGTTCTTGGTTAGTCCGACGCTCACCGCGTCTCAAGTCTTTCGACCACCGATGTCCAATGTGACGGTTCATGTAGGTGATACCGCCCGTTTTCCATGCTACGTGAAATTCTTAGCCATGAGGGGTATTTTCAAAAATCGCTTTCTTTGGAGAAACGAAGATCACCTACTATACTCTGAGGGAATTGATTAATTCAGAACCAGTAAGTCCACGAAGAAAGGCTTTAAAGGAAGTATTAATACCGCCACGGATGGAATATGCCACTGTTATTCCACTTTGACCATTTCGCGGGTACAGGCGCATCATGCCGGGCGTTACCAATGCTGGTTCAAGGTCGATGATCTGTTCCATGAATGGGCTGTGCAAGAAGCGTATCTCAGTGTGATCACGTGATAGTGTACCGTCTGACATGGATGACAAACCGGTTGGCAAAGTGTGTGGTAGATTTATATACTACTACGGTGGTGTTCAGGAACTATCGGCTTTAGTCAGACGGAGACCGTGGAGAGAGATACGAAGTTCACGCTCATTAACTGCTCATTAGGTAAACATTCGGATGCCGGTATACTTTAGCACGTTGTTACGACCGTGGTGTTGACAAATGGACAGCGGCTATCGTGGCTTTCATTAATTATCCATGTGCATGGTTTGCATCCTCGTGTTAGTTCGAATATAATTATAACCATATCTGTGTGAAAGATATTTATGGTCATATGTGTTAAGGTGTGTAAAGACTTTAACATGTTTTGCATTCATTACACAATTACATAAGTATAGCTAGAATTACGTATGTATATTACCAGGAATTCTTGTTGTGATAAGCTGCTCATTAGGTAAGCGTTCCAGTGGCGGTATATTTTACATGCAACATGTTTTTTGTGTTCGTTACACCCAGTTAAACCCAGGACTTCCCGGTACCCGATCCCGTCCGAATTGGCCCATGAATACTAGGAATCGTCGATCAAATAATTCAAATAAGAAATTAATTTTTTTTCAGAATTTTGCTTGCCACAGGTCAGCTACGGCAGCATGGTATCAATCTGACACCAACGGGCTGACTGAAACTAATGCCACGATATATTTTATTTTACTAAATTTACATTCAAAACGTTTTGAAACTAAAACACTTTGTAATACAGACAGTTTTAAAAGGGCTATCTGCCAGCACATTCGTTATGGTTATCAAACTGACCACCGGTCAGCAGCATGAATATATCACAAAAAATATAAAGATACAAAAAAAACAAAGCACCGCAGTTGCCGTGCAGCACCGGCACTTGATTTCTACCACCCGGAAAGAATTAAAAGGGCAAGGCTAGCTCAAATACCTAAGACCATGCACGTGCCAGAGCGGTCACTACTCCTTTTTGACCTCCATGAAAGGTCGCTAGCAATCGTGGGCAGTCTTTGTGCACGTACCTGGAACCAAAAGTAGCCAACGTCGTACTTCACCGGCAGTTTACGCGCATGTTAACATGCGCATGTACGCGCTTGCAGTGTGGATTACACACTGATGCACATTTTTGCAGCATAAGTGACCTCTGGTCACTCTTTACTTATCCCGTCTGCCAGCAACCATGATTTTTTGCCAGAATGGCTTCCGACAGTATGGTGGTATGAAATGGATCTAATTGTGGGGCATTTATTACGCTGCTGGACGGTGTTCACTCGGATGACCACTAAAACACTCATCGCTTAATAGCCCATAAAAGGTTCTCTTAGTATATCAATTTGAAGTGTACAGCGTAGCACGCTGAATTTACTAGACAATTTTGTATAATGTGCGTAATGTACAGCTTAGGACGAAATGGTCGCATACCCAACATCTCCACATACAGTACGTATGCACCGCAGTGCACTGTACGACTGAGTTCGAAATATCCGTTTCGTACAAGTGCACTGCACGCTTGCGTACAGAATGCTAGGTATGGGGCTATGCGACCATTTAGTCCTGCATTGTACCCTATGGCCCATTGCTGTCAGAATGATACCAAATTTTTTTCAGAGATCACCACTGGTCACTCATTTTACGTAATCCAAAATTTAAGCTGCGTTAGGTAGCCCATTATGTCAGCTACTTATTTTATTTACTTAGAATTTTTCGCATCACCCGGATGGTCAGGAGGTGTTCACGACCTCGGTGCACCCGTGATATCGAAAATTGGCATATTTTGGTGACCACTGGCGAGTGCGCGTTATACTTATACTGTGCGCTCAAGTCTTACAGAATGTGCCCCAACATCTTATCTCTCTAATAAAACTGAAAAATCGAAATTTGCATGCTTGGTTCGGCTACGGTAGCAAAAAGTCCTCCACGGTATCACTTTGATACCAATGGGAAGGAACAGGTTAAGACAGAAACAGTGAAAATTGGTCAGTTGGGCCACGACTGAAAATTTATTACTGAAAGTCTGAAACCAACAAACTGAGTCAACAGAAGCGAATCGCCGCAATGGGATCGAGCTGGGAAACGGTAGTCTGCAAAGTCACAATTTTTCTTTCATAGTAAAGATGTACTGATTCCACACCCCCACTCGACATAAAAAATAGGTGGCCTAATTATAAGAACATCCCATCTAAATTAGCCGATACTGGTGCTGTTCCCATGGCAGACGACACATTCTCACGTTGGATTTCGATGCTGGGCCGCTGCCGCAAACACTCGCCGGCCGCTTCTTGGCGTATCTTCTGCCCGAGTTCGGTGAGGTCTGCGTTTATAGTTTATACTTCGGTACCGTGCAATGTTGCGCAAACGGCCAAGTACAAATTGTCCTTTGAAATTTTACCTATGATATTGTATATGCCGGCGCTTGCTTGTGAGCGAGGTTTCTTTCAGCTTCTGTAGCCTGCCATTTCTATCACCGCTATCGTCGTTCACACCAGGCGTGAAACGGTGCAGCTTGGAAAATGTACGCGCACTTCCGTCCATACTGTACTTGTTGAAAATAGCACACCGGTGGCCAAAGCGTTTAGAAACTTTCTTGGAGTGAACAGATATAATTATTTACTGATGCTATTTACTGTACTTGCGAATTTTCATATCGGGACACCAACAATTGTTTTCGAACCTGCTGGCATCTGCCAGATTTTATCGTTTGCCAGTTGCCAGAGTCTCCAGGTTTTATTGCATGCCAGGCCGTTGGCATTGCAACTGCCAGGTGCCACTGCCACGTTTTACTACCTGCCTTCAAAATTGCTTGTGAATTCTTAGGTTGACGGGACGCACACAGTTTAATACTCGTAGTCATGTTCGCGATACTATCGCGAACATTCCGCATTCGTGTAACGTATCACATGCACAATGTCACAGAAATCTATCCAGTCGGAATTTGTTCGTAACAATCGAAAGCTGAGAGAGACTACGGAACTTTACGCCAATTTGTTTACGGTAACAGCGCCGTCATGGAAGAAGCGTTAAGCAATTTTGCAGCAAAGAGGAAAATGCTAGTATGTATGTACACCGCACAAACTACAAGATACAGGAAAATGCATGACAAAAGCATGACAGGAAAAAGCATGAAAACCATGACATGGCTTAATATACAATCGCGGCGCACCGCTGCAATATATGGCGTTGTACAGTGATTCAAAATATTAAATACGTTCAAATATGAAATTTCCGCATTCACTTGCTTGTGACGACTACGTGTGCTGACTGTGCTCTTTGTGTTCTCTGTATAGTGAAGAACGAAGGCAGATCGAGCGGAACGCAAGACATCGGTTGTTGTCGCATCAGTGATGACCTTCCAAAGGAAGTGACATTCGCCCCGTGCGGTATATGGTGGCGTGTATGGATTGCGCGCAAGAACTCCGCTTATGCCCTGTTTGCCGGCAACCAATCGACTTAAAGATCAAGAAATTTGAAGACATTTAGTGCTTGACGTTGTCATTTCCCCCGTACGTATCACGCACCTAGTTGTGCGAGGAAACCGGCGTACATAATCCAATGACATAATTTCTGCACGGTGCAACTTTTCTGCTTGTGGCTCTGCATATACAATACAACCGTTACCGAACGCATAAGGCATGAACAAGATAATGTTACAGCAAAGTGCGGTACCGTTACAATCGTTTTGTGTTTAAACAGTGTAGGTTTTCATGCGCTAGAGCAATGCGACACACAAGTTTTACCGGTTTACATTGTTCGATAGATTATTTAGGGGCCGAGTCGTCAGCTGATGTCATCCACGGTTATTTTAAAAATTCAAAAACCAAACCTATTAAGCAAACACGTTGAAAATTCATAAGCGTGTCCTTGTGGAGGCATTTCAATCCTTACAAATGTTATAGGATGCTTATACCGGTACGCTCAAAGCATCAATGCGACGTTTAGTCAATCGTTTCCTGGCGATTGTTTTATTGGTGTTTAAAATACGGTACCAGCAGTACTATTACGCGAGCAAACTTTTAAGGCAAGCCGACCATGTAAGAGGCGGCGTGTGGTATTTGTTTTTATCGGGCGATATTTGCAATTTTATAACATCCGCTTTCCTCCAAGGTAGGTGCATGAGTTGTTGTCGAAATACGTATGCTTACAACTTGTAAATCAGAAGTAAATGTAGGAGTCGAATGAATTTGTAAACTGATTACAGTACATGCTCATAATGTCGAATGAGCCATACACATCGTGGAGGAGACGCGACAGCATATTACAATGGAAATGTTACTGCTGTGTAGATTTAAATTACCCGTCTGTTGCGTTACTAACGATAAGAACACCCAGAGTCTTTGCATATTATTAATACATTTTACAGCACATTTTCGTTGGTAAACGCATGTGACATACAAGCAAATGTATCTGTAAGCACATTTTCTAAGCATATATTCATATGAACAGAGCAAACATGAAATAGTATAACTTAATGCATTTGTTCTATTTGGTGATATTTATTCAGAACGCCAATCGTAGTAATTGTAGTATGGGCCAGAAATGATGTTGCAAAATGCTATTTAGGTCTAATTCACGTTGATAGTGATGTAAACCTCTTTGATAAATATTATCAAACAAAAATGTAGCAAATGAGCATTCAGACAAACAAACTAAATTCAGACAAACGAACCAAACCTCTTTGATAAATATTATCAAACAAAAATGTAGCAAATGAGCATTCAGACAAATTACAATAAGAAGTAAGAACAGTTCCAGTGGTTAGCTGGTCGCTTTCTCACTTAGCAGGTCTTTTCACTGCCAGAATGCTGAGTGCCATTTGAAGTATTCGTCGTAGCAACAGTAGATATTTTTGTAATCCAATAGGTTGCTTGAATGGATTATGACATGAGTTTTGTTACGTACAGTATATGTTCGAGATAACGGCATGGTGTCATCAATTTTTTCGTCTGTGGTAAGAATTTTCAGTTTACATCTAGAGAGTCCAGATAGAATTTAATAGAAAACTGATTACACATTATAATGTTTATGCGCTATTTGCTGACGTTATTAAATTAATTGCGTTAGCATGGGAATGCGTATAAGCATACATTGTCCTCCTTAATTGGATGGCGAATGTACAATGGGTGGCATAATACCGGTGCAAAGTTGTCGTATGTAACGTGCTGTGGCTAATTCATGTTGCCGGTTGATTTATTGCCGAAGACAAGTACGATGTGAGCAAGCTTCAAAACTTCAAAACACGCTGGGCCATATAATAATTGCAGTGAGATAAAAATATTACAGTGTATGAAGCGTGCCTTGTTAATACTTGTTTGTTCACTGAGCGATAATTTTACAACAGAAGTACCGGTCCTCCGAGCGAGCATTGCGTTTCTGTTGAAATACTAGTACAGCACTTGCAACTTACAACTGTAGTAAAAACTGATACTTGAGTATCTAAACGGCTGCATCGCGTGCTCCGCGTGCTCTGAATTTCTACTTCATTTTATAATTCTAATATTTATTAGCTGTTGAGATTATGATATCATGATAGCTTAGGACCGGTGGATACTGTACATACCAAATGCAGCGTGAGCATTTTTGTAACTACTTATCACGGTATCGGCAATAATGTGGAGATATTGTTGTTGTGCGCTATCAAAAACGGCTAGAATACGCTGAAATACCTTATGCTCCTGATAGCGTGATTTACATGACTGTACTACACCTATCAACGAAATAATGATCAACCGCTAGCGGGGAAATTTTCCACAGTTGTCTGTTAGATGCAGTCGATCCGTATCATACGGATAGGTATAATTACAGTATGTGATGGCAAATTCTTGTCCTGTGCTGTCTGTGACGACACTTGCAAAGGTACGAGCAATTGCTTAAACAGAGTGAATTACCGTTGCTTTGTACAGAGCACCAAAATTCCGAACTCTACGGAAATAACAGGATTTTAAGCGCTACGATTTAGCTATTGTGCTAATACCGAATGCGCAAATACCTTAAAGCGCAGAAACGCGGCAGCACTCTACTACTTTGTAAACATAATCACTTCTCCACGGTACTATTGAACGATAGATAGTACTGAATGATTTATAAGAATAATATCGCAGAAAGCGCATGTATTACAAACTGTCACCCATGATTATGAGTGCTTGCCGCAACAGATTCCAGAACTGATTCATTCGAAATGGAACAGTGGGAAGAGCATTACGATGGCATCAGAGCACTGCATTACGGTTGTCAGCCAGGGAGATCTCTGGTCTAACCCTAGCCTGTTCTTTCTCGATCTGGCCGCTTCACCCCCTCAAGTGACCCGCAAGGACTTCAAACGATACCGCAGGCGAGACCGTATTGTCAGCGCCACTCGCAGTCCAAATGGCGAGTTTTGTCTTATTCACGGTGAGCAAACAGTGAGTACCGCAACAAATGCGCTACTGCTTACAGCAATTTTAATAAAATTATCTCCGAAAATATTGCATAAGTAAATAGCCAAACTGCGTTTATTGCACATATGGTTAGTGTTATAGTGGAGAGGTAACCTTTACCATGATTATGCGGCTGTTGTGTGATCTAAATTATGCTGCAGATGCTGCGAACGTACTGCGGGTGCTCATCCTGGAAAAAGAGACAGTCATTGCGTCATTGGTGGATTTTGCTAGATGGATAGATTCGAGCTGCGTTGCATTTCTTACGGATAAGGAAATTACCCACATGGATGTCGAAAGTTGGAACATTAACTGGAGTTGTCTACGCAAGGAGGATGTTGCTGGAACTTACAGCGTCACTGATTACCCGCTACACCGCTCGAAGAACTGCTCGTTTCTGACAGCGGTTAAGCTTGATGTATGCACGTTTTTCCCATGTGCATTTGACTGATGAGTGCCGTAAAACACATTTTAAACGGGAAAACATAAACACTGAATAAAAGTCACCACAGTCAATTAAACCTACTTTCTGATAATATTAATTAACTTTAGTACGATATAGGTGGACCAAGCAAAAGGCCTCGTGGAAGTATTTCATATGGGTGACATAGCCTCTACAACCTTTTCAGGATTCGCAGCGGCTTTTGTACCGTCCATACCGACGTACGGCGGCCAACCTGTTGCTATTTTAATCGCCGACACTGCCACCAGCAACAACAACCCCCGCATACTTCTTAAATATCGTTACCTTCGTCAGTCAGCGTACACGTACGACCTTTCGGATACCAGAAACTCTACTCTTGAAATTCTATACCCAGTGGACGCCAAGGAAACAGCGAAGGATTTTCCAATTGCCGTAACGGTACTGTACTGACACGATATTAAGGGTCAGCAAAATCCCCTGGACCGCCCGCGCTAGTTGTCGGTTCCTTTGACATCAATGAAGCCGACGCCTAGTGCCGGCGGTCCAGGGGATTTTACTGACCCTTAATATCGTGTCAGTACAGTACTAATACTAGCGGCGCTGAATTAAGTACTGTTTTGGTTCTTTAGATAACGTTTTAGTCTGGCTGTTGTCATATGCAGTGCGACTTGTTCTCTTGGACACACTGAATGCACTCCCGAAAGTTGGAAATGATAACAATGATTAGTGTCTATCAGCGCGGGGTTGTTATTATGTTAATGGGTTATTGCCTGAATAAAATTACATTATGTACGAGCTATTTATAAGCGGCATTCAAAAAGAGTTTTTTATAGGTACATCCAAAGGATGATCATTTCTTGGCATTTATTACCACCAAAATGGGATGTGTCCACTTGGTTGACTATCGGAACATGTGCCACTTAGCGTCCAAGACGTTAGCCGATGACGAAAGCACCATTTGTGTTGTGCATAGCGCGTCGTCTTCCGGAGGCCTAACTGTCATTAGCAGTGACGGAATAGTAAGTTATTCACTTACAAGCCTGTAAGAGAATTTCTGTGAACACCAGTTTCAGGTGATGTATACGACAGCGACACGATATGCCACTTCCCGGTACACAGCACCAGGTTTGTATGCATCCATCGAAACTTCCTTCCCGCACTTCGAACTTCCACTTTGTTCCACTTACGATTTATTTCGTTTTAAAATTGACTAATTCGTGCCCCATGATTTAAAAAAACTGCTTGAGTGTGCCCGGCGCGCGCGCAGCATCAGTTGCTGACATGCAATGCAATAAAATGGACGATAAACTCGAATGCATTTTCGGTCACCACAAATCAGGCTGTCACCCGCGCTGTTAAGATCGCATAACTACCGCCTGTTGCTTTTTTCAAGCTTTTAACTGAATCTCCAAAATTTTTTTCCAAAGTCATTTTTTCAAAGTCAAAAATTACAGGCTAGTGCTAGTGTTACGGTGAGATTTCTGGTTCAGAATTTTTAATTTCATGTAGTTTTGCGGCCGCCGCCTTTTACAGCTAAGTTCAAGAAGATCGAAATTTAATGCACTTTTGATGCACGAAGCACTTTTAAAATTTTTTTCTAATTTAATTTGCCCGCTACTCAGCAAATCGTACAGATACGGCTTTAGAATGAGGTAGAACCATTTAAAAGTCATTAAGAACACGCGAAAGCAAAGTTTCGGTTGGTAACCATATACGGTGTCCTTTCATTTAAGACGTTAAGCTGAAATTATCCAAAAAACGAATAACAAACAGCAACGTTCATGAACAAAAACGGCTTTTCTTTTAAGGTATTCGGGGTCAGTCTGTCGTTTGACCATGTGATAGCGACTTTGCTAGACAAGAATCTTCCAACGGAAGCCGGAAAATACGCCCTGCGGTTAAGTGCTCCAATGGAGAACGGCACGTTTATGCGAGTGATCCATGTTGTACGGGGCATGAAGTCGGTCGACTTTGCGACCTTTTGCACCTTTCTCAGGCTGAATGTAGTGCATTTATCGGCGGAACAGGCGGTCGATGTGTTCGAGTTGGCTGTTGATACCGTTTCATCCACACCACATGACCTTATGCTTACCGGTCATCTCGCCATGAAGTTAAGCGACAAAATTGGATTGGATGTATTGATCACCATGTTTGAGCGCAAAACGCGCAACACGATCAAAGATGGTAAGCACAACTTATTTGATTCTGTATTCACTGCCGTTGCACTATGTACATTGGTTGATTACAGTCTGTGGGCGACTGGCGCAATTGTAATACGGGAACAGTGCGCGAAAATTCGGAATTGCTAAAACCCAAATTATTATTAAAATTAAATTTTAAACCAGATCTGAAAGTACGGATTTTCAACGCGAAGATTCAGACGTGCAGTGAATGTGTACTTCGCTTCATGCGTACCTTTTGCTGAGCTGCATTTAAAACCGGGTTTCAATACAATTTCAATTTCCCATTATGGGACAAAATATGGAACAAGACCAAAGCATCTTTTTGTCGGAATTTGTAATGTGGGCAGTCTTCTGCGTCCGAGAAGTATGATATTAGCGTTAAAGCTCAGAGCAATACCTTAATAATCGGGTTATTGTGCTTAGGTCTGCCTATGTTTCTGAAGTCCTTGTCGCCGAAAAAGATGTCGGAAAGCGCTTTGTTGAAACTCGTCAAAGTGAGTCTTGCAGGCTCATTGTATATTAAGTTACTTTGTACGTAATTCTATCGCGTGCATGATTTGTGCAGATGGCTCTGCAACATGGACTCATACAAATCCTCGAGTTTCACTTTATTACAAACCAGAGCAAGATATTACACCCGGAGAGCGTAATAGATTGTTTGTTGTCCGAAACAGTGGCACCTGGCGTGCAACGTGCCGTGGAAGAACTGGTGGAAAGGCTGTACATTAGATACGGTCTCATCGTCAAACTCGTTACGCACAGAATACGCAACGGATGGGGCAGGGTGTAAAACCTGGCAGTGGCAGCTGCCAATGGCACTGCCAGTGGCATGGCATGCGATAAAAACTGGAGACTCTGGCAACTGGCAAGCGATAGAATCTGGTAGATGCCCCATAAAATGTGGCACTACGTATACTTCTACTGTATATCGTAGAAACTGTTGCCAATATACATGCAGTTTTCCTTTATTGTTTTAACGGTATTGGCCATGCACAAAGTTCGCAGGTACGTTCCGGGATAAAAAATTTCAAAAGGTCACTAGCAATTGCCTTTTGCGCAAAGTACCACAGATACAATACAAAAGGATAAAAACGCTCATTTAAAAGACATTCGCGGTTCTTCCCGATTTAAGACGCACACCGCTGGAATATGTCTTGCGGCTGAGAATAGGGCTTTTTTCGTTTAATTAAGTCCAGCTCAACGACAAATGCCGCTGTCAACATTAGCATTTATTAAGCTAACAATAAGTTTCTCCGCACGCTCATTTGGTGGCTTAGTTTATGACAATTATTGTTTCAATAAGTTAAGGTCAGCCACCACGTACTTAGGCATCTGTCAAACCAGAAGCAAAACTGACGTTCTTGTTTCTAAACATTGTTAATATGAAAGTTACACAATAGTGTATTGCAGTATGCAGATTTATAAACAGTAATTTTAAACTAAAATTTGTACGATTGCCACTCTCCTGTAGACTAATAATTCAGAAACGAATAAACAGATCATGCTGTATGGCGTTGCACCACTGAAGAGTGGCAATGATTATACCCAAATTGAATTAGTATTTTTTTGTAGTGTATGCACAAGTGATACAATTATAATTAATAATTTATACATTAATGTCACATATTATATACACAAGTTATACAATTGGGTATTAATTTGTGCATTAATTTCACATATTTCGCAGTGTTTAGGTACATAACGTTACCTGTTTCGGCTAATTTAGATCAAATGTTAAAACAACCGTGGCCCTCTGATTAGGCCAATGGTTTATACTGTTTGAAAACAATTATTATTATTATTATTATTATTATTATTATTATTATTATTATTATTATTACAATAATTTACATATAGCGACCACAAAACGGCATATTTACCAATAGAAACACTAATAACAAAATGATTATTGGTAATAATACTAGTGCTCCTACCTCTACAGCCATGTACGTGATTGAAATATTCATATTGCAAAGCAGTGTAATGCTAATTAAACATTTCCAATAGCACTACAACTGCAAGCCATCAGTAGTATTAAGGACTACAAACAGTTTCGACCGGAAAGGAAACTCTAGTGCAACAACTGCTTGCAAACATTACGGTCTGCAAAGAAAAAGATTTTCAGTTTATTCAGTGAAGCCGCGATTTTGTTGACTACCAATTACAGGCCAGAGTAAGCAAGATGGTACATGGTGGAGTGTTTCACAGTATCGGTCACTGGTTCGTATCAGATGTGCGCCGTATACTTGCACATGAACTTTGCTGTTATTCCAAAAAAAACCGGCGCCATTTATACGCGCACTTTTACATACGCACGGTAGCTCCACAAACAGCTAGCCTTATCTTCTAGTTTGCTAACTGATTATTTTGCCGTTGTATAATATTATAACGGCGAATATAAACCATGCGACACAAGCAGCTGAACCGGGGCGCCGGTATAAATATATATATCCAACTGTGCGGTGTGCGTACGTTAAACCTTGCTGCCGAGTTGCGTTGAAGAGCTACATCTGACTCTAATTCTTCCTTCTGGCGCTAATTTTTTTAGTACCGAACGGCGAACAATGCCAGCACTTGCTGTCACTGTCACGTTCATGAAATGTGGACTCTTTTAAACTGGATAATTAGGAATCGTAGAATCACAGTGACGCGCTACGTAAAAATAAATTCGTATCAGTCCGTATCTGCGTTCCCGGTACTGTATTCGAGTACTTATTCGACTACGATGCCAGTTTAAGTAAGTAGTACTTACATTAAGCAACTTAAATTGTTGTTCAACCTATTTTTGCCTTACTTGTACTTATTATTGACATATGGCAGTTTTTTACGTTAAACCTTCTAATAAGTCTGAACACACTACACCGTGTATTTTTAATATGCGTCTTACAGCCTCAATAAAAAAATTTGGTGGTTCACGGATTATTTAAAAGGTCCTACAATCAATAGATTTTGTACAGATTTGCTTGAAAATTTAGACAGGGAGCGTGATATTACTTATACACTACACCGGCACGCGTCAAGTTTATTGCAAATACTGCACTAACAAGTTATCGGCGTCATTATGTACTGTATGGATAATTTGAGTTAGTTAGAGTGGCAACGATTTTAGTCGCAGGGCTGCATAACACTAATAATGCTCGGTATTTACATGTACCATGGGTGTGCTATGCACGATCTTAACTCGATCATGCTAGTTGGAATATATTCTTCATTTGGTTGTAGTTGTAAGCAAAGCTGGATTGTACGATATATTGCGAAATAAAGGCTCTAACACTAACTGAGATGATGTAATTAACAACACGTTAATAGTTTTGCACTACTCACAAGCATTCATGCTGTTATGTAGCTGGCGCACAGTATTAATTTCTAAATGCCTTTACATTTTAACGTGGAAAAAAACAGAAACACATAAAAACGTCAGATCTACGAAGAATATAACTTGCGCACCATAAAAACAAAAACGTTAAAGCGTTCGGACATCAGGAGCGATTGTTGGATACTTTGGTCCTACGAACACTCATAGTCTGAGGGTATTGTTACCGAATACCAAGCAACATCACAAAGTTCGCCATGGCAGGTTACATTATAATTACCGTATTGCGTATTTCGGAGCCATCAGACAACTTTGATGACGTGTACCTTATTTGTGTAGTGCGATAACAGTGTCGAGATCTAATTACGGTGACAACTTGATTTTTGTTACAACGTAGTTGCTACTGCAATCACAGCGGCGCCGATAAACATCATGCAGTTACGCTTGTAAACGCCCTGTAGGCATGGTTTCTTAAATTATTTCTACACAGGGTAAAACCCAGGTTACAGCCTGCCTAAGCGGCTTGTATGCGGAATCACCTATCGTTCCAGTACCGTGCCTAAAATTCTGCCATATTTAATTAACGGATTGAAGCTCCACGTTAAATTGCGGCCATTCTAGTTATGACTTATGTACTCTATATTAAAGCCGGCATGCTTCTATTTCATTCAGCCTTGTGCATTCAGGACGTGATACGAACGTCTTATAGCAGCGCTCTTAATTGTTTTGTTACGGTACTTCGGGCTAACAGCAAGATGTAAAGTTGACCTTTTAAAATTTCATTACATACCGTCGCGAACTTACGCACTTTGTGCACGGCACATGCTGTTAGCACTATCCAGCCTAACTGAATTCAAGCAAGAGTTTCAAGGATAAGCACTACACCAAACTCTCCAAACCACCTTGTACGTGGTGCCACATTTTATGCGGCATCTGCCAGTTTTTTATCGCATGCCATGCCACTGGCAGTGCCATTGGCAGCTGCCACTGCCAGGTTTTACACCCTGCCAACGGATGGCCGGTGCGGCTGAACCTTTTATTGGAAAAACTGCCGGATGAGGTACTGGTTTGAATGGTTTGAATAAATTTTATCGTTCTCATATGCAAGCCCGCTACTTGCTAAGCATCGTTCACTAAACCGTCCGGTATAATCCTTCACAGGAAGCGAGGAAGCAGCTGCGCCTGATTATCGAAACTCTTCTAGACGATAACGCCGATCTGGCTGCACTGGAGATGGATTTGGACCTTGGATTGACGGTCAACATGTTACAAGGCGTCTACCCTGACGTCCTGCAATCGGTAGAGGAGAAAGGGAATCGGTACGCGAAGCCAAGAGAAGAAGTTTTCGGCCACTCGGTGCCAACAGATCCGGCTTTAAAATGATCTGGTATTTGCACTTCCCTCACTTTTCAACAGGGAAACAAAGGTCAGCTTTTTGGAATACCTTGTGGGAAAGAGCGTTCCAGATGAAGGGGTGCATTCTCAACTGGTGAAGATGTACATCGAAACTATGGAAGGCGAAAAGCTGGAGCATATGCTTAAGTAACTGCCACAACGAATCACACGAGTATATAGTAAGATACCGCACGTAGGTCATCATGTGCGGAAGATTGCTTAGTATTACTTCGCACACAACATTATGCCCTGAAATAATCTTTTGTTTATGGAGAAATTCCTGTATTTGGGCGATGCGCCACTTTGCTTTTTAGAAACGATCAATTGTTTGATGCTGTTGCGGTTGGTCAATGGTGCGAAGAGAATAACTGGCTGACTAAAGCTCTGACTGTGTACGAAGAACGGCGCCTTAGTGAAGATTTCATCCGGGTACTCAACATTTTTGTCTTAATCCAGAAATTTTATCTTCAGTTACTCCTTCAAATGCTACTATTAGTGTAATTTATATTATTTTTGAAACTATTTTCAACCTTTTGATAATGCTGACTTCTGTTTTGCAGCTGAGCGGCAAACTTGGCGTATTCAAGCGTCAGTTCAATTACCTGTTAAAATTACGCAGTCGACACATGTGGGAAACCGTTTTGAGTCCGGCGAACGGAAAGCGTTCCTACCTAGTTAACATTATGGTTGGCCAACCGGAAGCCGGCTATGAAGCCGCCTCCAACGATTTCGAACAATTGGCTGTGCTCATTGAAACTATGGCCGAAACGGATCTAATATCCGAAACCCAGACCTTCATCCGCCGACTACTTACAAAAACCGTTAATAAAGACCAACTCCGGTATGGTCAGTTTCATTTGTGTAACAAAAATATAAACCAACCTGCATGACAAACCTGAAGATTTCTTCTCCTTAGATTTCTGCAGAAGCATGCCGTTCGATCTTTATTAAGAAGTGGATATCCTACAGAGAAATTTCAACAGTTATTCGGCGAGCGGTTATATACGTATGATCCGTGCGTAGTTGCCGACGTGCTCGTTCAAGGAGGAATGCTGCGATTTGCTAAGGACATTCCGGTCAGGGGAAAGTGTTGGAAAGAAGCCGCACAGGTCTGTTGCACAAAAAAATCAGCTTTTTTGTAGTTATTTTAGCAACATTTTTACATTTTGAAACAATCTTTGTAATTAAAAAATTTCTGAAGTCCTTTTTGTCACCATGATCATCCAGTTGGTTGTGGCTAACAAAAACGAAGGCCTCGGCGATATCAAACAACTGGCTTTCTTAAGCCGCGATCCGGAATTACTGGCGACAGTTGGCGAAGATTACCTGGCATCCGGCGACCTGGTTCTGGCACTGCGATATCTCGTAGAAGCGGGCCGATTTACGAAATATAAACTCGTCTGCTCGTTGGTGCCGTTGGACAGGAAGTTCGGTTAGTCGACTTGAGTTTCTTATTTCCTGGTTTTTGAGATGAGATAGGATCATCCGTGTGAATAATACCAAATTTTATTTAGCTGAATGGGAGTTGCTTATTCGCTTCCTGGAGGGCGCGCTATCCACCACCAAAGATCCATCGGTTTGTGTGATCCGGGCTCTAGCGGGAAACCAATCTAGCGAATCTCGTTGGATAAACCAATCGCGGACGCACGACTGCATGAAGAGCAACCGTACCATAGCGAAGCTCGAATTCGGGACATAAGTACAGAATCTGCCCGCACTGATTTCTGTCAATAACCTAATTTTGTAGTTTCAATATCTTTCTAAAACCTAATTTTACACCACTTAGTGGCAAACGAAGGTGGTTCAAGCGGATCGCACGATGTCGATTGTTGTCGGATATGTGAGGATCGGCCGAAAAATGTGACATTCGTCCCGTGCGGCCATATGGTAGCCTGTATGGATTGCGCGCAAGAACTGAGCCTGTGCCCCATTTGTCGCAAGCCCATCGACCTGAAGGTCAAAACATTTAGTGCGTAATGTATCGTTTGCTCGAATTTGGGTGATCAAATCCAACCCAAATTCCGTTACCGGATTTGGCTACTTAGGAGAAACGGCTTGGCTTGATTTGTGTTCCTTACTACAGCCTGCTCGAAGAGTTGCCGTGCATGCTAATGTTGTAGTAAAAGTGTAAAAACGCTACTGCCAAGTCTGCCATCGATACTCCGTCACAAATGTACCTCTACTACGACTCTACGAGTACTATTGTCTGTCTTCTGTGCTAGTAGAGGCCAAAGCACTCTTTCTGTTAGACACCCCATAAAAAAAATCGCATACGCATATAGTACTTTGAATGTAGACTTCTCTCGTTGGATTCCAGATCGCTTAATTACCATGTTCTGAGTAGCAACACGCTCATGTCTAAGCTGCAGCTGACTTTAAAACTTCAGGTAGTAGCGACACATTTACACTACATATCCGCTGTACTCCGCTGACGGAGTAAAACTACAATTCATGTTGTGCACTTTGTGAGCGCGTGCCTGCCTCTACGCGGACTCAATCCCAATTCTGAATCCGCTCTTCTGTACAAAAAACTAGCAGATACTCTTCCAGTTCCACATGTGTTCAGATGCGGGCCTGTTGCGGACCTGGAGGATTGTGAGCGTAACAATACTGTACTGATTTTGAAGTGTGCCGCACTTACAGTACTTGTTCTCACTTACCTCACTCAATATTTGCATCTTTCCCTTATATAGTCTTCGTTACCCCAAATTTGAAGTTTCATTTAAAGAACAGTTTGAAAACAATACGTCAAGCAACTGCATCGATTACTTGGCTTGAAAATAACGTAAAATACTTACTCAGAATGTATTAAGAGTTATCAAGTTTGAGATTGCTCAGATTTGTTTCACCTGTTAATTTTTCTCCCAGTGCAATATCAACGTTTTCGGTGGGAGAATTACTTCGTTGACTACTGCTGAACTTTTGAAACCGCCCTGACAAGAGTCAATTTTAAATTTGACGTTGTAATAACTTTGATTTGGATACAGCTGCTTCTCAAAGCAACGGAAAAAGATTCAGTTTGTAGTCCGAGCTGCGGTTTTTCTTTATGGGAATTTAAATGCAAGTCATTAGGTTTGGCAGGTTAAAAACTGTTTCATAGATTCTGGTCGTTGAATGCCTGTTGGCTTCTTTCATTATCGTTCAAAAAAGCCAGAAACAATAATAAACCAACACATACATGAATCGAAAGCATATTCGGTTTGGAGGTAATCCAACAAGGTTTTTCTACAGCACTATCCATGCGTCTCAGGCGTTGACGAGCATGGCTATTTATTAAATTACGAGTCATTCCTTGCAGCAAGGCTTTGATGGAAGTATTTATAACTCCAGCGATCGAGTTGAGTGCTCCTCGAAGAGCGAGAAGCGGATCATTCTGGGAACAATATTCCCTGTGTTTCAGTGACGACTTTCGAATAACGAGCGTTGCAACCACTGAATGAATAGGTCTAGGGCGATTAGAACAAATTTCACACATTTGAGAGTATTCAAACTGTTGCGAATTTGTTGCATCTCTGCAGGCTGCTATTATTGTTTGTTATTCATAACTGAAGTCAAAATTAGACATTTCACAATAATAATGTGATTACTTTACTTTTCCAAAGGTCACGGATTCTTTCTTTGCTTTCTTCATTAGAGGTCACAGACACTTCGAACCGTACATATAAATTTGCAAGTGTGCATTATCTCTGTTCTCCACCCTGTACACGTTAGCATCTACAGAGTGGTGTTGTATCAATTTTATCGACGATCGTGATTTTGGTCAACATATTGCGAAAGCAACACATTGCGAGTAGTGACGCCAGCATTGGATGCCAGCTTTTCCGCACCGTAATTCTGCATGATAACCGATCTTGCTTAATGTTGCTGGAAACCCATCCATCTGAATTCAAAAGTAAATATAAACTGCTCTCAACCGCCTGAATATCGGCAAGGCCATATAAATAACTTCATTGTGTTCAGCAAACGCTATCCCATTTTGATTTTGTTGAGTATCGATGTAATTTGGTCAGCTTGATGGTCCCCGGTCTACTGGACACAATACAGGCGCAAAAAATCAAATATTAATACGAGTACGGTTCAAACTTTCAAAGTAAAACGCCGGCGAGCGAAAGTGTGACAAAAGAAAATCAGTGCTTACCGTGGTTGCTGACTTGACCCAACATACCCATGCGGTAAGCGGATAGTATATTTAGAAAGGGATATTTCCTTGCGCAAGGAAAGTATGGGATCAAAAACGAAGACTAGACAGTGGGCACACTTCCACCAATCAGGCGTGGCGTGGCATGAACATCCAAAGAAGACGTGGCTCACACAGAAGTTGCACACTCATAGCACTGACCAGTCGCCACTGTAACTGTATTGGAAAATTGTAAAATGATTCTGCCTCTCATCGAGCATTACTTTCAGCGTTGTTCCCTCGTAATCGACCGTATTTTCAATGTTTTGTTTCAAAACGGTCAGTGCGGACATTTCTCACTCATGCGCTACTTGGTTTATTTATTATTTCAAAATTCTTTGTGCAATACAAATGATTTGGTACTAATTTTGGTCTTTCAAAAGCTGCAGGCAATTCCTAGTCATGTTGTGCGGAATCAACACAGCCAACAGCGTCGACGTCATGGGTGATGACGGTCTGCTTCGCCACGGACGCGTTGTGGACGTAATGGATGACGGGTTCCTCGTGGACTTTCTGGGTTCCACCGAACGTCGTCGTCTCCTCCCCTTCGGCAGTAAAGTCTTCACACCTAAACGCCGTCATCCGGAAGAACAAGACTTTACCGTTGTTGGCCAACCAAGGCCCACGGTCACCGAAGTGCTTATGCGTAAGAATTCCGGCGATCCGTGGATCTGGCATCCGGCTGTGTACGTACGCAGTCAGGACGGCGTGGCAGTTGTCCAGGGGGTCGACAAGGACAAAGTGGCGCATACGGATATCGTTCCAGATGATCGAGTACGCGAGAGAACGCTGAGCGACCGGTAGGCACCAGAAAGCTTTGGTGTATGTTTATTTTGCACTTGACTGCCACCTGCACTTTTGTAGAAGTACTGAGAGACAAGAATTTAGGAAGTACAGTGTCCGATTACCGGCGGAATGCGGCTCCATGTCGGCAGAGGAGTTGAGAAACCTACTTCACATTCACGCACCGGATTCCGGTTTCTTTGATGATTACTTTGCGTTTTCTCTTGTGGATGTCGCGGATGGACACCTTTGGTACATCCACCGTCCGAATTCCGTCGAAATGGAAGAACTGATTGGGAAATCAGTGGTAAGTTAGCGAACAAACATAATCAAAGAGAAGCAGGTTCTCGGATTGTTTTTACTCGCTAGGTTCTCACCTTCCTCAGAACGATAATTAGAAGTCATATTAAAGGTAAATGTGCGGAGAAAGTTATACGTTATAAACATTTACGGAAATAATCATTAATGACTTCTACTAAGTACGTGTCATGCGAACTAAGTCTGTATTGATACTTGGTAACACACAATCCCATTAATAAAGGCATTTAATCGCAGTCTAAGCTTTATTTTTAAGCACTATTATAATAGACCTTCCGGACGCTTTCTCAAATGGTTGACGAGGCTTTTGCGAGCGTCAGCATCTTCCGTCGCGGGCCGCGAATCAGACACTCTTAAGCTATCGTTGGAATTGTGGACGGAGGTCTTCTCGTATCTCAGCACATTAACGCAGAATTCTCTCCGCGTTGTGTGCTCCACGTGGGACAGCATTCTGCAGGTACCTATACTGACGGCCAATATTGTCATTACATGGAGCGAAGACGAGATCGTCCGTCTGGATCGCCTGCAGTACTGTACACTGGCTCCTATCTTCAAGTGTCTGCGCCCATCCACAAAGTCCTTAATGGCGGCCGACACATCGCTGCTGGCAGGCAATGTTATTCAGGAAATACTGGACATGGTGCAGTATGTTGCCCAGCAGAGCGGCAACATTCGACTGGATGTCATCCGGATCATTGGAGCTTCTCGTTGTCTGCACTGGGATCACAGCTACCTGTTGGACGACCGCCGTGAATGCTTGTTCCACCGAGCAGAGGCAGGAGCCGCTGTCGGTAAATACTGGAATGATTTCGTGGCGACGTGCCGAGGTCTTCCCTGTGACGCGCTGCAGTTGGTCAACTTTGATGTACACCTGAATTACATGAACGAGTGGACCGTGGACGACCTTTCTGAGTGGATACCGGTCCTGAAGCTTACTACGCCTCGCATCAAGGTTAATGCGGGTTTCGATGGCGCATTGTGGGAAGCAATGAATGCCGGTTTAACCGTGCCGAGTAGTCAACAGCAGCAGAAGATGGCGCTGTGGTTCCAACGGGACGGTTGTGGTGGCAACCCAGTGGTAGCCAGTACGGCTTGCAAGGTGGGAACTCTCCGAAAACAGTACCGTAAACGATTGCAACAATACAAGAAGGTTCTAAACTTTCCTCTTCGGTTCATATTTTTTTCTAAAATGAAACGTCTTGTAAATATCTAGTTACCTTAAAGGCTGTCCAGCGATACTCAGACATCCCGGTTTGCTTAGCGTATCGATGTCCGGCGGTGGTGAGCGCTTAGGAAAAAGTTCGGAACTCCGCTTTTTATTAACTATTCAAAATTCATCTTAATTTCTTTTATGTTATTTCTCTTCTTGTTTTCTTGATGTTTAGGCCTCATAATATTTTCTCTGTGGTAGATACTTTGTGCAACGCATACAGCGGATCCGCGCCCGTCGTTGCATTATCGCCAGATAAAGAGGTGCGTGGACGGCATGAAGGACTTGCGAGTTGCAGAATTATCGTCCCTTGCGCAGCATCTCCTGATACAACTGCAGGAATTTTTCGGTAAGCCCGGCGATCTAGGTCCTAAGGAACACCGTGTCCTGCACAATGCGTTGCAACTGCAACTATTTTCAATGTAACAAGTCAAAGGCCTACTGCAAAGCTGTTGCGCTAATTTCCATGTTTTTTGCTCTTGAATTCTCGCCTGGTTTTTAGAAAAAGGTGTCCCTGAAGAATCCGAAATTGACAAGGGAACGCGCTGGAGTAAGGACACGGACGACGCTCTTCAGGATGAAGCAGACACGGCCGGCGGTGGCGCCAAGGGCGAACCAGGTGCTATGAAAACGCCGGCCCGGATGGAGTCGGACGGCGATGACAACAGCGATCAAACTACCGATTAGATGTAGTCTCCATGGATGCACCACGGCTCCCGTTTTCCCTGCTGTTCTTTTTTCTCCTACAGCGGCCGCTGTCGTCATCAATCCCTTTTTTCTTCTTTATTTTTTCTCTGTTCGCACGAGGTGCCATAGGGGGCAAGGCGCCCAGCAGCATTGAAACGTGGCGGAATTTTAAGATGGCTGACATCGTTAACTTTGTGCTTTGATTACTCTCATATTTGCGGTATTTTTAGACAGTCGTGTTTATAACTTTAACACCGCTTGACTTTTGGTGTCACCGTAAAGTTCTCACTTTTCCTGAATTTAGTCTATCAAACAAAACTGTCTTTTCTGTCTATTCTCGACGAAAAAGAACAAAGTGTACAAAATATTTTGCATTGGATATCAGACCATTTTAATATCACACAGATGCAGGAGCCGGTCATAGGAAAGGAAAAATGTGACACAAGGTCAAACATCAGGCGAAAAGCAATTCTAAATCGCCGCATTCTGCCCTGACCCAACCGGCCTGTATGGTAAATGGAAAATAGGTCGCATTTAAAACGGGACGTTTCCGTACTGCGTGAAATAAAAAATCCAAGACTAGACAGTGGGCATAAATCCACCAATGAGGTTAAATGAAGGCACTACATGCAAATCCCAAGCGTACAGGCGGCGTTTCACAGAGCTTTTACAACGTGATCATCCAGTGGCCTCCACTGACCCACAAAGAGCTGATCGACTGAATTTTCAGTGTTTTCTTAAAACGGCAAGTACCGAGTCTACGAGTAGTTTTTTAGTATTTTTCAATTTTTTTATGAATAAGAAAATATATGGTGATATTTTTGCTCTAGCAAACCTATTGGTAGTCTTTCGCCATGTTGTGCGGAATCTACACAGCCAACAGCGTCGATGTCGTGGGTGATGACGGTCTGCGTCGCCACGGACGCGTTGTAGATGTGACTGATGATGGGTTCCTTGTTGACTTTCTAAGTTCCGCCGAAGGTCGCCGTCTCCTCCCCTTCGGCAGTAAAATCTTCTCACCTGATCGTTATCCTTCGGCAAAGTCCACTACCACCGAAGTGCTGATGCGCCAGAATTCCGGCGATCCGTGGATTTGGTATACGGCTGAGCACTTACGCAAGCATTACGGCGTGGTAGTTGTCCAGTGGGTCGACAAGGACAAGGCGGTGCACACGGATATCGTCCCGGACGAACGAGTTCGCGAGAGAGACCTGAGCAGTCGGTAGGCAACAGAAAACTATGTTTGAAATTTTCTTTGAACTGATTGCCTCTGCACTGTTTTAGACTTACTGAGAGGGATGAATTCGAGAAAGTCAGTGTCCAGTTGCCCGCCTGGTGTGGCTCAGTGTCCGCAGAAGAACTGAGAGACCAACTACACATTCATGCGCCAGATTCCGGTTTCGCTGCTGATTACTTTGCGTTTTCTCTGGTGGATGTCGTGGATGGACGGCTCTGGTACGTTCATCTTCGAAATATCTCTGAAGAGATGGAAAGGATCCAGGAGGAGAATTCGGTGGTAAGTTATCAAACATACAGAATAAAACAAATCACTTACTACCTTTCGGAATACGTTAATTACTGGTACAAGTCATATTAAGGCAAATATGCGGAGATAATTATGGTATTAACTAGAACAGATGGCGTATTGTTTACGCGGCAAGCGAACCTGTCTGTCTCTGCACCAGGCTGTCTCTGTACTCGGACGCATTAAATCACAGTTTTAGCTTTGCTTTCCAGAAATATCAGCACGAACCTTCCAGACGCTTTATGAAATGGTTGACCGGGCTTCTGCGCGCGCCCGCATCTTCCGTCTCGGTCGCCGAAGTCGAGTCAGACAGTGCAATGCTATTGGTGGAACTTTGGACGGAGGTCTTCTCGCATCTCAACACACTAACGCAGAACTCTCTCCGCATTGTGTGTTCCATGTGGGACAACATTCTGCAGGTGCCCATACTGACGGCTAATATTGTTATTGCCTGGAGCGAAGACGAGACAGTTCGTCTGGATCGCCTTCTGTACTGTACACTGGCTCCTATCTTTAAATGTTTGCGCCCATCCACAAAAACTTTAACGGTGGCCGATCCATCGTGGCTGCTGAGAGACACAGTTACCCTGGAAATACTGGACATGGTGCAGTATATTACCCAGCAGATCGGCAACATTCGACTGGATGTTATTCGGATCATTGGCGCTCGTTGCTGTCTGCATTGTGACCACAGCTATCTGCTGGACGACCGCCGAGAATGTCTGTTTCACCGAGCAGATGCGGAAACGGCTGTCGGTGAATACAGAAACAAAGTTGGCGTACGCTGGGGTGATTTCACGGCAGCGTGCCGAGGTCTTCCCTGCGACACCCTGCAGTTGATCAACTTTGAGGTAAATCTGGATTACACCAACGAGTGGACCGAAGGCGACGTTTCTCACTGGACACCGGTCATGGAGATTACGACGCCGCGCATCAAGGTTAATGCGGATTTCGATGGCGCTTTATGGGAAGGGATGAATGCCGGCTTAGCAGTGACGAGTGGTCGAAAACAGCAAACGTTAGCGCAGTGGTTGAAAGGGAATACGGCTGATCCCTTAACCAGTACGGCTTGCAAGGTGAGTTGTTATAAAAAAACACTGCTCCAACGTTGCTGACGTACTATTGCAAACGATTGTCATCATCGTTGTTTAGAACTTTTGTCTTTAGCTGAAACTGTCTTTCTCCAATCAAAATGGCTTGTATTAATTTTACAAATATCTGCATATGTATTTTGAGAGCTACCTAGTAGAGGTACTCAGGCATCCAAAGTTGCACAACGTACTCAGCGCGCAGAAATGAATTTTAAACTCCATTTTGATCGTAAATATCAAAATTCTTCCAAAATTTACTCCTTTGCTTCTTTGTATTATCGATTATTTTACTCTTCGCAATATGTGAGCGATTGTCATGCTGTTTCGAAGACAGACTATTTGTGCTGCGCTAGATTCTTTGTGCGACACAGACAGCGGATCCGCGGTCGTCGTTGCAGTATCGCGGGAAGAAGTGGTGCTGGGACGGCATAAAGGACTTGCGAGTGGCAGAATTATCGTCCCTTGCGCAGCATTTCCTGATGAAACTGCAGGAATCTTTTGGAAATCCAGGTTTGCATTATTTGTGATCTTAGCCATACTGTAAGAAATACTGTATTCTGCATAGCCTTTATGAACTTAAAGCCACTGTGCAACCCGGCTTGACTGCCATATAATTTGACAGCAGAACTGCTGTATACAGGCAGCTTGTTTATTCTTCAGCATGCTGTCAAGCGTCGATTTAAACATTCAGCGTGACTGAAAGCAGTGCAAGTTTGGAGCTGTTGTGTTAATTAAATTTTTACACGGTTTTCTTTTTTCTATTGAATTCTCACCGGTTTGTTCGAAAAGGTCTCGCTGGAAAAATGTCAGAAATCCCCGGCGAGAAGAGAAAACGTTCGTATAAGGACACGGGAGCAGCCCGTCAAGGAGGGGCAAGTGCAGCCAGTGGTGGCGCCAAGAGAGGACCAGATGCTAAGAAAAAGCCTGACAAGAAAGACCGGATAGAGTCAGACGATGATGACAATAACAATAAAAATACCCACTAAAGTCAATCCCGTGGCCCTATGGATGCTCCGCCAATCTTGTTTTCATTGTTTTTCCTTGGATATTGTTTTACCTACAGTGACCGCATTCGTTATAAATCTATTTTTTTACTTCGACTATCTGCAACAGGTGCCACTGTGGGCAAGGCGCACAATAGCATTGTGCCTGGGGTGTTCTTTTTTAGATACGTTTTTTTAGCACTATAGGATGTGTTGCGGCGGTTGAGATGCTGGGCGACTTTTGCGTTGTTGTGTGTGCAGCTTTGCTTTTTTTAGAAGTATACACAGCCTGTTACAATCTTCTAACTAAGCTTGATTTGGCTTGACATACGAGTCTGATGATACGACATACGAAAAAGCTGCGAAACTTTCTTGACGGTACTTCTTTCAACTGAGCTTATTAAATCAAAGCAGCTTTTTTTGTTCTGTATCCTTGATGAGCCACCGATGCTCAAAGTGACGGTCAAAGTGGGTGACACCGCCCGTTTCCCATGTAATGTCAAGTATTCAGCGATTAGGGGTAGTTTTGAAAATCGTTTCCTTTTGAGTAACGAAGACCATCTTTTATACGCTGAGGGAATCGATGAATTTCAGGCCCGTGTTTTCGCAAAGACTGGTTTTGATGGGAGTATTAATACCGCCTATGATGGAACATGCCACTGTTATTCCACTTTGACCATTTCACGGGTGCAGGCAAATCATGCCGGGCGTTACCAATGCTGGTTCAAGTTCGACGATCTGTTCTACGAATGGGCTGTGCAGGAGGCGTACCTCACCATGATCACGTGACCGTGCTTTGCGAATGACAAAGTATTGGAGAGTTCGTTAGTCATTTACGGTACCGGTGGTGTATCAAAAGGTTTTGTCGCCTACGGTTAGATGGAGAGCAAGGTTAACTTTTTGCGGTAATGTATTGTAATTTATATTTGATTGTGGCATTTTCTTTCGTATTTTGTAATTGATTAGTAAATATTATTTCTTTGAATGCGGTTGCAAGCTTCACTGACCGCACTAACATTGCTGAGAAGCCAATTCAGTGGGGGCACTTGCGAAGTAGTTCACCCTGCCCGGCTTCAACGTATTGTTTAAACAATATTTACTCAATTTATTGAACGCCGGTAAAAATATTTGACTACATACGCTCGCGCCACAGCGTTGTTACCGAAGTAATCACTGAACAGCGAACCGCGTGCAGACGTTAGGCAGCATTAGAAGGTGGCATAAGACATTGGTAAATGGCAACTATCGAGCCAGGTGGCTTCGTTCGTGCGCTTACGCACAAGCATTCGCACATTTCCGCCATCCCGTCTTCAAAGTACATCCAAGAATACCCACATCCCATCCGTATACTAATTATCACACCCATCCCTTTTCCAAGAATTGTTTTCCTTGTAAATCGGCGTGGATTACACAGCCCATCATAAAAAGCCGTGGATTTCCAATGGGATTATGTACCGTGGCTTCCGGCCAGATATTGTGTACTTCCGTCATCGACTAACTGATTTCCTTAATAGAAATTTGATCTGATGATTTCATATTCATAACAGCACCTGGGCTTAGCATGCCTATAATATAAGCGAGGGTAAAGTATTGTTTTCCATCTACGTCAGCGGATTATAAAATTCAGTGCGCATACAGAATCCGCTGTTATACGTAATTTGGGGGCGATTAATAAGTATTCCTTTTGCAGAAACTTTAGATAAGTTATCTTTTTGCTGTTCAACGTGTACCGCAATGTACAATACGATTTTTCTCAATTCTACAGCAGCGTACAATGGTTCACGTGCATTTGGTAACCTCTCTACAAATAACACCCATTCCAACTTTTCCCCGACCGGTCTGCTGACAATGACAACCGCCACCCTCATCGTCAACATCGGCGTCTTGATCCTCCTTCTCAAAGAGAAAACCTTGCGCACCCCGTTTAACCAGTACATCATCGCGCTCCTGTGCAGCAACATCATTTTCATCGGTCTTGACAATCCACTGAAAATCCTGACTTTTTCCTTAGAAGACTGGTGGCTGGGCAGCGACGCCTGCACCGTACACATTTATTCTATCTACGTCGTGGCGGCCGTGACCTTACACATCCACCTCCTCATCAGTATCAACCGGGCCTGGGCGTTGTTCTGGCCCATCGGTTATAAAAACCGTCATAATGCGATGGTGGCTGGTTTGCTGTGTTTGGCAATGACGATTTACGTCCACATCCTTCTGTTGCCGGTGGTGTTCGGCGGAGCGCAGTTTCGACAGTCCAACGCCCGAGGTTGTTATTTAATCATACCTGGGCATTTCGGGTGGTCGACATTTGCAGCGGTGTGGGTGTTCCAAGTCCCGAAGGTGTTCATCCCGGTGTGCTATCCGTTTCTCCTGTGGAAGGAGGTCAAGCGCAAGAAGACGCTGCGGCGACCGGCACCGGGTATGGAGAGCGCAAAGAAACGCGGGAAGTCCCGGCCGTTTATGGTGTTGACCTTATTCACGGTGTGCGCGGTAGTCTGCTGGATCCCCAGTACGGTTTATTATGAGATGATTAAGTTTATACCGCCTCGGAAGTTGGAGACCCTGCGGAATGTGCAGGGGACGTTGTTCCCGCTGCAGGCGCTGCTGGATCCGGTGTTCTTCTGCTTAAGTTTGCGCAATGTGCATGATTATATTGTGAAAGTGTGGCGACGGGTGTGCAAACGGGAGAAGATCGCTAGCGCACCAACTTCTATGAAATCGAATGTTACATGAAAAGTCTTGAAAAGAACGGTCGTGGACAATATTTGCCAGAAATCTGCAATAACATTCCAAGTATTCGGTATTCATGACATTTATCTGATTGTAATCAAACGGGTCAGATTGTCGGTCTTAAATTTTCGAGAGAGTCGAGTTGCTGCGGCCTGTTATGCATCTTTGATTTGACGGCTGTGAGTATGCCAAATCTGACAATTAATAGTGTTATTAAGTACGTAAATCAATATTCTGACCGTGAATAACCCGTAATATTGTGACTATCGTTGTCCGTAATCAATACTGTGACCGTGAATAATCCGTAATAACGGTGCCATAAAAATATACAGCCAAAGTGCGACGTTTAATTTGGCAACAGTGTGCTCACTGCTCATTGACACACCACTGTAGCTGCCCTGACACTGATTAATCAAGACGCTTTAAACGTAAAAATTTATAAACTACTAAGTAAGCAGTTAAGAATGATCGGTCTACTCTGACACAAAAATGTTGTCTTTACTTTATAAGTACTATGTTGCCGTCGGAAGACCTTTTGGACAGTAAAGCCTGTGAGAATCGATCAGGGACAGTCCGGCACATTCACCGAATATTCCATCTGTTCAAAATGAATATCCGACAACTGGATGGGGGTGATTCGCAATCGATCGGCAAATACAGGCTCTTCCTGCGATACACGGAATTCGTAAATGATCCGCTTAACGTGTAAACCGCGCCCACCGTAGCTTCACGCAGTAGTCTGGTGTTATCTTGCCACCATTGTCGGTACCACGTAAACGTACAATCACAGTGCAGACTGACTATGAAGACTCGAGTCATATTCCAAAGAAATCACTCGCAAATCGGGTAAATCGCTGAAGGAGTCCTTTTCCAGTGTGCGAATCGGTGGAGAACTGGAGTATGGCCGACTTTTAACAGTAAATATGCGCAATTTGCGAAACGATATCAGATCATTCTTCCCAATGTCTAAATCATCGCATTCTATTATGTTCAGTTCGAGCAGGTTAGCGAAGCCCAGAGCCGGCAGACGTCCGAGTGATCGGGAATTCTCGCAGTTTGATAGTTCAAAAGCAATGACTTGTTTCTGTATGAGTCGAAAATTGTGCGACGTGAGTATTGGTCCGTCGGCCATGTGCATCTCGATTGGTCGCAGCGGAGGTTTGGACATGGATGTGGTCATTGCTGTTATTTCTTCGATGCTTGGTGAGCCATACATGCAAACAATCAACAATCCTTTAAATGCGGCACATTCTTGGTATTCCCACGGAGGTTGACAGTGTTGTGTGTTTTGGGCCTTGCACTCATCCGCGCGCATCGGAGCAAGGGAAAATGTCGGAAATGGCTCGTCAGCGTGCGCAAAAACCGATGAGGAGGATAATAGTATTCGTTTTCTGGTAGTGACAACAGTCGTAGTTCTATCTATAAATGTGTCACAGCAAAACAGTACTTAACGAAATTCAATTTCCTTTGGGTCCGCTAGTATGATTATTATGAAATCTTTGGTATTGTAATCAATGTATCAATCTGCGTAGCTGTGAGGTTTTAGAGTTATTGAAGACAAGTTTCGGACAAACTTATTAATTTTTGCGCAGTTACCGTCAGTTTCCAGTGGCTGTGGGGTGCTAAAAGTTTTCTTTGATCCTCCTTAAAACGATAAACTGATTACCATTCAAACAATAATCACCTCAGACATTACTGTGTATAAAAACATCAATAACAATTAAATTATATGCAATACATAATTATGACTGGTCACTGCTGTACCGCTTGTACGCATATTTAAGTACAAGCTTGTCCGGTAATTTCAAGGTACAAAGGTAAGGTACAAACAGCACATATTTAGCGCTGAGTTTGTCCTATGGCAATTGCCACTACACTACGTCGTAAATTTGTGTATTTCGCTGTATTGATTCGTAAGAAATTACCGGACAAGCTTGTACAGTACCTATGAACGTGCTAGCTGCGGCAACCGGGCAACGAAAACGTCGATGAATTCTGGTGATATCCAACGGGCTTAAATTTTCGCTCTGTCCGATTTTGGCTCGTTTGGCTTTCGGTACAATAGTCGGAATACTACTGTCCTTGGCAAAGGCGTTATACTTATAATGCATAATCGATTCGTAGTCGTACGGAAGTCCGTACGTATTCCCGGATTCGTGTATGGCGAACTGCTCTTTGTCACCTAAAACAAGGAAATATTGACCACAGTATTACGCTTATCACGCCGGCTTGCGCAGAAGGACCCAAGTGGACGCCACAATTTATAATAAGTACATAGTTATAACAACAGTTGGTTGCGTTTTTATCGATAGTACAAAGCGGCAGAGGACGTTTCTATACTTTCTCCAACATTATCGAAGCTATAATCTTACTCTCATCAATGTTATCCCAGATAATAATAACATGCTGATCTCGATCAGCTCGGGAGTGCTCATGGAAAAATCCCATTGTGTGCATCAGTTCGTGCTGGACATCTCCGTGATTCTTCAGACATCCGGTTGCATAAGTCACGGTCTGTTTACCGCCCGTTCGACCAATATTTGACATGCATCTACAATCAATACGAAACAGGAAGTCTTTCACATCAATAGGGCAAAACACAATTGTACTTCATCAACAATGCAGTACTGACTGCAATCCTTTCTGAAAGTTAATGTAGTCCTCTTCATCTGTTCGCTCCACGAACTGGATACAGTTCCCGGTCAAATGACTGATAATATCCATAGACTCCAGCACAATTCGGATTTCTTGTGGCGCTAACCCATTTTCGGACACGATTAAGTTTAGAATTAATCAGATCATTCTAACGCGACCGATAATTTTTTTATTATGTAATTTTTGCTAAGATAAAGTTTTACTCAGCGTTGCAAATTGCTTCTTTGAAAATGTATATGGGATGGTGTTGTTTGGCCAAAACGAGTCAGCCTTGTCAATCGCATTGGCCGCTCCATGTGACAACTGGAACCCGAACAAGAAGCGTTGTGATGAGACATCGAATGAACAATTTCGTTTGAACCAATTTCTGCCTAAGTTGCCCGAAATAAATTTTAGCACATCTTTGTATGACACTGTTTAACTGTCTATTATTTAATGTCACAGTAATACTTGCAGAGCCTCGAGTCCGGTAATGTCGCCTTCCAGCAGGTCAGTGTCGTAAAGGCTAGCGTCGCTGCCTTTAGCCAGGATTTCGGGATCGATGAAATCTCGCCAATCTGCTCGGTAAGTTGTATCATAATCTAAAATCTGGAAATCACTGCCGCAGCCTTTTCATGTTACTTACTCGTTGGTAGGTTTGTAGAAGATGCTAATGAAAAAACCAACAATTTTGGCAACATGAAAAGACCAACAACGGAAATAAACATAGTCAATGTAGGCATAGCACTGTACAGTGTACACCACCCAACTGCATACATGCCACGTACCGACAACATTTAAGATATTTGTAAGAAAACCAATAAAACTAAGAGATTCCTTGTGGGCAGAATGCGGTTTTGACACACTGTCACAAACATAAGTCGTGTTTACCGAATATCCGCTGGCAATATGTGGATCCATTGAATGACAACCGGTTCTTTTGAAAACAATGTCCCATACTTCGTAGTTGCCAGTGTTTGTGATTGTTGTAATGTTGTACTTATAATGTATTGGACTACCGTATATGTAAATCAGTCATGATTTCTATTACTGTATTGTACTGCAATTGTGCATCTATCGGCTGTGTGTACTGCATCTTTGCACGCTGCTGTTCCGGAATATTATCGACGAATAAGATAAGTTATCAACTCCCATCATTGCAGTTTATAAGTACGAGTTGGCAGTCACATTACATTTATGTTGCTATTTAGAAGAAAGGGTATTATTTAATACTGATGTATGGACGCGCACAGTTCAAAAAACGTATACTCGAGTAGTCCGGTATTACCAGTCCAGAATTCTGGATCGCCAATGTTGAAACGCCGGCAGACATTTTGTATGGCCAAAACACCGGTAAAATTTTTGTGGTGTATCGTGTATCTGTACCGTGTATGGTACTGAATCACTGACCAACCTTCGAGATAAAACTTACTTTTTTATTGAAATACGGAAATTAATTATTACAAAAACAATGAATTGTTTGAAAAACAAGTCACTACACTTGAAACCGATCGATACGTAAACACAACTTAAGTAAAACAAACGTGCATAACACGTACGCACGAAGAAATTTAATGAAAATGCTGCAAAAACCTTTATCTTGAATGCGCAACCGAAGTATGTGTCTGCATTAATGTTAGCGATCAAATCGTAAACAGTCAACGTAAGGAAACATTGGTAGATGACCCTTTTTTAATTTCCAGTCTAGCCGTTTCGACAAAATTTAATGACTGCACCCACTTCTCAGTAAACTTATGTGATGAGATGTCGGTTACGGTAATTCCGGTCTAACCGGCGGTATGGTAAATCAAAGTCTGTGAAACGTGATTAAGGACATTCAGGGACATTCACCGAGTACTCCATCTGCTCTAAATGATATCAGACTGTTCGGATGGAGGCGAATTGCAATCGACTGGTAAATATAAGTCTTTTTGTTGATACATGGCACTCTTAAAGGACCAGTTCAACGCGTACACATCAGCAGCCGCCGCTTCCTTTAGAAGATTGGTGTTGTCCGCGTACCAGCGCCGGTACCACCCATACGTACAATTGCAATGCAGGCTGATAACGTAGTCATGTGGCGAAGTATACCGCCAAGCCTTGTATTCCAATGAAATCACGCGTAGTTCGGACAAACCGGTAAGCAATCTGGATTTGCAGCACGGGGAGGAACGCAAGGGGAACAGTCAAAATGGCTGTCTTCCAGTTTACGAAGCTAACACAGCGTGCCAGTGCCTAGAATCTCACAAAGCCAGGTGTTTTCTGAAGGGCCACATAATGTAACAGTTCACTAAACCTGGCATCCATAGATTATGAATTGATGACGATTTTTTAGCAAATTTTTAATGGAAAGCATAGGAAAACGTTTTGCGAAATGTTACAGTGTTGCGCATACAGTGCGCATACAGTTACAGTGTTGCGCGAAATGTTACAGTGCGCGACCCTTGTCGGTTTGCAAAATCCCACCGTATTCTAAAATTAATTTGTTATGAACGCTAAGAGAAAGGGCTTTCAAATTTAACGGCTCTAAGAATAACATATGCACGGAGAGGATGGCAATAAAATCATAAAGAAAGTGGAAGCATATTGCAAAATCACCCTCTGTACGTAATCGAAAATATTATGCAGGCAAAGGTAGAGCAGGCCATAAATTGTTCCCCCGAATTTTCTTTTATTATTAAATGTAGGACCTAACTTTCATCGACGTTATCCCAGATGATGATGACATGCTGGTCGCGATCCGCTCGGGAATGCTCATGGAAGAATCCCATGGTGTGCATCAGTTCGTGCTGGACATTTCTTTGATTCTTCAGACATCCTGTCGCTACGTCACGGTCTGTTTTCCACCGGTTCGACCAATGTTTGACATGCATCTACAATCATAAATTATTCTTTTTCGAACCATTCAACTTCGGCATCAATGAAATGCTGATTTGCAGTCCCTTCTGAATATTAATGTCTTCTTCGTCAGTCCGTTCCACAAACTGGACACAGTTTCCGGTCAAGTGACTGATAATATCAATCGACTCCAATAGAATTCCAATTTCCTGTGATGCTAACCAATGAACAGAAGTAATTAATTTAAGATCACCGGGTGAATATGGAATTCTAACAGGGTAGATGATCTTTTTATTTTGCAAATTTTCTTATAAAATAAAGGTATACTTAATGTTGCAAGTTGTTTCTTTGTAAATTGGTACGGGATGGTGTTGTTTGGCCAAAACGAGTCAGCCTTGTCGATCGCATTAGCCGCTCCATGTGACAACTGCAATCAGAAATAGGAAGCGTTATGATAATGCAACAAATGAGAAGGGTTTAAATCGTTGGATAACACTGTCGAGATGGTTACTTTTAGGTTCTTCTGTGATGCCTCCACAGCCTCGAGTCCGGTGCTGTCGCCTTCCAGTAGGTCGCTGTCGTAAAGACTAGCGTCGCTGCCTTTGGCCAGAATATCGGGATCGATGAAATCTCGCCAGTCTGCTCAACAAGGTCTTGAAAAATGAAAACATTACCGAGACTTTGGGTTATAATGTAACTAACTTACTCGTTGGGAGATTTGTTGTAGAAGCTAATGTGAAAACCAAGAGTTCCGATATCATAAAAAAGCAACAGCGAAAGCATACACAGGGAAAGCAAGCATAGAGCTGTACACCACTCAGTTTCATACGCGTCCCGTACCAGCAGCAATTATAGCAGCTCTGCTCCTTAAAAAAAGATTAACTTAGAAAATATCTTGTGAGCGGAATACGTGCTCGACTCGTATTCACTGAATATCAGCTGGCAATTTGTGGACTCGATGCGTGATGACAACCGGTTTCTCTTTGGAAACAAAACGTTTCCTGCAATTTGAACGTTCTTGTGACTGTTATTGTTAGTTCTGAACTAACGTAAAGGCGCAAAACCACTCGTGTTCTCGATAAGCGGTTTCAGTGAAATTTTTGCAGAGGATGCTGCCGATACCTGGGTACAGTATAATTCAGCTCTTCTGGTAAACGGTATTTGCTCAGACTCTGTAAAGCTTTTCTAAGCCACGTATAACTCAAAGTTTGTACATCGTAGTCGGAGACTACTTAAATACAGTACTTAAACCTTTACTGTTTCCGTACAGCAGCCATATTAGGGGCAGCAACAGAACTTGGTGTGGTTGTTGTATTTGTAGTACTGACTTGCCATTTTTATAATGAACGTCTCACAATCGAATGATCGAACACCAAATTTATTGTCGTGCGGTATGGGCTGTTGTACTTTTACATGACTTCGTTAATTTTGGTAATGACCTCTGACATGTTGTAGCCGTGGCATATTCCGCTGTGGGAACCAAAATTACTGGAAATATATTTTGATTTAAGGTTTCTTACATTAAAGCACTCCTAAATCAGGTGCGTAAATGTGGCCAGTGCGTACTAAATGGAATCAACGCGGTAAGATAACTGCGGTTATGTGCATAATATGTTCTGGTGTGTTGTGGTAAAAATGGTTAGCTAAAAGACCGTAAATAATAGTTTTTTAATTGCTTGGGCAGCAGTGGTCCTCGCAGCAGCATTTTTCGCTCCGGTAATAAGTTTGGTGACATCAGAACCCTAGAAAATATCATAAAATACTTGTAACTGACAAATAATGCGCATCTGTAACATTACCCACATGGAGTCACTACCATGTATATATAGTATAAAATGTTAGTGACTTATAGAGTCAGACTTAATTAAAGGCAGCCCGGACAAATAATGCGCATTTTTAACATTACCCACATGGAGTTATTACCATGTGTATATAATTAGAAATAATAGTGATTTTTGATGAAGTCAGAATCAAGGACAGTCCGGTTCATTCACCGAGTACTCCTCCTGCTCAAAACGGATACCCGACAGTCCGGATGGGGGTGAGCTGCAGTCAACCGGTAAATACACGTCCTTCCGACGGTACAGATTATTCATAAACGACCCACTCAGTAAGTATATATCACCCGAATTCGCTTCGCGCAGGAGTTCAGTGTTATCTTGCCACCAGCGCCGATACCATGCATACGCACAGTCACAGTGCAATCTGATTATGTGGTCGCGCTGCCCGTGATACAGCTCTGACTGGTATTCCAGAGAAATTAAGCGTAAGTCTGGTAAATTGGTGAAGGTGTCCTTTTCCAGCGTACGAATCGTTGACGGATAGAATCCGGATCCCAAAGTTAATATGCGTAACTTACGAGAGAATCTCAAATCATCCTTTCTAATGTCCAGATCGCTGCACTCTGATAGGCTCAGTTCCAGCAAGTTGGTAAACCGCAGCTTCGGTAGGCGGCCAAGTGATCGGGAGTTCTCGCATTTTGTTAAATAAAAAATGACAACTTGTTTTTGGATGAGCCCAAAATTTTTTGGTGTGAGAACTGGGCCGTCCGCAATAAACAGTTCAATTGGTCGAAGCGGAGGTTGAGACATAGATGCGGTAATTCCAGCTATTTCAGACGCGCTTGGTGGTATAGAGGTGCATTTTATCACTAACCCTCTATATTTACATGTTTTCAAATCGATGTTGAAAAAGCTAAAATCCGGTTTACAGTTCGTTGTAGACTGAGCCTGGCATTCATCGCTCCCCAATGGAATATTGGAAAATGTCGGAAACGGCTCATCAGCATCTGAAAAAATTAACGCTAGTGAAGATCTTCGTCCTCTGGTAGAGTAAAACCAGGTTTCTCCTAACCAGGGCACTATTTCCGCCTCCAAATTCAAAAAAATTTCGTTTTTTGTAAAAAGGTAGTAGACTACCGTGGTACGCTTAAAAAATATTTTGTCTGCAAAGTTCAGTTTGGCGTGGTCTAACATAAATTAAATAAGTACATAATATTGCATACCATTATTATGCAGTACTGGCATTTACCATAATATCAGTATATTAATTTTGTGTCCACTGGACCAGCCGGTGGCCCTTCCAGGTGTCAAGCAACACATAGCTCCAAAAAATGCTTCCGGTAGTCCCATCTTGCCTGGGAATTGCTGCATCATACATTTTTAAAAATCTTTTACCTAAATGCTTTTTAATAGCTCCTCGGCATATGGACGTACAAGCAGCTTAAAATTAGGGAAGTTGTTGAATTTCTGAAATTTCAAATTCGTAATTTTGCTGCGATGGTCACCGGACGCGCGCTGACAGTACACACACTGATGCTCGATCGGCTTTGGAAGGATCTACGGGACGTATATTGCCCGCAAAAACGATATTGCGGTATAAATGCAATTAATGCTACATTCTAATAGTATATGTACTTTGTTGTTAGAATTTATATTATGAGATTACTATAGTCACGGGAACAGAAACAAGAAGCGTCGTACACACTGGTGTCAGTTGTGTTGTTCAACGTTATGCAGGCAAAGTTCTTATATAGCGCACGGTACATTCATAGTGTTAGTAAGTTACTGCAACTGAACATCTGATAAACAAGCGGATTGGTGACCTGGGCGCACCGTATACTCATAGATCAGCTAGTACGACAATGTCATAGTTCATAAGTACATGACACATTATGAGTCTATAATACATACACTGGTAATACAATTTCTAACTTTTGTGTTAATTAAATTTCTGTTTGGCCACGCCCATTTGACCTTTGCAGATGAAAATAGTTTTTAATCATACCACGCTAGTTTACTACCTTTTCACAAAAAAAGAAATTTTTTTGAATTTGGAGGCGAAAATAGTGACCTGGTAAGTAAAATTCCTATCGAATCGGCCATAATGCTAACTTGTTATCGTAAGTTAGATTCCAGAGTCTAATGATCCACTCTATAGTACTCATATTCACTTTTAAGCTTTGTTTATATTAATCGCTCGAAAAGAACGTGTCTTGAATTTTCCTCAAAGAGCGAATACTTGCTTTTACGACGCACTAGCTACCGTCTCGTGTTAAAAAAAATTGTCAATGTTTAACCAAAACATTAGTTTTCAATGAAACTACCGTCAGCTTTCGGTACTTCTGGTACGCTAGTAGTTTCCAGCTGCAACTCTGGCATGTTAGTAGTTTCCGGTAAAACCTCTGCCGCATTAGTTATTTCCGAAAGCTCGGTAGTTTTCGGTAACTCTTCTGGCGCGTTAGTCGTTTCCGGAAGTTCTGGTGTCGTTTCCGAGAACTGCTCTGGCGCGTTAGTCGTTTCCGAAAGTTCTGGTGTCGTTTCCGAGAACTGCTCTGGCGCGTTAGTCGTTTCCGAAAGTTCTGTTGTAGTTTCCTGTGATTCTGGCTCTTTAGTTGTTTCCGGTAACTTTGTAGCACCGGTACTTTTTTTTGGTCCTCCTTACAAAGATAAACATTCGGTAACAGCAAAGAACAAAGTACATGTAACTGTGTAAGCTAGACAGTACTAATTACTAATGATACAGTTGTATAAAAAGCAAGCCGTGCACAAATCAGCTAAACAATCTACTCATGTGCACAAATCAGCTATCAGTTTATGTAAAAAATTGTAAACTGTGTAGTGTACTCCATAAAGTTCACATAATCAGGGAGAGGTTTATGACATCATAATTAAGCGTATCTAATGTACGCTGCTGCTGTGTATGCTTATCCAGTGTTATGCAGTTTAAAAATAAAATCAAATACCGCTAACCATGACACCAAAATATTTTGATTTTCTCTGTACGTAGCACGCAAAAACAACGATGTGAAATCAGTAATAGTTGTGAAACGTTTTTGATCGTATGCAGTTTGCATTAAAAATACCGTACACAAGTGTTTAAATATAATACAGCAGACAGCTGGCAATTTTTTGTTTTTATAATAATATACAGGCTATGTTGTTATCAATGATAAAAGAGAAACATTTATAAATGCAAATCATTCTATACTTTACGATACCTGCATTGACAGTGACAATAAAAGTCTCGACGCATACGAGTACGTATGGCGTTTCAGTCATTTTGCGCTGTTTGCCTTAAGTCAAAACTAACGCCATTCTTGGCGTTTTTCTGACCTTCTAATAAAATACTGCCATGGCCGCGTAGGAAAGTGCTAGCTGCCGCTATTGCACAGCGGAAGCGCCGATGAATTCGGGCCAAATCAAACGGACTCAGGTTTACGTTCTGACCAATCTTGAGCGTTTGATTTTCGGAACGATCGTCGGAAGGCTGCTGTCTTTCGCGAAGGCATTATACTTGTAGTGCATGATCGATTCATAGTCGTACGGGATTCCGAATGTATTCCCCGATTCGTGTTTGGCGAACTGCTCTTTGTCGCCTTAAAACCACGAATGACTGTAGTTAATACCAATCGGTGTATCAGTGCATCAATTATACAGTAATCAGTAGTAACATAAGAAAATATTACAGTATAAGAAGACACAGAAAACATGAGTTAATGCAGCCGAGTGTCTGCTTTGCTGGCAACGTCGAATTATTACTAAACCAACAATCTTACTTTCGTCGATGTTATCCCAAATGATAGTGACATACTGGTCGCGATCCGCTCGGGAATGCTCATGGAAGAATCCCATGGTGTGCATGAGTTCGTGCTGTACGTCACCGTGATTCTTTAGGCATCCTGTTGCATATGTCACTGTTTGTTTACCGCCGGTTCGACCAATATTTGACATGCATCTGCAATCAATACCCGAAGCATGAATTCTTCCGTGAGAGCCTCACTTGATCGAAATACAATAGCAATACATACTGCAATCCTTTCTGAAAATTAATGTAGTCTTCTTCGTCTGTTCGCTCTACGAACCGAACACAGTTCCCGGTTAAATGGCTGATAACATCCATCGACTCCAGCACAATTCGAATTTCTCTTGTTGCTAAAACGAGATGTGTTGGAAAGAATTATGCAATGAAACAGCACGAACGCGTTTTTCCTTTTTCTGTAACTTTCGGCAAAATGAAGTAAAACGTTTTACTCAGTGTTGCAAATCGTTTCTTTGTAAATGTGTACGGGATGGTGTTGTTAGGCCAGAACGAATCAGCCTTATCAATCGAATTGGCAGCTCCATGCGCCACCTGCCAATCAGAAAATCACGGTATGTCGGTAATTATAATTCCAAGTAGGTACTTAAAATTTTCTAGAAATTATTGTACAAGCCTTCAAGTAGTTATTAAGTGAATTTTGTGCTGGTACCTGCAGAGCTTCGAGCCCAGTTATATCGCCTTCCAGCAGGTCGCTGTCGTAAAGACTGTCGTCGTTGCCTTTGGCCAGTATTTCGGGATCGATAAAATCCCGCCAGTCTGCAACAAGATCAAGATGTATCCAGTACGATGGTTTTGACGATATTGCCGGAAAATTTTTTTATAGCTTACTTGTCGGTAGGTTGATTGTAGATGCAAGTGAACAAAACACGAGTCCGCATAACGTGCAAAAAATACCAGCGAAAGCAGACATAGCTACACTTCTAAGTAGCAAAAACTGCATGCGTGCCACGTACCAACAGAAACAAGCTGCTTTGCGCCTTAGAAAGCGATTAAATAAAAATTTTTTATGAGCAGTATGTGTAACCCGTGCTAACCTGCATATCCGCTGGCAAAATGTGGATACCGCGTCTAATGACAACCGGTTTAAAAAAAACGTCTTGTCTTACTCCGTAAGCGCTCCGTCTTTACACATTTTGGATTCCGATAAAGGGGCATACCCATTCGTGCTCTGTTAGCTCAGCTAGTGCCACTAGCGCACATACCACTAGCCTAGTGGTTTGTGCGCGGAGGATCTTGCCAAAATTTTGGCCCAGCCTGGTTTCACTGATTATATTTTCAGGCAAGGTCTTTCAAAATCAGGGAAAACTGGAAGCTTTACTTACTACGCACTACAAGTACAGTATTTATGGAAGTTAAGCACTGGTTAGTATATTTTATGATGCTCGCCAATCTTGTATTCCGTATTAGCAATTATTGTGACACCCTCCAAGCATGACATTCAATCACAGCACTGCGCGGTTTTGTAGTAAAATTTCAACATTCTGCAAGATTAATGCCGTGTAAATTTCCGGCGCTGAATAGTATAAGCATGCCATGTGATATTATCTACAGACACACTGTACTTTTTTGATGCTGGATGTACGTAATTGCAACCGTTAGAGATATCCGTGACTTTTGTTAAAGCAAAGCAGAAGAATCGATTGAAGACAGTTAGGTTCATTGAATGAGTATTCCGACTGCTCAAAATCAACAACAGACGGCCTGAATTGGGGCGATTTAAAGTCAACCGGGAAAAACAAGTTCTTCCGGAGATTAACGGCATTCCTAAAGGACCAGTTCAGTGCGGTCACATAACCGCTGAGCAGCTCCGTGTTATCCTGCCGGCTGCCGCCAGCGCCGGTGCCACGCGTACGTGCAGTTAAAAAATGCAAATCGATAACGTACAGAATACAGCCATGCCTCGTATGAAATCACCAGAAAATCAGGCAAATCGGTGAAAGCGGGTTTTTCCAATGTAATAGTACCAAGCTTCGATCACGCATATACCGCATTTCCAAAAGTAAATATGCGCATTTTATGTTAGAGTCTAAAATCATTTTTCTTATTATCCAGATCATTAAGTTCGTAAATCGCAGACCTGCAAAAGGCTGATTGATTGCAAGCATTTAAGGCATTTCAAAAGCTCAAAAGCAATAATTTGTTTTTGAATGGGTTGAAAATTCTTTGCTGTGATGGGACCGTCAGCCATGTGCATCTCGATTGGTCGCAGCGGAGATTTGGGCATGGAAGTGGTCATTGTAGTAATTTCATGGGTGCTTGGAGGTGTGGAGGTACATATTATAAACAATCCTTTAAACTCTGTACAAAATCTAGTATAAGCGTCCGGAGGTTGATAGTTAGCTGTGATCTGAGCTTTGCATTCTTCTTTCTCGGAAAGTGTCGGAAACGGCTCGTCAGCATCTAAAAATAACCAACAACAATGTTGATACTAATAATGGCGATGATGTTCGTACGCCTTTCATTAGATGGGTAGGCGTTCGTCTACCAGTAAAACTTTTCATAAATGAAAACAGGACAGTAATCCATAAAATTTCATTTCATTTAAAAGGCTTCTACAGATACTGAACCTTTGATGGCCAAAGTACCTTTGTCGACCGACGCAATGCGAAGATCCTCTATGTTCAATGAAAAGGGGCTTTCTGTAACGTCGGTCACGGATCAATAATGCTTAAAGATTTAATGGTAATAATGGTTATTGCAAAATACTAATTTATTGAAGAAGTAAAAAAGGGATTATTTAACAAAGGATGCTATGTTGTTTCTTAGGTTTCTTAGGTTTCTTAGGTTTCTTAGGTTTCTTATTCATTTTAAGCTACGTGTCGGCTTTTTGAACCCGAAAGGGGATGCAACATTTTTTAAAATCCAAAAATTACAGCCCTGCTACGCCAAGTTGGGACAGTAACAAAAATTTCTCCTGTACGATCGTTGTTGTATAAAAGTCTTCTGTAATTTTTTTATGATTGATTTTGATCAATAACAACTTTTTAAATTATGTTTATATTCAAAAAGCTACAACGCCGGAAACGGGTGCAAAAGTTTGACTTTCACTTTTTTCCAAAAAAGCGCATTGCTTACTAAAACATCACCATGTTTAATCAACAGAAGTTTAAAAATTCTGGAAAATTGAAAAGATCCAAGTGATATTGCGATTTACTAATGGTCCTTTCCTAACATCTCCCCTAAAGTGATCAGCGCGCTAGGCAACCACATTCTTCGGGAGGTACCTTTTAAGATACAAGTCTATGGGTGATATACCTTTCTTCGAGCTCATCTAGCGCATTAATCGCGTAAGACTCTTTTGTTAACCCGTCTCAGACACCTTGTTGGTCACTGAAAGTATTTCAAAAAAGTTCACGCAAAAACATTGCCTGGGGATTTTACGAGAATTGCCGATATAAGCGGTCCGATGATGACCCTACCCCATGCCCTTAATTTGCCCCTGTCTCCCAACCGACGTGCCAAAAGATTCCGATTTTAATATTGCCAGATGCACAACAAAAAGTTATACTAGAAAAGTGCAAAAAAACGACAGAAGACGGCAAAAAATAATATCTTATAATTTGTTTTCTAAAGTGTCCCAACTTGGCGTAGCAGGGCTGTTTTTGCTGTTTGGTTTCTTATTTGACTTTCTGGATGATCTTAGTATCTGTACATAGCTCGAACCGGTGCCCATAACCGTTTTCTGCCTTCGCTCCGGTCTTATGGTGCTAGTCTGGAGCGGTGTACTTCCCCAGTAATGATGACCAACTGACCATGAAGACAATGATGATTCCAGGCGCTAGTTCCGTACTTGGAATAATTATTGTTGGTATAGGTATCGGCAAGCGCAGAGGGAGAGGTCTGAGCGACCACGCTCGTTAAATTAATGCCACCATCAGGCGGTGTCTTTGTGGCATTTCTGCGTGCGACATCTACCGCCTTCGATACTTGGGTGTTGGGAGGATCGTTAAGGTAGAAAAGATAGCTTGCCAGTCAGATAGTCTTACAGGAACATCTTAAGCGTCTCCTGATCATGTATTTCAGACCGATCGGCCGAGAAAAAGCAGATGGTAGGGAAAATAAAAGAAAATGCAAAATCCAGAATTTTTTGAATTCTGGAGGCCAAAGAATTTTGTTATTGTGGAGTTTTTCTCTCCGTGTTGATCAAGACAGACAGAAGCTGGTTTTTGTAGTCTTCAGGAAATTCTTTGACGCTATAAATGGTGCTTAATAGTGTCGTCATCGTTGCCCATGAAGATCATCAGATAGCTTTCGAGTTCTCCAGAGATAAAGTGGGTTAAGTTTAGTCCAGGTTCAGTCAGCAGTAATAATTAGGGCAATGAGTTCTCCGTGACGAACGAAATGAAGTCATCTTTCGCGAAATTATAAGTGCGTTTGACACGCAAGTCGTCCAACGGGTTAAAGTGCGAACGATCGCCGTTGACCTCCATGGCTTTGCCTGAGACTAATTTTCGTTCGGCATCATCAAAACTTTTAACGATTGTTTGCGTAAGCCATCCGGACCTTTGTCAGTCGACTGCTTAATCCGAAGACCGCACGGCTTCCGGAAACAGTTTCCCCGCAACGCTGTCCTCAGATTCATAAGCCACTTTCCTACCCGAACTAAACACAGTCGGAGATTTCGGCTAGCAAACTGAACACAAAATATGGTTGACAATACCCACATTTGATATACAGTATATTCAAAAGTTCTTGCTTGCATTGACTGTGTTAATGTAAAGAACTTTAAAGGTTATCTGCTACATCACAATCTCGGGAGAAGAGAATGGTACTGCGGCCAGTAAGACAACGTTGGCGATGCTCGCCTTACCCAGCGTCGCCTACACATTTTAATAATCCAGATTACCGTCATGAAAGGTAGAACGGTGACGTTGAATGTAATGGTACTCTCAGATTTCAGAATACGCGCGATTGTACGTACACCGTCATCGCAAGCGGCAGAGAAAGCAGTAAAAATCCTCTAGAGGATTTTGACGGCTTTTTCGCTCTTAGACGACTAATGTTTTCCAGTGATTCCAGGTGTGCAGACTGCAGAGACTTTATACACATTTAATTTGTATAGGGGGCAAAAGTAAACGTGTTCCACCGTTCCCCTGTACTGCTGCCGTCACCCGACTGGAGTTTGACGTTGTGGCTGAACATGGCGCTTACGTACCGCGCCAGATTTAACCATATGTATTGCCGTAACGTCACACTCCAGGCGGGTGACGGCAGCAGTACAGGGGTATAACGGGCAACGGAACCGGCTGATACTGCTCGAAATATTGCTAACCCAACGACTGAGGATACCACAGGAAATACAACGCTATATATACTGAACCGCTCGTACAGGAACAGGAAACACAAGAGGCGGGACAACCAGCACATACTCATACATACTAATACATAAGACAGGAATCCCCCGTTACACTCCCCTCTTACCAGACTGAAAACAGAATGTTTTCAGGAAAAAACAAACAAAAACATATACAAAAGAGAATCAATGTGTGCAAAAACATTAGAGAAATCACGCTCAGAGTTTTTTGGGAGTACAAACGTAGATTTAGTGCGAAAACATTATTAGCAAAATTAGAATTAAATATGGCAGGTAACATCCGAAGCGTTCCACGTAGGACGTTAATTGTTGTATCCGTCTGGTAAAGTCAATCCATCCAACGCTGAAGAATGACCACTTAGTCCACACAGATATGCGACATCCGGGTTCATGCTGGTCTTGGGAAAGGAAGTGTAATATCGATGTCCATGACGGCGGTACAACAGTAGCAAACCGTTACATACTTCTGGTTCTGAAAAACTTGCACACACATTGACGCAACCCTACTTATGTTTACACCTTTTTGTTTGTAATTTTGAATTAACGCGCGAATTTAATTTAAGGATTTATTGTTGAAAATTGCCGCAAATACAAAACTGAATATTCAAATAACACGAATCCAGAAACGCAAACTTTAAAAAAATCCTCGCCAAACTTT